AAGGTTTGATACTACCGGTGGGGTTTGGAAGTTGGACTTTGTGGGTTGATGTGCTTTGGACATTTGGCATATACAACCTATTTTTTATAATAAGTAAGTTACTTTTTTGTGCACACTAAAAATTTATCCAGAAACGGGAAATAATTTATATGGCAACAACGTTTGCCCGGATTATGAAATATGTATATATAAATTCTTCAAGTTGCCCAAGTTGGACCGAACAGACACCGGAGTTTTGCTGGGAAAACACGTATGCTCACATTTTTCGACCTCCTAGAAAGCTTGTGGACGAGCACAAATCTTCAGAAATGATCCACTGTATGAAATGCCGAACTTTGGTTTATACAAAAATGGCGGCATTAATTTACTGCTAAAACTAAAATTTACTATTTTGTTGTTAATTTGCTGTTAAAAGCATGGTCCAATTTAGGAAACCGCGCGGTCAATTGCGGAAACCAGGACTGCTAATTTGCGTCCCGCCATTCCACAGGTAGAAATTTGAGGGTATAAATATGAGTTGCGTATATGACCATGCACCAGCAACATACAGAACACCCTGTGGACATGATTACGTCACTGATGGGGAGTTTCTGTTTATGTCAGCGACTTGCGTGCGGGCGCCATCTCCCTAAAATGACAGACTCGTGCTCCGGCATTCGTTGTAAACTGTTCACAATTAAGATCCGATCGCTCTGTATTATTGAATAAAACTAGTAAAACCGAAACAACATTTCGTAATTCTAACATCAGAAGTGGGATAGTATCCAAAACGCCTAAATTTGAAAATTTTTCTATAAAAACTATTTTGCAAAACTAAAACAGCGAAATAAAGTGAAATGAGTGAAAGAGATAGTGAAGTTGATGGAGTTGAAGAAAGCGCGACAGCGGAAGTTGAGCATATTAACACCATACCCGATAAAGTTGTGGAGAGCGGCTTCAGCCAAGCAAGAATAAATAAACAGCAAGAGAACAGGCCATCCGGCAGAGCTTTCGGTCGGTGAATTTCCTGCACTATGAAGCAGCGGCAACAAGAGGTGATTGACCGACTTTTTAAGTTGCTGGAGAGCCAAAAAAATAATGTCAATCAGCCGATTGCATCAGACTTACTTGTAAGTAAACTGCCTGATTTCAAACTAACCCGATACGACCACGATTCGCCGTACAGCATGAAGGAGTGGCTTGATATTGCATGTAGTTGTAAAGACGGTATTTAATAAATGATGAAGACATGATATTGAAGGTTGGCGAATCTCTTATGAACCGAGCATTAAAGTACTATTGTCACTGGAAAGCAAAATCTCGAACCTGGCAGAACCTAGTGAGCGCTCTAACTAGCTCATTTCCCGTGATAGGAACACCATTTACGCGCCTTTGTGCCTTAACAAATACACGTAGTTCAGATTGTAATAATTTAACAACATTTTGCCATAAAAAGCTTCAAGAAATAAATGCGGTGCATGAACTTGATTTTCCGTGGCAAGTAATTTTGAGCATCGTAGAGGGTTGCGTAGAAGACTCGGAAGTCAGAACAGCAATTCGAATGACAAAACCTTCTAACGAAAGCGAGCTGATCACTACGTACCGGCGAGAACGGCGGTTGGTGCGTACGAAGAGTCTCAAGCTCGTGGTAAACGCCAACACCAACAACGCTATGAGTCAAATAATAAACACAAACAAACTACAAACACCGCGTCAACATTTTTGGGCAAATGTTTTACTTTCACATATAAAACCGGTCACAAAAGCTCACTGACTCCCTGGCTGAATCGAAAAGCTGAAAATACAGTTTCAACTCGAGACGAGATGGCTAGTAAACGTGCTCGAATTATTTGTTCCAATTGTAAAAAGTGGGTCATACGAAAACGTATTTTAAGATTGGCTTTCCGGAAAAAGGACGTACTAGTAATGTACATGAAAAAGCTGTAAATAACTAAAATAGAATAGAATTTGCGGTTTGTTACTGATGGTACCAGCACCACCGAACGCAGGCAGCGTTTGGGATGCGTCAGTTGACCTGGGCTAAAACTTGAGAAAGTCGAAAACCAACTTGAGCTTCAACATGACATAACTACAACTATTTTGATTTGCCGTCAAGAAAATAAAATTATGCTAGATCAATTGTCAGGATTGGACGAGTTGTTAGTACGAAAATAATTCATTTGCCAATGTCAACAAAGAAAATCACACCATCACATAACACAGGGTCAATTAGATTATGCTCAAAAGACTTGCTACACCCGTAGCATATCACGACCCAAGGCCATTTGAAAGCATGCCGAACGCATACAATTGCCGAAACATTGTGAGGAACAAAGTCGGTCAGTGAATTATTAAGAGGCCCTCGAATATGCAAGCCCAGTTGTTCTGGTAGCGAAAAAGAAAAACGGAGCCTCCGCTTATGCGCCAGATTTTTCGAAGATTTGAACAAGAGGTTGTGAGATCGGTATCCATTGCACCAGGATTCCGGTTAGTAGATGCATTGAATGCGGCAAAGTGTTCTATGCACTTTGGATATGAAGTGGGTTTTATGAAGTATAGCGTGAAAGAATGGAGCATCTACGGGCGTTTGTCACATCAGATGGTCATTATGAATACGATAGAATGCCGTTTGGATTTTGTGAACTGACCAGCCTGTTATGAAAGGGCAATTGACAAAGCCTTAAGCAAACTGAAGGATACAGTCGTAAATCTGCAGGCATTCCGAGGGGCAACGGACAAGTCGAACGAGTAATGAGAAGTTTGTTTAACATGATGCGAGCCATTCTCAATGAACGCGATGAAAAACAATGGATCAATGAATTACCTAAAATCGAACAAGATATGAACACATTTGTGAATAAAACTACTGGTAGAAGTCCTCATGAATTAATGTTTGGAAAAAAAGATTAACTGCAGTGCAAGGCTTTGGAAGTAATGCATCCGTAAAATGAAATTTGACAGCGAAACAATTAGAAGCTTTGATAAAAAAAAGAACGGTTGCTAAAGTGTTTGCAGCTGGTGACCTAGTATTAGTAGAGGGGCCAATGTGGTGGCGGTAAATTGAAAGCTAAATACAAAGGACATTTCGAAATACTTAAATGTTTACCGAATGAAAGGTACACAGAAGAAGGGTAAATGGACAAAATAGGAGTTTTTCTGTTGCTGGTCGAGATCAAATGAGACTGTGTCGCATATGAAGGCTCAGGCAGATGCAGCTGACGTGTAAAAGGTAAAAAAAAAATAGAATTAAGCAATAAAACTAACAAAACAATAAAACTAACAAAAAAAAAAAAAAAAGGGCCTGGACTGGCCCAGTAAAAACAAGAGGCCTGGACTGGCTGATACTAGCCAACAAAAAAAGGGCCTGAACTGGCTGATACTAACAAAAAGGGCCTGGACTGGCTGATACTGAGGGGGCCTGGACTGGCTGATAAAACAAAAAGGGCCTGGACGGCTGGTAAAAACCAAAGAGGCCTGGACTGGCTGATGCCAGCAAAAAAAAAGGGCCTGGACTGGCTGATACTAACAAAAGAAAAAAAGGGCCTGGACTGGCTGATACTAACAAAAAGAGCCTGGACTGGCTGGTAAACAAAAAGGAGCCTGGACTGGCTGATAAAAACAAAAAAAAAAAAGGGCCTGGACTGGCTGGCAAAAACAAAAAAAAAAGAGGGCCTGGACTGGCTGGTAAAACAAAAAAAGAGCCTGGACTGGCTGATGCAACAAAAAAAGGGCACAGACTGGCTGATAAAAACGAAAAATGGGGCCTTCACTGGCTTGATACTAACAGAAAAGACGCCCAGCGACTAAAGCTTTGGGAGCAATGGGGCGTCCCATAAACAGTAAAAATATGAAAACTTATTGTGATTGCAGAGGTGTTTCAGAAAAAAAAAGATGAGCGTATAACAAAGATCTGGTGCAACAAACTACTCTAGACTGAGTGAGTTAGAGTAGATGAAGTTGGAAACAAAAGATGGTCCGAGGACGAACCAAGGGCAGGAAGGCCGTGTAAGGTTGCGTATATGACCATGCACCAGCAACATGCATGCATGCATGTTTTTCTGTTTATGTCAGCGACTTGCGTCGCTGGGCATGCGTCTCCTAAGAAATGACTCAGACTCGTGCTCCGGCATTCGTTGTAAACTGTTCACAATTAAGATCCGATCGCTCTGTATTATTGAATAAAACTAGTAAAACCGAAACAACATTTCGTAATTCTAACAAATATAATTTTTACTTAAACCAAAAATATCATTTTGTTGGTAAGCCTTGTGAGTTACTTTTCCGCTACTTAATTTTTATTGACAGTTTATATGTGGCTCTATAAATCAAAAAATATAAAAATGGTCCAAATATGGCTACTTTCCCCTATATATCTATATATATAAAATTTGCGTGTCACAGTGTTTGTTTCCATACTCCTCCGAAACGGCTTTACCGATTTTTACCAAATTTTGTATGCGTATTCAGTAGGTCTGAGAATCGGCAAACATCTATTTTTCATACCTAAGTGATAGGGTTGTTCACCCTTAACTTTTAAATTTTGGACAAATTCTTTTCGAGCTTTTATTTTTTTTTATAATGTGGAATTAAAAATACATACAACCCTAAATTTTTTGAACTTTCTTATCTTAACCCTATTTCTTTATAGCCATTTTAGTAATTTAATCATTTTTCATTTTTATATGCGTATTCAGTAGGTCTGAGAATCGGTAACTTCATATCTCTAAGTGATAAGGGTTGTTCACCCTTAATTTTTTTTAAATTTTGGTCGAAATTTTTTGTTTTTATTTTTTTAATGTGGCATTAAAATATACATACAACCCTAAATTTTTGGTTTCTTATCACCAACCCCTATTTTTTATAATAAGTAAGTTACTTTTTGTCTACACTAAAATTTATCTAGAAACTTGAAATAATTTATGTGGCAAAACAACGTTTGCCCGGTTAACTAGTATATATATATATGTGTATATATATAGCATTATAAGATTGTTAATAATAATCAACTTTATTTTTTTCAGAAGTCCGTTATGGGTTATACCCTGTGGTTAGCCGCAACGATGTTAATTCTTCAGATTTGTTATTCTTCAGAAAATAAATTAGTTGCTTGGTAAGTATCTATATATATACTTTTTAAAATTAAAGGGTTAAAAAAACATTTTGTTTCGGCGATAATTTACTGGATCTTTACTGTTTCTACCACATTGTTTCGAAAACTAATATTTGATATAAATTGCAAATTGAGCGCTGAAAAATATGCACCTTATGGCAAGTATGCTCCCACTGAACTTACTTTTTATTTAATTAGCAATTCAGCTTTCCTTTTCACCAAAGATTAACGTAGTTTTCCCCATGAATTCAGTTTTAAGATGTTTTTTTGGTTGTTGAACAAACTTTGAAATTCAACGCCAGTGCTCGGTGTTAAAAGTGGAAACAAGTAATGATGGAGCGATAGTATTATACTCTTTGTAAGTTCGCAAATAGGAGAATGTGCTATCTGAATAATATCAGTATTTTTAGTGGGGCTCACGTGAATAGTATTTTATAATCCAATTAATTTAACTGATGCAATTGATTTATGTCGCATTTAAACAACATTTTTAAATTTTAAGTTTCAGATGTGAAGAAAAGTCCAATCATGCATGTCTAGGTGACTTGTTAAAATCCGGTCAATATGATAAACGATCTATTCCATCTGTCAATGGTATGTAAATAATATATTCATAGCATTATGCGTTCAAATGTATTGGCTTTGTGGATTTTAAGTGGAATGTGGTACAATTGTATTAATATGAATGTTTGTTATCAACGAGAAACTATGTTAATATCAAATGTACACATTAATAGCTAAGTGACAAACAAACTGCACAAACTCTAAACAAAGTTTGAGCCCACTGTGTTGAACTCTTTTTACGAATTGTTCGTAGAAACTTGGTAAACGAGACTCTTGGAACTCTTGATCTGTAGTTTTCCAACTATCTTCTATTCTATATATTATATATTATTTTTTTACTATATAAAAATATGTCATGTTTTCCTTCTTGACGCAATAACTCCAGAACGCACCAACCGATTTCCACGGTTGGTCATTCGTTGGAAAGGTCTCAGAGAGGTTTATAGCAGAAAAAATTGAGGAAAAATTTCGACAGAAAAGTGGGAAAGGGCACAAAACGATATGCACGACCGATAGTTGCTAAAACACACACAACGAACGATGGATATCCAGTTTATCGTCGGCATTTAAAAGAAGATAATGGTCGAACTATCAAAGTTTAAGTTAATAATCAAGAGATTACGAATAATGATGTACACGCACTGAATTTCACCATTCAATCAAAAACATACAACTCAAAGTTGGTGCAGTTATTATGATATTGCGTAATTTGAATCCACCGCAACGGTATTCGACTTTCGGTAAGAAAGACTTATGCCGAATTTGATTGAGCCAACAATTATTTTAGACTAAATAGACTATAGGCTGTTAACTGCCAAAAGAACCACGATCCAGGTTTCAAAATTGGGGATCATTTTTACTTGTGTTGGAGAAACACATGGACAAAATTTCATCTTTCCTAAAATGACGAAAGTCTGGCCGTAACTGGCTCTTGCTCTATTAGCGGAAATTCGCCATTTTAAATGAAAATTTTTCTTGTGTCAAAAAAAAACTTCAATTAATTTGACATGATTTGATTCATTTCATTGAATTGACTGCTCCCCCTAATTCCGGAGTGTGTCGATATTATTTTATATTTTTTTAAAATTTAATATAAAATAATTACGTCCCGCAAATGACAATTTTCCACTTTCAAATAATTATATAAAATATAAAATAAAATCGGCCCAATTTGGGATAAACGGGAAAAGTTGTCAAAAAATTTGAAGTTTTTTTTAACAAATGAAAAAGTTTTTTTTTAAATGCCAAACTTCGAAAAAATTACAATTGTACTCAAAAAACGGGATTATTTCATAGTTTTAATTATTAAAAAAAATGTGTCTACTTATTAAAAAAAAACCATTTAAAAGCAAAAATATTCAAGAAAAAAACGTATCAATAGGTCAATTTTGGAGAGTTATGGTTATTTGAAAATTAAATAGTCCATTTTTTGGAAAATTCATAACTTTTTTGAGGTTAGAAAAAAAAATTTGAAAAAATTCTAATAACGATTTTCAAATGGTAGAAAAGAATGGAAATGGAAAGAATGGTTTTAGCTAAATCTAAAAGGGTCGGGTTCAAAAGTGATCGATTTGGCATGGAGTACCCCATATATTATACGAGTTAACCAGGCAAACGTTGTTTTGCCATATATATTATTTCTAGTTTCTAGATAAAATCTAGTGTAGACAAAAAGTAACTTGCATATTATAAGTGTGTAAGTATGTAAAACTTGATTAACTGAACTAATCGTGTCAAATACACTTAAAATTAATAGTTTTATAATCTAAAATATAAAAATGAATCGCAAAATGTGTTGTTAACCGCTTCACTCAACAACGCCTAGACCAATTTGGCTAATTCTTCTTTTAAAATGTTCGTTAAAGTCTAAGGGTGGTTTTTACGGTGACAAAAATTGGAATAATTTCCGGGAAAACGGGGAAAAGCTGTGGTTTTCTTTTTTCAATCGATTAACGAAACAAATTCCGCAGCCTTCTTCGACTTATTTTTGATTTATTGTTTTATATGGTGTTTTGCGCATAGTGTTTTCTACTGAGTTTTCTTTTGTCCACTGACAATCGAATCAAATTCCGCAGTTTTCTTTGATTCAGTTTTGTTGTTTTTTGTGCAAAGTGGTAAATTATCTACGATCACTAAGTATTGCATGTGACACAATTCAGGGTGTTTTAGTGGGTCCCACTAATATAATTTGTTCTTGAAAGGGTGGCGAAAGTTCGTGGAAGCGCCCTGTCAACGGGGTGACTGTTCTGTTCAGGAGAAATTTTTGCACCGACTATAAAATAGGGAGGAACAAAATCTGCCACATTCCGAATTTTTTTAACAGAACGAAGTCTGTTGAGTCCGCTAGTTATGAATAAAACAGTAATTATTAATAGTTAATATAAGAGTTACACTGATACAGCAATACGATAATTGTAAACGTTACTACTACACTTGAAAACCTAAAACAGTAATTTATTTACCGTGTTATTGCACAAGTTGAATTTTATAAATCAAGTATGCAGATCTTGAGTTACGTTGCAAAAATGATGCTGAGACTAACCGGGAGAACAAAGCATATAATTGATAATTGATAAACGCCGCGTTACTACTACAACTTATACCATACATAGGTACTACAACTACATATACTACAACTACATATGCCATAATGATGGTCGAAAACTGTGTAGGGAGTGAGAGAAGTCTTATTGTGTGCGTGAACCAGGAGACCGAGTTCAGTCTCATTCCTTCGAGCAGGATGAAAAAAAAATTAAATTACCAAAATGACTATAAAAATATAGGGGTTGGTGATAAAACAGTAAATATTTAGAGTTGTATTTATTATTTAATGCCACATTATAAAAAAATAAAAACAAAAGAATTTGTCCAAAAATTAAAAAAAAAAGTTAAAGGTGAACAATCCCTATCACTTAGGGGTATGAAAAATAGATAGCAGACGATTCTCAGACCTACTGAATACGCGTATAAAATTTGGTAAAAATCGGTAAAGCCGTTTCGGAGGAGTATGGAAACAAACAATGTGACACGCAAATTTTATATATCTCGTAGATATTTATTTCTTTATTCATTATTAATTCATATTGAATTATGAGTACCTATAGTGCTCAAATTTAAAATAAATACATATCAACAAAATATCCAAATATAGAAAAATATTAAAGTGAGTTAAAAAAATTAGATTTATAGAAGCGTAGGTATATCAGACAGATTAAATCGATCGGAGGATTCTACTCCGATAGAATTTTAATGTGTTGCTACTACTTTTGACTTTAGTTTTTATTTCATAGTCTTATGCGTATTTGAGTTGGAAAGTGCAAATATTTTATTTTCGTTTTAGGAACACTCACTGTCAATATCGAAATTACGTCATTGACTTTGTCACAAATCAGCAGAGATAGTCTTGTAAGTATTTACATACTCGTTAGATCAACCGTATCATCACATCACATGAAAACGGCTAGACCGATTTGGCTGATTTTTTTTTGACAGTTTTCTAATATTCTGTAGAAGGTTCTTACGGAAAAAAATATTAGGAAAATGACTCAGAAAGATTGAAAAAAAAATAAAACCCGTTGTCACGCCATCTATGTCTGAGATTTCAGAACGCATATACAAACTTCGCATGACTTATTTAGTAATCTGTGGTAATTTGTGACATACCCGCCGCGCCAACAATATTGACCGGTTGATGTTTTTGTTTGGAGAAGGAAAGTCGCTTTCTCTGTCTGTCCCTTTGAATGCTTAAATCTTTGAAACTACGCAACGGATTTTGATGTGGTTTTTTACTTCCGTGCGAAGCCGGGGCGGGTCGCTAGCGATGTGACTGGCAGAGAATGCGTTACGGCATTAAGTCCGCCTTTTGTACAGTATTATTTTTTTGTGTAATAAAGTTTAAATAAATAAGGCGTTACGAAGTTCGCCAGGTCAGCTAGTATGACATAATTGTTAAATTAATTTTCCTTTTTTTGTGTCATCACGAGTACAGTTATATTATTGTTTTCAAATGCGAGGTCAATATTTTCATTGGTTATAGAATTATGAAGTAGATTTAATTCTGCAGCAAAGATGGCACGATCCGCGGTTGGGGTATAATTTGATCGATGAGAAGAACGACTATTTGAATGCTACCAATCATTATGGAGATATCTGGTTGCCCGACACGAATTTCGTTAGCGATGATTCTGAAGAGTCATCTCCTCATGATAACCTGGAATTGACCATTTCTCCGAATGGAACTGTCAATTATCTCATGGGGTAATAAAGTTTAAGTTTATCGTTTAAATTACTTTTAACGTTAAATTGCTATCACCGTAATATGTTTCAGGCAACATCTCAACTTATCATGCCCAGATATCATAAATACATTTCCGATAGGTGATCCGATCTGCTCGTTCAAGATGAAAAACCGTAAGTACTGAAAAATCTATCATTGCATATAAAAAACATAATGTAAAGGCTAGTTTTCTTAACTCGTACAGAGTTTTGAAATACCTACATTTGATTTTGGAAAAACTTAATTCATTTTCACTTTAATATTTCGCCACATTTCGCAAAGAATGAAGCGCAACTTAAAGCAAATTAAGCATTGTGAAGACATTATGACGAGATTTTTTCTTCTATACATAATATAGAAACAATAATTGAAATCAAAAATCATGAAACAGAAAAAAATTACTGACTTTTTTGTAAATAAATAAATTAGTTCATTTAATTTCCATTTAATTTAAATAAACACAGATCAAACAACATTCCTCTTTCATAACAGACTAAGTATAGTCTCTGTCATTAATTTATTGTGTATATGTATTATATATATATATATATAAGCATATATATATATATATATATATATATCGGGCTAATCCAAATTAGCTAAAAATATATATATATATATATTTTGATTACTCAGGTTCGTACAATCGGACTGCCATTGAGTACGTTTGGAAGTATGGTAAAAATATTGCCATAACATCATCAAGTTTTACAGCACTGAACACCCACTTGATCGATACTCAAACAATGACCTGCCCGATGAATATAAATCGGCGAGGTAACCAAATTGTTGTTTAATGTGACATGTAAAACATTATACAGTAGAGTCCGGTTATAATGACATCGAAGGGAATTGACAAACACGTCATAATAAGCGGACGTCATACAAAGCGTTTTGTGAAATGAAAACCCTTATTTATGTAAATATGTACATATACATACATATTAAATCAAAATCAAAATTGCACGTAATCAGCACATTATAACACATACAAGTGTAATTTTTACTGCAAGTAATCTGTAATTTTTGTCTGCTTTTGCATTATCATTTTCGTATATCATTTTCTCTGTGCTTGATCAATTCCAATGTTTAACTTTCATGGACATGATACTGATATTTTGTCTACTTCCACTCTATTTTCCCATGGTGGTTTTTGTTGTTAATCATTTGTATTGAAAAACACAGCACTGGAAAGGTTATAATTGCTTGACGTACGTGCTGATGCTGTTACAAACTCCACCCCGCGACTCAAAGCGACTAAAGCTCCAACATAATAAAACTGAAGAAAAAAAACTGGTGAAATGTGGAAGTAGGGAAAATAAGTTACCGGGAACCCGAAATAATTGTCATTATAAATTTTCATAATAATACACCAAGATTCTCTCCTGCATTTGTCTTGTTTGTCTCTTATTGCTAGAAAATTTATGTCGTCAATGGCTGCTATGTAAATAAAAATATTTTATTCAAACTACAAATTTCGTTGGGAAATTGCCAAGCCAAAACTGATTCTGATGCTATTCAAAAATAAGAAATCAAATTTAATTGGTAGGTGTATGAAATGTTAATTGTTTTTGTGCTTCTTTCCACATTACCCAGGAAAGGCGCATAATATGCACAATATAACTGAATATTAATATTGGTTTGTTCGCAGAGAATTATCGCTGTCTTCAAATAAACCTGAAGGTTGCACGAGATATAAATTACTACATCAGCATATTCTTTCTTCCAAACATTATCCTGGTGAATATATCTTTCATCACTTTCTGGATACATAGGAATGCTGTTCATGCGAGAGTCATAATTGGTAAGCATTTTGTTTATGATTGACAATAATGAATAATATTAGAATATCCGATGCAATATTACAGGAGCAATCACGTCTATGGCTCTATTCGCCATTTCAAATGGCTTTATATGCACTTTGCCGTTAGCGAGAAATTTAACCGAGATAAAAACTTGGAATGGTGTTTGCATGTATTTCATCTGTGGCTCGCTTTTGGAGTTCGTATTAGTCCACTATTTGGGCCAAAAAGAACTACAATCTGATAATGCTTCCGCTATTGTTGAAAATGTCGACAGAATCGTAAGTTTTTCTTTTACTTTTTTGGTATACGAGTACTATCCCTTGTGTTTTTTTATGTAAGCCCTGTTCGGCTTCTTGCATCCGCACAATTATTTTAAACTATTCAAACTGAATTGAATCGGGTACAATCTTTATTCCACAATGACGAAATTTGAAAAAATCTCAGATAAAATTGATTAAGGTCTATCTAATCACATACATCCTGATTTCGGTTGCATAGTAGTGCAAGCTACATAGCTTACTGATATAACTATCGTCTAATATAAACCGAAAAGAAAAAAAATAATAATAATTGAACACAGCAAAACACATCAAATTTCAAATAATGTGTATATTCCAGATGCCCAATGGAAAGCCGGCGAATTAGGTTCCCTTTGCGCAATTTGTGGACAAAATTGCCCGCGTTTTATTCCCGTTTGCATTTGGAACCTTTGTTATCTTTTTTATTTATAATAACTGAAGTAGCAGCAATGATACAGATGAAGTACTCCGCTCTTCTCGGTCAGCACCTAACGATCAGGTAAAACTGTTCTTGGGCTAAACATGTACCTCGATAATTTGACTTGGTCATAAACTAACGTAAGTTAAAGGTCTGCACAACAGCTGACAAAACAATTATCAATGAATTTTTAATGAGGGCAATACTATTTCTTGAAAACAATGGAATTTATAGTAGAACCTTGCCGACCTACCAAGAATATTATATTGGTTGCAAGAATTTGATGTTGACAATGCAAATGCATACAATTGATGTATCAAAGTAAATGTTTGAAAAATTTATTTTCCTATAAATATTAGCATAAATTATCATGAAATAGTAAAATTACTAGTAGTATGTTACAGAATTATATAAATTTATTTATTCATACATTATAATACAAATGATTAAATTGAATTAGAAAATTGACAAAAAATTTTCATGAAATAATTCGGACATCGTGATATGTACACAATGGCAAGTATAAAGTGAAAATTAGTCAATTAAACTTGTTCAAACAAAAATTACATAAATTGAACACATGTACCACATAATATTGACCCAATTGAATTATATTTTTATACTACAGATGTAAATTTATTTTTGTCAAGTCAAAGTAAATGTTGTAATCATGAATACGACAAAAAATTACAATAATGTTATCATGTGTTGCTTAATGAATATAATATATTGAATGTTAAAATGTCAAATAACTATATTGATATTAATTATTTTTGGCAATCCTTCTTCCGAAAGAGATAATAATCCCTTGGTGCGCGTGGTAAATACGCGACTTGCATGCTATAATCAATAATCACTTTGAACTGTGCTTTCTACGCATTGTTCGTCAAATCCAAGAAGAAATTAAATGAACTTAATAACAACGCAATGCAGCACAAAATACAAACAGATATACCTCACCACATGTAACTGTAATTCTATACTATCAATATCCATCAATAATCAAATATTCTGTTAATTGGGGTTCGTGGTTGAGGGGTCAGCATTATGCAGGAATTAGTATTCGCTAATTGGTGTATCTGTACCAGTCAGAAGGAATTTTATTGAACCAAAATGAATCACCAGTTTCCCTTCGCGCCTTTGAACCGAATTAAATTCCAGCATTGATTTAATTAACTTTGCCGTTTGAATTTAACAGCCTCTTCACGCACTCATCTATAATGAACACTGAATTACAGATTTAATAATGTAAAGTCTGTTATTAGACAAAAAATTCCAAACTTCTAAGTACATACGAATTTCATTTTATTATTTACAATACCTACAATATTACAAGAGTAAATGCTCAGTGCTTTCAAATAGTGCTTTTAATTTCAGAAGCCTAAATTAATTGAATATCTAATAAATTAATATCCAAAAGAGCAATTCGCATTAATTTCAATTTCTGATAGTGTTTCAACAGTTCAATCCCGTTCATAGTCAGCTTTCAATTCAAACTCTGAATTATGCCACTTGTTGCTTTTATGTAACCCCTTTGTACTGTACTCTAGAAAGGCTACACTGGTTAATAGTGTTTGCAAAATAATATTAGTAAACTTCAAGCTGTGCTACAATGAAAAGTTCCTTATCACATGGTACAAAAAAATATTTGAGTAATACACATTTCTATTGTTACTTGCATGTTAGTTTCTTACAGTACTTACTTTGTTTTGTTATTTAAATATATGTTTTAAAGTTTGTAAATACGAGTTTGCATCAATTTGCAATGATGGCTATTGCGCAATACCAAATATTGCAAGTTGGAATTTAGTTGATTAACAACACAAACTGATATTGTAAAATTGTCCTAAAACATTGATTTTCAGGGCGTATTGAAAAGAACAAATTCTAAAATATGCAGCCTGTTGCATGTATTGTTGCAGCATTTTTTAAAAGTCGTTGTATTTTATTAATTGTAGTCGAATTCGTTGAATTATCATATTTTGGAAGGCGAGTCATTCCGGATTATATAGATTATGGCATTGATGATTTTATTTTGTATTTGCTACTATATTCAATAAAAGTTTTAATTTATGAACGAATTAATAAAATGAATTTCCCAAAACAGGTATTGCACACAAAAGTAATATCAGATAGATGAATATACAGTGGAACGTCGGTAATCCGGTACACAGCTTAATTCGGCACACTTTGTGGATCCGACATGGTCATACAAGTGTGCTTGTACTTTTAAGATTTTAATTTGTCGGATTAGAAGGTTTTTTTGTAAAAATATTCCGAACTATAAGGTTTTAGGTATTTTTCACTGACACCTCCTGTAAAGTGATTGTTTGGATTACCGGCGTTATACTGTAATTATATTGAATAATTATATTATACCACTATAGAATTTTGTGAAAATTAATAAATAAAGTTTTTTAATTACATCAATGCAAATCTTGGTTACTAATCAAATCTTTTAAAAATTATTATCAAAATGAAGTATGAAGTATCTTAAAATTGCACTTTATGGAGTTGTAGTGTATTGAATGCGTGTGTGCATTAATGATATGATACGTAATACAAATCTCATTTACAGATTAAAATTTGTCTTGTATACGAATAAGTTAGAGTACAATCTAAAAGGCAGTAAAAAATAAATAAAATAAAATGCTATTGGGCGTTAGTTTAATTAATTAACGTACTCACTAATTAAAACGCTCTCAAGTGGCGGGTTCTCCTTGTAAATTCTACCTGAAAAACATGAACTTCGACTAGGAATTTCTATTGTTTACGAAGATCATTAAAAGAGTGGAAGGTAACTTGTTATTCTACCTTATCCATTATTTTTTTTGCAGTTCCTTGATTTATAGATTGTAGTCATTTCACGAAAATTTCAATAATAAATGCAAGAAAAACCAACCTCTGTTGCTAAAACGATTATAAAGATGCAAATTACATATAACAAACTGAATAAATAAAATCATTTGTTTTGAGCACGAGACTAATATTTCGCGTAATTAGTTAAATAAAATTGAATAATCCTAACCGTTTGAAAAATCGCCTGTAAATAGAAATGCATTATATTATACATATTTTGCCGTATCCAATTCTTCGACTCATTGCTATCAATTCCTTCGCACGTTCAGTTTAATATCTATTGTATTAAAGTAGAGCGACTTTAGCCGATGTAGATTTTACTATAAATTTATTTTGATTACAATTCCAAATTTTATTTATTTTTTCCTTAGAATATCTCCGATCTAATTTTTCATCAATTTGTCAAAATTGATTCAGTGATTTTTGCACTGTATTACATAGTAATACCATTCAGATGCTGTAAGTGCATCAAAGCTGTGTTCCGTAACACTATCGACATATTACACATCTATCGAGCACACTTCCAAATGTTTTCCTGTGGAAACACAGCTGTGCTATGAAATCTGTTCTTCAAGTAAGCAAAACTAAATGTAATACAAAAAGGTTCGCCTAGATGTCGCTGGCATTGAGGGAATCGATTTTTCCAGCTGTTGTGCACCGAGTATTCTCGATAAGACGTTAGTTCTCGTCCTGCTGGCAGAACCCACAGAAACGCGGTTCACAAGTTGTAAACGATTGAAATCTACCCACAAAGTAGAGTGGCACAAAATTCCTTTGTAAAACCAATTTGATATTTTATTAAATCAAACTTAAAATATTAAGCAAAGTGCCGCAAAGATTTCCGAAAGTTAACTAGTGACTGCAAAATATATCATCCTAAGGGGAGTATTGATTGTGAATTAAATATAACGTTCATCTTCCTCGTTATCGGGTACCGCTGACGTCGACCAGTGACTGAAAACAACGTGTTATTTTCGTCCGAGAGCCTTGGTTGATCCAACTGAGGATCCTGTTGCCTGGTAGTTTCAAGGTTTCTTTTTGGTATTTTTTGCATGTCATTGTTTCTTATATCCCAACAAATAATCAAAACACATTTTATTTATTGTGGAAAATATGGATTCTACCCAGCATTCAAGTTATAATTCCGCAAATAATTTAAGTGACAAATGGGAAATGCACTACTACCGCAGCTTTCAAAAATGATTTTCCTGCTGGCGTGCAAACCGTAAATTTCTCTTATTTTGATAAAACAATTCAATAATGTAGGTATGCTTTCCGGCCTTGGGATGATTCACCGCCTACTTTCTCAATGCATGACACTACTCCCAGCGACACGCCGATGAACATTGGCATATTCTAGTCTAAAGATTTAAAAAACAACTTGTAGTTATTCTACATCAGCTGCTCGACTTAAGCAGGTATGCAGGGAACTCTTGGAGTGCGATACCAATCAAAGAATTCACTAATTTAATTGATACCATTATATAAAACTATTTTTATGAATGATTGTCAATAAATCAAACATTCCCGAAAAAAGTTTATAGTTTATTTTTATATCACTGTTTTATATCACAATTTGTTTTAGGTGTCAATTCGACCTCAGAGAACAGCCGTACGCAGTACCGGCTTAGGGTAACGCGCGGTTGGGCGACCGTCCAGGTGCCCCGGACTTTAAAGGGCGCCGAATCGCACTAGGCCGGTTTTTTTCGTATGGGTTCGAATTGCAGTAAGGGGGCGCCGTAGATATCTCGCCCAGGGCGCTGGTAGTGCTAAAACCGGCACTGGCCGTACGTGTACCAAATTGCAACTTATTGCAGTTTGAAGAATTGCGTTTCTTTTCATTCAAATAATTCAATAAATTGCTAAATTGAAATGGTTGTGCAGCAAAAGTTAGTAGTTACATTATGGCGGGAAAGTTAAGTAAGTTGTCCCAAAGTTTTCGGATTAACTACACTTGTCAGACTTGCGCAATGAGCAGGCGCACGTTCAAACCTCGGAGCACGAACGTGCTATGAACGAAACTATAAGTGTAGAAATAGAATACAGGGTAAGTTTGATGATTTCTAATAAGAAAAATTTAGCATCTCAAACATCCAGGGCGCTTAGCACGAGTCGCGCTCAAAGTAGGCTCACCAAAAAGCGAGCCGTGTCATGGATGGCAGACACGAAATTGCATCCCAAAAACTTTAGTTTAAAAATATTTATTTATTAAATTTCTACGTGATTTTTTACTGGATTTTACAATTTTATATAATGAGTTTGACATGTTTCGCCCTGAGGGCATCTTCATAAACTGATTTTTGTGTGGTGTAGTTTGTTGAGTGGTTTAAAAATTGTGTCGTGTATTGAGTTTGTGCGTTTAGTAGTTGGTGTTTGATTTTGTGTTTATATATCTGTGTGTTTTCTTTAATATATACCTAAGTATTTGTCTGTAGATGATTTTACTATGGCTCAAAGCATAAACACATGTTTTTTTTTAATCAAAATTTGCTATAAACGAAATGTTGAAGCTCGACGGTTGATACATGGGTCATTTCTAAAGTGGCGCACAAATGCGGTGACGCCACGGGGAAGGTGCAATCCAATGCGAAGGCTAATTTAAGCATCTACGAGTAATAACTTAGTGCTTTTCCAATACTTCCAAATGTTGGTCGGGTAAAAAAGCAACAATGGGTTTTTGGAGGAATTCAGCGCGGAACGCGAATGTGCTTCCTATGGGAGGTACCGAACAGGAAAGCTACCACACTTCTTCCAATAATAAAAGAGTAAGTACTCACGTGTCTTACACGAATTACTATTAGACTGAAAATTAGTGTTATATTGGGGTTGGGATATGGGCAGTTCAGTAAGGTATGGTTTTGACTTAGTTCAGAGTATCTTTTGCGTGTGGGTGTGGGGTGTGGGGAAGGAAAATATTATACTGATTTAATAGGAACAAATCTACCTCAGGCATATAATTCCTGAAACCACCGTGATGATACTGATTCATGGTCGGTATACAGTGGTACACAGTGGTGCATTTCGTTACCCCGGAACATCCCGACCTACACACACAGGGTGTGGAATCGTTCTGGTTACGATTAAAAGGGATGCTCCGCAGAAGACAGGGAGTTAAGCGTCGAGTGCCACGGGAGCACCTACAAAAATTTACGTGGTAAGGAGAGTGAAACCCCACCGAAAGCACCCCCGACAGGCTTTACTAGCCTCACGCGATACCGAGACTTTTCTCGTATCGTCTCGGTCTCGTATCGCTTTTACGAGACGATACCGAGACCGAGACGATACCATTGATAGTATCGTCCAGTCTCGTCTCGTGTGAAGCCCTAGCTTTTACTACTTTTAGCAATTCAAAACAAAGAATTTGTTAAAAAAAAATTAATACTATCCAGCATATTTGCATGGTTGGGTACGATATGGTATGGTGCGGTGAGGTGAGGTATGGTAAGGTAATGGCTTGGCAGGATCCCGCACGTCTAAAACACAACCGTAACATCCTGTATAAACCTTAAAAAAAAGACCCTACGAGTCCGACGGCTGTGGTTGCGTCGTTTTTTCTCCATTGTTTCAATGTATAACAATTACAAACATTACAAAAATACAAATTTCTGAGACTATATAAACTGCCGGATTCTTTCCGCGGTAAACAAAATGGCGGCAACACTTTTATCACTCTTGGGGCTGGTACCACTTCCGGATACTTGCCCAATCACCCAAACCTATTTCTATCCCACTTGTAGTGATTGTTTGAGTAGAAGCTATTATTTTATTATTGTTGTTGGTGGTGCCGATTGTGTACTCGCGAATCGTCTAACGGAAGACCCGAACATTCAAGTCTTACTTCTGGAAAATGGAGATTACCCTTTGAGGGAAACAAAAGTTTGTTTCATATATTTTAATGATATTTGATGGTAGAATGTTAAAAAATTTCAGATCCCATTGAATTTTACATTTTTACAAGAAACTGCTGAAGAATGTTAAGATTTCCCAGTATCCAAGTTATGTCACCGCAAAGACTTTAATAGGTCTCGGAGCTTTGGAACTTGGAATACCTGTTAATGTAGATTACATGTTTGGTTATAATGACCACCAGACTACTATCTATGAAAATACTAGATTCTTCATGGCCGAAGCTTATCTCAGACCTATATAAGATCGGAGTAATTTTTGTGTGATGGTCAAACGTAGAGTGAACAAGTTTATATTTGAAGGTACCACAGCAGTTGATGTAGAAGTACAAGATCCCAATGGTGTGGTGATGATTAAACCAACACGGGAGATTATTATCACACCTGGAGCTATAAATTCTCCAAAATTATTGATGTTGAGCGGTATAGGTCTCCAGGAGCATTTGGAAGAACTTGGTATTCCTGTGTATGCTGACCTACCAGTTGGTCAATATTTAGAGGATCATTTAATTGTGCCAGTTTTTGCTACTATTCTTGATGTCCCTATGCCTCCGTATAATCTCATGAGGGATGCGTTTTGTACAATTGGTACCCTTTTGAACAACATTGAATTAGCGAATTTTATTGGTTTTTTAACACTAAAGGAGAAACTGATAAGCCTGACTTTCTTTGAGAAATTTGGAATTATTGAAGAGTTTGCTAGTCAACTTCGTGACGCTAATCAGTTGCATAGTCTTCTATTGTTTTTGCCTACATTGTTACACCCTGTATCACGTAGAGAAATGTTTCTTCAAAATTTAGACCTAAAAAGACGGCCGAGATTATTCCCGCATGATTTTGAGGAAGGTGACGATGCCCAGGTGGTTATTGATTCTATTTATTATGTACAACTCCGTTTATTGCAAGTGATTTGTTTCGAATACGAGTCCGATGAGTATTGGAGGTGTTATTGTACGCATTTAGCAGGGACTATTTAACACCCTGCAGGCGCGTGTCGAATGAGTTTTGATAAAGCTACCCGTGGTGGATTCCAGATTAAGGATGTGGGGGATAAAGAATTTGAGGGTTGCTGATTCCAGTACTATTGCAGCTTTGGTCAGTGGGCATAATAATTTGCCTACTTGCGCATTGGCTGAGAATGCTGCCGGAGGAGAAAGTACATCCTAGCGGCATCTAGGTTCAAAGTATTGCATTTTTATGTAAACATACTATTCGTTTAGGTCAGAGGTTCCTAACCTGGGGGTAATTACCCCCGCAGGGGTAAAACGGAGATTCTAGGGGGGTAACACGGGATAGCATGAAATAGTATTAAAATAGCAATAAACGATATAATAGTATGGTAAACGGTAGCACGGCGCCATTTATATATTATATAAATTTTTATATTTCTTTAGTAGTTACGTAATCGTACAATTTCTTACATAATAAACATATTTTCGTTCGAATTTACGTGGTTTAAATTAGCTAGGGGGAAACTCAATTCCCATACTTGTTCACAGGGGTAGTGACCTTGAAAAGATTAGGAACCACTGGTTTAGGTAGTGTGATGCAGGCCCACATTTACGTCCGTGTGACACACGTGCACGGGTGCCCCTCCGTAACAAATCTGACCACACACTGACTTACTCACTGAGATTCAAAACAAAAACGAGCCACGTGCCGAACGTCGTCGGGAATCAACGAACATTACCGGAGGTGTAAAGAATCGTGTTGGTCAATATAACCGGAGATAATCTATTAAAAATGGGTCATAATAAGCGACATGTCACTGTAAGGGAAGTCATTATATCCGATTTTTTTATAAAGAATTTTATATGAAAACCAAACTTCGTAGTGTAATTACGTCATAATAATTGGTTGGTCAATATAGACCGAATCATAATAAACGGATTCTACTATACCTGGAGTTGCAAAAATGGCAATAATATCTATAAATACCTGAATTAAACATTAATTTGTGGGAGAAAAAAATTGAGTTTTGAGTAATTATTAAAAATTACGTGTGAGTATACTAGATGAACTAGAAAAATCAAACACTATTAACGTGCTAGCGAGGCTTCTTAATTGTTATATATTTGTATATAAATTATTTCATAATTAATATTCAATGTTATAAAAAAAATTAAAAAATAAATAGTGAGCAATTGTCCGTGTGAGCAAAAGTCACTGTGGGGAGTATTCCCTGTGAGCACAAGCCCTGTGACCAACAGTCCGTGAGCGTAGTTATGACTGTGGGCAGTTGTCTGTGAGCAGTTGTCGTGTGAGCGATCGTCTTAGAAGCAAAAGTCCGGTCACGGTTTTTACGCTGCATTTCACGTAGTTGGTGAGATGGTATTGCAGTGAGATCGGTATTGCCCTGGCAAAAAACAGCAAAAGCGAGACGTACGTAGTTGCCAATTATAATTCTAGGGGCATTCTGATTGGATACTTCAATGAAAATGTACTGAAGGCCAAGGTTGTTTGACGACTTACGAAACGACGGTTCAAGTCGAGCGAGAGGTAGATTTGGACTTTATAGATTGAGGAGTGAGCACCAAGACGGATATGATAAACCATCTTGTTACTTGAACTATACTAATTAACATGTTATGTATTTATATATACTTAAATAATTTTCACAACATAAATACAATGACATAGTTCAAAATAATTATTTTATTCCATTTTATTTTGTTTGTTAGTAATACCTTTATTCATCTAAAAAAATTGTCGCTAGACTGTGCTAGTTGTATCAAAATTCAGTATTTCGGTTATTTACTGTTCAATACGTCGTGTTCATAGATTGGCCTTGTATGTATGTATGTCTTATCTTTGTATACGTTGTGCACACTCAGCCTGGACGTGCGCTGTTACTTTCTCTTTGCGCGCACGCAGGCATATTCTTCCATGATAAGAGGTCAGTTTATTTTTACCGTCGGCTGGTTCATGTTCTGCACTTCAACTCGCCACGTTGTTTGTGTATTTAATTTAATTCGTTAATTGGGTCTCTAATGTAATAGCATACCGCCTGTATTTAGTGGTAACAAAAGTGTATTGAGTCTTCGTTATTTTTTCGTGTGTGTGTGTGTTCTCAAGCGTATTCCCTGACGCGATCTCCCATTTGTGCGTATGTGACCTGCCGTCGCCCGACGGCTAACGTATAACATTCAATTTAAGGATTGAACCCGATGCAAGAAAATACAGGTAACATTTTCGCCGCTTCTCAAAATTCGTTACCGGACATTTGCCCCCAAGACGATCGCTCACACGACAACTGCCCACAGTCATAACTGCGCACACGGACAATTGCTCACAGGGCTTTTCCTCACATTGACAATTGCTCACAATTTAATATTTTTTTATTTATGTTTTTAAACAATAAATAATAATTATGAAATAATTTATATACAAATATGTAACAATTAAGAGGCCTCGCTAGCACGCTAATAGTGTTTGATTTTTCAAATAAACTATTTGTTCATTCTATCTTAATTAAATTCTATCTTAAAAGTGGTAGAAGTGACTCGTATTCAGGGCACAGAACGAGGGGAGCGGTAGAATTGACTCGTATTCAGGGCACCGTACGAGGGTAGCGGTAGAAGTGACTCATATTCAGGGCACCGTACGAGGGTAGCGGTAGGATTGACTCGAATTCAGGGCATCATTCCAGGAAAGTGGTGGAAGTGACTCGTATTCAGGGCACCGTACGAGAATAGCGGTTAAAGTGACTCGCATTCACGACACCGTACGAAGGTAACGGTAGAAGTGACTCGTATTCAGGTCATCATTCCAGGAAAGTGGTAGAAGTGACTCATATTCAGGGCACCGTACGAGGGTAGCGGTAGGATTGACTCGTATTCAGGGCACCGTACGAGGGTAGCGGTAGAATTGACTCGTATTCAGGGCATCATTCCCGGAATGTGGTGGAAGTGACTCGTATTCAAGGCACCGTACGAGAATAGCGGTAAAAGTGACTCGTATTCACGACAACGTACGAGGGTAACGGTAGAAGTGACTTGTATTCAGGGCACTATACGAGGGTGAATTCCCAGCCCAACTCGTTGCATTAGAAATTGTAGTTTTTTCTGTATAACACGCGAACCTTGTGTCTCAGTAACTTCAAAAAAATTTCCCAGATGCATAATTTAGATATTTGTTGATGTTTGGTCAATAATGCAGAATTATATTTACCCATCAATGTTGCATTTCCTACTCTACACGTTTATCGGGGTTGTGTATAAACAACTTCTTTATCGCATTGAACCAGTTCCATGCTAAGTGCACGTACGCTACGAACGTTCGATCGTTTTAGTTTGTTCCTAGCAACGCGCGGTGGCCCATCTTTCTCATATTTATTTGAATTCAATGAATTGCATAACGTTTTATGTACTAAAATCAACATCTAATGCTAATACTTGTGCACTCGATGTTGCTATTCATTTGTGTGCTGAACATTTACAAAATTTGTGTCTTTATTTGTGTTAATGGTCCGTCGGCCATTGCATTAGTTCGGTGCTGAGAATCGGAATTAAAATTAGTTATACTTCTGCCTATTGCCAAAACGTGTAATCAACATCTGTCCTTGTAATGCAAGTTTATAATCCGACGGGACGGACTTAAATGGTACATGGGGTAGTGCGAGATCTAACACATGTGTTTTTTTTTGTTTCAGTTCTAGATTACCTGATGCGGGGGTAAGTTTGTAAATATTATTACATAATTTTTACATTTTGCTTTAATTGCGTGTAGTAGATAGATGTATTGTTATAACTTAAAATTGTCGCATGTCGTGGGATGCATTTTGGGTATCGCTGTAAAAAGTTTTCACCTTTCCTTTTCATTTCACATTTTTATGTGTGTTTGCAATTTTTATTCTCTAATAGCGTTGGTGTGTTTAGTAGTGTGACAATGAATTACTGCCCGTAACATACATGTAATACGCGATTTCAATGTTTCCAACCGCGTGTGCGTGCCGTCGGCACGTGAGATTGCGTCGCAAACTGTTGAACTTAATTGTTGTCTTACCTTCCCTTCATTTATTATTATGCAATCTAAAAAGAAACAGGCAACAACAACCTGTATATTTGCTTTTCTTGATTTGCAATCAATCCCTTGACTATTCTTTTGTGTTCAAGTGTTTTCTGTCTTACATTTATGTTTTGTAACACCCTGTATATGACTTTCCATCTTGTGAAAATCCTGTTAAGTTTATTGCTGCAATTTTCTTTTGGAAGCATCATTTTTCTTTTGGTAACACCCTGTATTTTAATTTTCATTTGTATAGATGTACGAATAAAAATTTGCTGAGTATTGTTTAAAAGAGTGTCCTCGCTTGAACTTTGATTTTTATAACACCGTGTATATTTGCTTTTCTCCCACGTGGAAAATTGGCTTCATTTGTAGAATTTGGAAGTTTATGTATTCTATATGTATTTGTTCTTGTTTTGATACACCCTGTATATCAATTTACCGTGGAATATGGTTAAGATGTATGTTATCGTCTTATTTATTTATTATTCTAAATTTTTTAAATAATATTATTTGTGTGAAACATCCTGTATATTAATTCCCTTATGTCCCTTAAATTCAGCCATGATATATGTTTTCCTACTTGTACTTTGATTTTTTTTTTAATAATCTAATTTTCGTTTTGTGACACCCTGTATATTGGTTTTCCATATTCTGTCCGGAAAGTTTGATTAATTTTGTTAGTGCTACATGTTTTCTTCTGTAACTAATTACGAGTACATGTCTGTCCCGACGAATGGTGCTCGTAAAAGGTGATTCAAAAAGGCGACCTCTACTTTGTTATCCTCATGTTGTGATTATAAGTTCTCTGTACGTTTTCTTTTAATAAAGATATTACAAAAGTGGTTGTTGCTCATGTCTTGTTAGTTTCCCTTCTATCATTTCAGGTACAGGTCAGAACTGTAATATTTTTAAGTGTCGGCTGTCTTGAGAGGACTTTAAACTTAGAAATATGTTTACAAATCCTCATAAGGAATGTCCTTATAAGGAGTTCTCCCACTCGGGGGATGATCCCCACCATAAAAATTGTTGATATGCCTGAGAATCCTGGGGATGAAGCGCAGAGACATCGTAGCTGTAGGTTGGGCCGGGAGCAATGGACGCATCGAAGCAGTGGGCAATAGTGTAGACTGTCTTATAGAACGATACGCCGCCAAAAAATTTAAAAATTTGATCTGATCCACACTCCTGGCTCTCGGGGTGGCTTTCTCTCATCCTACTACTCTAGTACTCTTCTCCTGCTTCTCCTCTGCGCTTTCTCTTCTACTACCTCCCCGCTCTTGTTATTTATTATTCTCTTCTTTCTACCAACTTGCTTCCACATTGTAATGCATATTCTTTAAGTATTTCAGTGTATTTGCTTGATTTTACATATGCAACCCAGATTTCATTAGTTATTTTTATATTTGAGAAAACGTCCTGCAACAGCTGGGGATCGAACCAGCAATCCATCGTATCGTAGCATATCCTACGTACCACTGAGCCACAACGCTCTGTTAGCAAATTTTGTTTGTTTCTGTTATTTATATTTATTATTTTTATAGTATGTAGTATGCAAGTAAAATTACTTACATATAGTATACTTTATTCTTGTCTTAAACATGTATTACAACTAAATCTGAAAACAGCAAACTGAACACAAGGAATAAATATGAACAAAAATATATGATTACATTATTCTTTATTGCAAATAATGAATATATATTTATTATTATCAATTAAATATTCATATTTAGTAAGGTAAATTTGTACTACATGTTACTTACTTACTGGGGCGCACAAACATATCTGCAAATTATTATAAGAAATGATGTTCCTCACATTATTACTCTTGCGAAAGCAGCCTATCCAAAAGGAGAAGGAACGTACTTTATTTCCACTAAACTACAGTAGAATCCCGGTAATCCGGACTTGGTCACATGCCATATGGTTGTACTTTAGGATTTGTAATTTGTCGGATTACAAGATACTCGTTTGTAAAAAATTCCGGACTGTAAGGGGTCTTAGACAGTCCTTTATAATCCGACAAATTCGTTCATCCGACACTGCCATGCATAGTGATTGTCGGATTACCGGGATTCCATCGTTGATGCAATGGCCGGCTGCATGCTTAAGCACACATACACGGTAAAGTTAAATCTGGGTTCCACTCGCACCAAATTGATGATAATAGTCCATGATACAAGAACAATTGATGCCAAACCTATCTAAATTCTAGTATTTCCTACAAAGATTAAAAAAGCGAAGTCTTTCAAGAGACAATTCTACTATAAGACTAAAAAAAGAACATTCCAATAACACAAATCGTTCTCGAGAGATGCTATATTAACACAGATGATAATAATAATTACCAGGCAGCACATTGGTCGCAGAAACTCAATGTAGGAAATATTAACACCCACAACATTGTAAGCACATCAGTTAGACGTTTACCAAGGATATAGAGGCAATGAATCATGAGTACAACACCAAACAAGTCCGTTTACATTAAATACCAGCGATGGAAAATAAACTGAAGTAGTAAGAAATGCGACCATGCACGGTAAGATTCTAGCGGTCGACTATTTTTACTTAAAAGGAACATCGTTGCGCCACCTAAGATTACTATACAATATCACCACCAATGTCATGTTGGACAAAGTGTTTCAAAGAGTATGGAGGTGCATACTTGTGCGTGAGAATCTTTGACTAAGTCAGTGAGTTTTCAGGTTGCTTAGGGCGAGCAACTCGTGTCGGTGTGTCACACGTACACAAAAGTGTACATGCACCATCCTGTCTAAATAAATAGCTGTTTTATCGAAAAGTGCAATAACTCGAATCTAGGTGACGCTCACACGTACTTATTCAAAACAACACTTAAGTTCGGCAGAAATGACTTAACGGTTAAAAACAACAAACATTAAGTTTATCCTTATATAAACGCTTACATAATATTTATTGTTTAAATAATAACAATTGAATCATTACATACCACACTTTCCTATATAATTGATTCATTTTTTCTTTGGATTTTTCATAAATACAGTCAAATCATCGTCATATAAAAATAACATTGTGACAAGAACGTAATCACAGCTTAAAACATCAGAAATATTATCAATATTTTTATCCTAATTATTAAATAGTCAATTTCTTAAAACATGTGTATCGTTTAAAAATTGTAGAGTTCAAAACGATTTATCAAACATCTGAAAGGACTACAAAGAATTGATTACATTGTGCTCCAATGTTCAGCACGCCATAGTAGCACAAACATGTTCTGTTTAGTGTTGACAGACGGCGAAGTTGCTGCAATTGGACTCGGCAATGCATTAGAAAAACCTACAGCCGTGGGCACATCGATGTATCGCGACGGTAGGCTGCGATAACCGCGCCCAATGGTGGCTATCAAAGGTGTATCGTCGTGGCCATCATTGGCACACTTCACCTTACACAATGGAACAATCGCACGCACTTCCTCCTCGTACGGTCGAAAGATTGTGATGGGTCGAAGGGTAGCGCGCTCCGCAATGATTACACAACCCCAGGTGGTACCAATGTACAATTCATCTTTCAACACCGCAAGACTTGTCACCTGGTAAAAGAAAAACTGTTTTCGAATGCCAAACTAATAATAATTAATAACTTTTACCTGACAATTAGTCGGACTGAGATGTTCCTCGATGGCGATGGACTTTAAACTCTCCGAACACGGTACCAGTTTCGAACTGTCCAGCTTATTGAGGATCGTGCGTGTTTTTTGGTCCCATTGGTAAACAATACAACCGGGGTAAACGTAGGACCACACTGTGTTGCCCGCTGAGATCAAGTTGATCACCTCCACCTTCTCAATCAGGGGTTGGTAATGATTCAGCAACTCGTGGCCGGCTACCACTTGATCCTTGATCGTATATACTGAGATCTGACCCATTGATTGGCCACTCCAAATTTCACATATCCTGATTTTTAGAAATCAAATTATAACTCATATAGAAACAGTAACAAACCACATACTTTCCGTTATCCTTGTAAGTGGCACACAAACAATTAATATTGCTACTGACGCCAAGCTCAGTCATCACAAAACTTCCTTCTGCCGATGACGGCGTCCTCGGAATAGCTTCGGAATGTAGCAGAAACAGTCGTCCATTGGACATCGCACACGCAACGCGTTTCAAACTAGGCAAATACGTCAATGCTTTAACTGAAACATTGTCCTCAGTCTCCAACTGATAGGAGAAGAGTTTGTAACCATCAGTTACTCTGAAAAATTAAAAGAATAATATTTGTGCCAAAATGAAAAAATCATACGCACGAGTAGCCATGAAGTTGACCAACATAGTCCCCAATCCAAATCGTTGGACCCACCGTGCAACAAGCTGTGGGTTTGATTGGTAGCGACATTGTGTGATACTGCAGCCATCCTCGATCAGCGGCCAGCAGTAAATCCACTCGAGAATTTGCACACATCAACCACATTTCAGACCCAGACAAGCCATCCTCTTCAATAATACAAATACAAACTATCAAATAAACAGAAACTTTTAAACAGCGACTAAAATTACCTGTAATATGTAAAATAGGAGCACTAGTCGATGCAACAACGGGGGCATGATGTTTCAAAGACATAATATCACACAAATGCGTAAATTCAGGCGCACTCGCCATGGAAACGATTTGACTTGCCGAGGGACGATCCTTTGGTTGTTGGGACCAACATAGCACCATTAAATCCAAGAAATAACTTGGATATAATGTCTCCTGCATAAATTATTATAGTTTCAAGATTGTGGTCTCTTTAAAAAGATTATCTTACTCTGTAAGTAAGTGGTGGCCGTCCTCCTTCCAAAATGCACTCCTTAACTGACTCATGTCCCTCAAAAGGCTGATGAAGAGTCAATAACTCATAGAGGAACATGCCGAACGAAAAACAATCCACTTTCTCGGTGTATTCCTCTTCGCCGTTGTAGCGCATTATTTCCGGTGCCATGAAACCCTCAGTCCCACCAAATCCTTTTGTACCTGATGGTAGAGTCTGTCTACTTATACCTAACAATAAATCAAGACAATAAATAAACTTTTCAAATGAAAAAAAATCTATTTACCATAGTCAGCTACTTTGATATGCACACTCTGATCAGGGGAGTCTACAAAGGGAGGTGGCATTTCCCACACCAGAACATTCTCAGACTTCAAATCACGATAAATAATATGTTGACGATGTAAATATTCAATAGCCTTTGCAACCTGAAATCAATCAAAGATTATAACCACACATTACACTAAATTTGATTAAAAAATACCTGTAAAATGACTGCTTGTAGAGTATAAACACCAACTTTAGCACCGGATCTTCTATAATGGCGCAGAACTATATCTAATGCGCCCTGTGGAGCTAAATCCAAAACTAACGCTAAAGGACTAGTACAAACGCCGACAAACGGAACAATATTTGGATGTCTTAGCGACAGTAAAATATTCAACTCTTGCCTCGCTGTGCAATACGCCTTGCATGCGTACTGCAAAGGATCACGATCCCATTTCCCTTGCGCTGCTTTATACGCTATAATGGCCGACTGTCTCGCGTTGGGTCCCGGCTGAACTGGTTGCAACATTTTCATCGCAACGTCTATTATCGAATTACTTCCTCTATTCTTACAAGTTCCTTTAAATACAAAACCAAATGCTCCGCGTCCCAACAAACGTCCCTTCTTGATATTTTCCGGTTTTATCAGGTATCGATCGCCAAGATCCGCAAATATCTGCAAGTAAAATTGCAAATATTAAAATTTTTGCAGTTTTGTAGATTTTAACACCGACTTACAGTGTCAGGCGCTATTTGTGTGAGTTTAATATTGCCATGACTCGGACAATTGATTGTTTTGGTGCTGTACGCTGCCAAAATACACTCTTCAACCATCCAACTGTAATATAACGGTTGACCAGCGTTTTCCTCATCCAGTTTAACGCTTGGATGTCCTTCTACAGTTGGCATTGGACTGGATCCTGGTGAATCTGGTCCTACCCCACTATCACACTCAGACGTGTAACTCTCCTGAGACTTCCGGATTCGTATTTGATTATAATTTGCGTCGTCATCTTCCTGGTTTGTAGATTGCTCACCGGGGAAGTTCATAATCTTTTCTTCAACATCCGCACTAGCTGCGAGACAATTAGGACACGGAACCAATCTAGTTATCAAAAATTTCCCCTCCGACGTGTGCACGAAACGTGTCCCCAATGTCGGATACCAATCCTCTAATAAAATATCAATATGATCAACAGCGAGCGCCAATAATTGCGCGGTCGCTTCCGGAATGCATTCAATAATAAAATCCTCCTTAATCTTAAACGTCTTCAAATCAGAATCTTCCATTAAATTCGGTTTGATCACCAGCGACTCCACTGGAAAGTAAACTTCTAGTATTGAAGTATTCTGCATGTCCACTTCGCACCAGACGCCATCTTGTTTCAGTTTAAACTTGAGTTGTCTGTAATACGCGGCAGAGTTGTATAATACTTCTCGCAGGCGAAACAGGGTCATGTCGCCATACTTTAGTTGTAGGCCCGTTTGCCACAATACCCACTCGGCTTTAAAGTCCAACAACTTTACCAGCTCGGAATCTTGTGCGACTTCTTTCGGAAATATAAAGAACGATCGAATAATATCGATTATTGTATCATCTGCCAAAATGCGTGACATTAACCGAGACCAAAACCCAGATGGAAAGTAAGACATTAATAACAATCTTGTAATAGATTTATTCGATGGTCTGTTGAGTATTTGATACTTGATCAAGTCCGCGGGTTCTTCTATTGATGACTTGGAAGAAGGCAGACTCATTTCAAATCTACCAGGTGCGCTACTATCCCGGTACAACATGGACTTAGCTGAGACAGTTATTTTCTTACTACGGACTGCCCAACCTCTAGATCTAAGTGGTACCTTCACTTTTACCATGGGGTGAAACTGTCCCGGATACATTTGGGCGTTGTGAATATCTTCCTCTGATGGTAACAGGGACGGTATCAATAAAGTTCGAGAATCCCAAGTGAGAGCCACTTCGAATTTGTTTAATAAATTGACGATGTACCCTCGGGTATCCATTGGACCAATGTTGCTTGCTTTGAAGATGTGTTTCAAGTCATCCAATTTCATTATACCACTGCGTGCGAATGGATTAATCTCTCGAATGGTCACAACATGTGCCAACATATCACACAACCATTGCGGATCCAGAAAGTATAAATCTTTCAACGTTGCGTCGTCATAATGCAACAAAACACCATTATCATGCAGAAAGAGTGTCGCTTGATGCAATTCTCCAGCATCACGAAACGTCCGATTGTACCGCGTCATCATTTCGGTTGTTACAATACTTTTGTACTGCTCCGCGGTCAAAACTGGGTCCAAATTCGCCGAGCGTCTTTCCGCTGCAACGTAATTAACAACGTCTTCTAACGCAAGATAAGTCGCGGGTACCTTTTGCTCCAAAAGCAATTCTTTACTCCCAGGTGGTCTTAGACTGAAGACGGTGTCATAAATTAAATTACACAATAATTTGATATTATGCCTCGTTTTGCAACTGATCTCTATTGTGTCGAGCACGCGAGGCAACCCGCACTTTTCAGCATCAACCACGTTTATAAATCGTTCGCGTATAACTTGTTGATACTCCTCGCAAATGTTCGGATTCGCGTCCTGCACAACATCGTAGTGCGAGCCGACAATCAGAACCGGTGAATTTGGCGCACGTGCTTGAATATTCACTAACCATTGCAGAATTTCATTCAGACCACGATAACCATCACTTATTTTCCACACAACTAGATATAAACTACGTTTAGAGAGGAAGTATTGATGCGTGGCGTAGTATTCTTTCTGGCCGCCAAAGTCCCACGTGCGGAAAATGACGGGCCCATGCGAGGATTGATTACGAATCTTCTTTTCGTACACCCAGTCACCAATATCCACGCCAACAGTGGACATGTTGGTACCACGTGATGTTTTCACATTAATGTTTTTGTTGCCCATTCGTTTTGCCCAATGCTAAACACATTTTCATTAAAAGAATGAACTGGGTTATAAAATAAACATTCTGATACTTACTTCCGGTTTCTTACGACTGATTCCTTCCTGTCTGAGGGCTTCAAGTAGACTTGTCTTACCAATTCCTTGTATTCCCACAATCATAAGTTTCATGCGCGCGTAGGGCCGCGCATCCTCCAAAACAGACTTCAGATATCCGATAATATCCATTGTTTTGTACTTTTTACTCTCTATCATAGATTTCAGCGGCTCCTGAAGGGAGCACCCGCGCGTGTTCAAGTTCCATAGCCGAGAGAGCAAACCCATCTGCGGTGGCAGTTCGTTTACATCTAAAAATAGTCGGGTAAACTATTTTTACTAACAAGAGCATGCCAAAAAAATACCTAGATTCCCGCTAATGTTCAAACAGGATAAATTGTTTAGTTCGTAGATATTCGCAGGGATTTCGCGCAAGTTGTTATTGCTAATATCCAACATGGATAAATTTGGAAACATCAAACGTTGTTTACCGGAAATTAACGTCTGAAATTGTCTTTCATTTATCATTTGTGACCTTTTCATGCATTTGTAACTTACTCTATCTTCATCATCTTCGATGTTGCTAAAATCTCCATCATCGTCCGTTGTGAGTTGAATCCTGTGCAATTGATTATCGGTCAAGATCAAAGTTCGAAGATTATCTAGTCGTAAATGCCTTCGATGTGAACAAACAGTGTGCAGGACAATATTTCGCACAGAACGACCACTCTGCCTCCTTGCCATCACAGGTAATTTATCCTTACAACAAGAATTGGAATAACAAGCCAAATTCGCCAACTCCATTTCATCTTGGGCTTCAACCTGTGGCAAACTGGGCCACACACTGATCTGATTGTGACTTAAGTCAAGTTGTTTCAACGAACTGGGATAACTCGTAATGTGCGACATGGAACGCAAGGAGTTAAATGCCATATTCAAGCGAGTTAAATTCACAGCCAAACAGGGCAACACAACGGGTATGCTAGAGAATAAATTATGCGCTAAATTCAAGGAGGAAAGTTGCGATGCTTTATCGGTGACGGATTCATCGTTGTGCATGATTTGCTCCGTGACTTCGACGGTTTTATTCCAAATGTGATGTTTTGTCATATCCAATTGACTAAAATTAAATTATTTGATAAATAATACCTTTTCAAGTTTTGTGTGGAATATTTACATAAGAGAACGATCTTTTTTCCGGTATCGCACTGGTTGTTTACCATCCTCATTCTCCACATCCGTGTCGGAATGTATTTCGGTTTCTAGATCCACTTCAGCGTGAATGGACAACTGACTATCACTTGAACTAATACTCATTCTATCACAATCGTCTTTGATATTCTGAAAATCCTTTAAAATTCAAAATGGCGTCTCTAAACACAAGCATCGACCAAAAACTTACATCATTTGGATTTGAAGGCAACTTATTCAACAAATTAAAACTCGCATTGAGTTCTTTCAGTTTCGGCGCCGTCCACATATTAAAACTCAACTGTTGCAGTTTATTATTTGATACAACCAGTGTGACCAAACTCGGAAGTCGGAAAATGGCCTCCGGTATGTGATCCAGTCTGTTATCCTGAAGATAGAGTTCTTCTAACACAGGACACTGATAATTCGCCTCTGTTTTTTGACTCTTTTTACTGCGGTGTAGTTTTTTATCCGGATGTTCCGGCGGTGGTGGAAGTTTCTCAATTTTATTCTGCGAGATATTCAGAAATCGTACGCTGTAAAGTTGAAACACCGAGAGCGGTACCGACGTCAGTGAATTATTAGAAATATCAAGCCGTGTTATCGCATAAAGTGCAACTTCAGAACACCTCGGATTGGCTTTTAACTTCCCATTTAAATGCAACGCAGCATCCGCAAGCCATTGCGTGCGGATTTGCTTAAGATGACAGCGCTGATTATGCCAGTTAATCATTGTGGGCGTATTGGGGAATATTGCGCTATAAGTTAGATTCGTAACGTTCGAAAATATCGAAAACTGCGAGGAGTGAATGTTCTCCGTCATTGCTTTCTTGTTTATTTTATATTCGGAATCAGGATGCGCCTTTAAAGTATGAAATTAGTTAATTTCCAGCGTTGGATTATTTAGAGTGTACTTACTTTGGTTGATAAAAGTTTAGCAGTGAGAACTTCGTCTTTGTTTTGAACCACCACTGCCAAAGCCTTGCATTCATCATCTCTTGCTCCGCAGCGCAACAAGAGATCAACAAGTGGACCATCGCGGTTTTTACATGCTTCCATTAAGGCTGTTGATTGTCCTGAACTTAAGTCATCTTCAATTGAACAACAACTTATACCCTATGATGAAAATATTCAGTTTTGAGGACAAATTTATGCATTTTTTAAGTTTTTAAGAGTCCATACCTCATTATAATCCAAATATGCTTTGATAATCATATTGGGATTAGCACCCGCATCCAATAAACTCAAAGCAATATCATACTGCTTTCCCTTCACGGCTGAATGCAGAGCAGTCTCTGTATTGTTGTTGCAATACATGTCGATGCGCAAAGGTGAAATGTTACAGATGTCAGGGTCGTTCTAATAATAAATATTGAAATTTTCCGATGTGTTATCACTTTGATCGACGTAAACTTACATTTTGTTGTTCGTGACTCTCCGATGACAAATTCAACTTGGTGAGGATGGCGTGTATGCCGTTCGAAACACGACGCTTCGTCGGGCTGATCAGTGATCTGCTATTTTCGGAACTTGGCGTTGCGTCCTCATCCTACCGAAATAACGAAACACACTCAACAAATACCCAAACCGTGTTCAACAAAATGAAAAGAGTTGTATTTCGCACATTGCTTTCGCAACTTGCGCGCTGATTAGTTTAATTGTGCTACGCTTCGTAACACATTTCCAACTTTAATTTACTTTTACCCGCAAGTGAAACGGAATGTGCGCACGCATATATTACATACCCCCTTGATTCGATTCGCTTTTACTTTGAACTTGAGAATCGCGTTCAGAATCTTTTTATTGCCGTGCAAACATGCCATGTACAGGATGTTCTGCCCGCTTGCATCGCGTTCGTTGATGTCGAAAGGCATATAATACTCCCATTGTCGTGTCGAATCCCTAAAAATATCAAATTTATCATTTCTATACCATTCAAGTCCCAAAAATTGATGTAATTGGTTTAATATAAGCTTATAATTAAATTTAGCACTTACTTGTATTTTTTCATAAGCATTTCCGGGTAGGTAAAGTTCAAAAGTAGTTCTAAAACATGCACGTGGCCATTAATGGTCGCCGCATGGATGGGCAGCCATTTTTCGACGGTATGGTGCTAGAGGAATATTTAGTTAAGTTTAATTTAATATTTAGATACAAATAAAATAGTTTTTAATGCTTTAATACATACCTGCACAAGTTCCGGAAACTTTTGCAGCAATATCTCGACGATTTCAAGATGGCCATGATTGCACGCGATGTAAAGCGGAGAATATTTTGTGACAGGATGGTAACGACCGTCTGCACCGCTTTCTAAGAGTATTTTAACTACATCTTTATTTCCTATTTGACACGCACTAAAAATTATCAAAATTTCATCAAATTTTCGTAAAAACGTCAAAATGCCTATTTTTCTTCATTTTTTAAATACTTACGTGTACAAAAGTGTGTTGGCCCCACTCGGGGCCATGTTTATTATCAGTTCGGCATCTTTGGAGAGCGTTTGCAAGAGTTCGGCGAGCGCTTTCGCGTCGCTCTTGTTTGACGCATCCCGGAGCGCGGCGTGCACGTCCAGCCTGGCTTTTTCCCGTGCATCTACAAACAAAATTAATAATAAATATTTTTATACAAAAAAAACATCATTCCACCTTTATGCAGATTTAAATAATTAACTTCGTCTGTGAAATAATCGCACGCATCGTACGCCTGTTCAGGTGTTTTAGTTTTATTTGCTTTTTGCGTAAGTCGACACTTTGGCATAGTACACAATTAAACTTTCCGTCATAAAATGTACATAAAAAATATATTTCTGTACTCTATCAACTACAACTACGGACTAAGGAAAAAACTAAACTAAACAGTTGTTAGTCGTCGTGGAATTAAAGAGGGTGTGATGTGTGGGGTTATCGCGTAGTACCGGCGAAAAATCAATACGCCGCCCGACACGCCAGAAACATAATATCTGCGTACGATTTCCACAAACATGAATCCCGCGCGTTGGAATTATATCATAAACACAACATTTTGCGGTCGTTTGAAATAGATACACATAATACAACACGCAATACGCATTACTTACGTTTGAATAAGAAAATCTTACTGCGCGTTGTCGGCGTTTAGTCGCAGATAGTTAAACTTCCTCTGCAGCAGGAGCGCGGTAACATATAGCAGTGCGAGCATGAGTATGCCAGTGAAAATGCATCTTGCCATTGTTACTACACACGCGCACTGACAGGCCGAGTTGTGCGCACTGAGGAAACACCTCAACTCGTAAAGAAAACAAACAGGAAAGCGTTTTATTTTTAACCCGGCACGCGAAATTACTCCAGCGTTTCCCGCAACAATTCGCCACACCGTGGAAAACCGATATTGACTCAGGATTTAAGGACGCGCGGACACTGCGCATCCAAAATGTCAAGCCAAATATCACGAATGCAGCTGCACGTCGAGTTTAAAAATGTGATAAATATGAAATCAATTCGGTTCACGCAGCCTACGTAATTTAAGCCTGGAGAGATAAGTCTCGATTACAAGCCAGCACCGAATTCGAACACGGTCGTGATACGAGTGATTTTGTAATTCGTATCGTGAACTTTATACATTACGCATTCTATCTTGAATATTTCTATAAATATAAGCCGCGTTTGTTTAAATATGGCTTAATTACAGTCAGCACATCTACGGTCAGAAGCAAAATGTCTATGTTATCAAATTTTCGCCGGCCGTATGCGCAATGCATACAGTAAGACTTGAATAAACAGTCGTTAAATACGCGCGAATGGTAATTCCTTAAATGATAACAGAAGCTGTGTTGGAGTTGTGAGTAAAGCCGGTTTGTTACCATCTTTGGATAGCAATACCAACGCAACAATTCAAACAAAGACCTAATAAGACGTTTCTAGGTTTAATTTTGATATATTTAGTATAAAAAAATAATGGAAAATGCCCTAAACTGTTCATTTTTGAGTAAATTAATTAAAATTAAAATTTTGGGTAAACCTTAAAATTTTAATATTTTCAATTGAATTGAGATAATTTCAATATGATAAATTGAATTTTGGAACAAAAAACTACAAGAAAATGTCTTAAACTGTTATTTTTGAGCTAAAAATACACAAAATGCCTTTAAAATGAGCGCCATTATGGGTAAACCTCAAATATTTAATATTTCCAGTAATTTAATAGAGAAGAAGATAAAATACTGATGAAAAATATGATTCAAACCCACAAATCAAACAACTTTCTTAGATATGATATCAGTTTAAACCATTTTTATCATTCTCTGAATCATAAATTAATTTAAAGAGATTCAAACTTCAAAATAACCTAGAATCTACTCCTTATCTTTAATAATCAAAGAAATTACCTGCAGCTTCCCTCAGAAGGATAATACACTCAGTATGTCCTGCCTTATCAGCCAAATCACTTGGTGTCATGCCATTGCTATCTCTTTCCAGGATGCTCGCACCATGTTGAAGAAGAATCTGAACATTACTAAGATGTCCATGTTCAGCACACATATGCAGAGGTGTCTAAAAATAAAACAATTGTTAACATAGTTTATATTTTCTTGATTAATAAATGATAACATACTTTGTTTTCACCTCTTGGGCCACATTGGATGTTTGTATCTGCACCAGCTTGCACCAGGATTTCTATACATTCAGAATTTTCTGAGATTGCTGCTGCATGCAGTGGAGTTCTTCCCCAACTATCTTGAGAATTAATAAAAGGTAATTGACCACCAGCTAAGAGATCTTCTAGGAGTTCAGTGTTGTCCCATAATGCAGCCTGTAAATGTAATAATTTTAGATTAACATGAATTTGTTTATTGTTTATTTATTGCAGGTTAATATACCTGATGTAGAAGACGTCCGGGGAAGTCCTCATCCTCAGGTGACGAGTCGAGCATTATTGCTGCAGGTGGAACGCAGCATGAATATGTTTTGATTGCGTTTTCATGCAAAACTAGGCCAGGAGCAGTGAATGGAAATATCAGCCGCAAAAAATCGATAATTCAACGCGTTTTCGACCACGCTTCACACCAAATGCACTGTTTTCTATTAAATAATAAGCAAATAATTCATTGTCCTAGCATTTTATAAACGCATTCCACGCAGTTTGTTTATTTTAAATGCCGATAAATGCCGATGTTTTTAATGTTTTGATTTGACGATCACAGGTTATATGTTTACGCTCTGCGTATTATCAGTAAAGTGCGTGATATTGTTGCAGCGCATGCGCAGCACACAAAACGCGCACTTGAAAAATATTAGAAAATCTCAATTTTTATCAAATTTAATAAACATTTCGTAGATATTTACGTTGTAAACGATAAAGTTTAATTAAACAAAGCGATTAGTCAAAGAATTATCACTGTAGCACCTTTCGTTTAGATGATATTATCGAAAAACTGCAAATGTGCGAGGAAACAAGTACAATAATGAAAATGAATGTTTATTTTGAGTAACTATAGCCGATTTTTCACATATAATTTATCGAATAATAGAATACACTGACCAGCATGAATGCTCATAAGAAATACATAGAAAAGAAGAACAATAAACTTGCTCGTTGTAATAAAAACAATCAGAAACACGTAAATGTTCATTAGTTCAGTCTTCACGTCTGATAAACGACAACACATCAATCGTATCATTTTCATATAATGTTTACAATGTTTACACAACCTTCACAAACTTAATAAAGACGTGGTAAAGACCTTCAAATTGATAAAATCGCTTCCAGTTTGTGATTGAAGGTAAATTCGCTGATTGCTCTTATTATTGCATGTTTATTGATTTAACATTAACAATCAAACACTTTCGACACGCATTACTTATCAGTTTTTAGCTCTTGTTAGTTGATACGTTTATATTACAAAAAAAGAAGACAAAGTTTCCAATGGAAGAATATTTGTTAAGTGTTAATCCTAAAATGTACAGTTTTATTTCTCTCTCATGGTTCAAAGATTAAAAAAAGCGCTCCGATATAGTTTCCTGTTTGGATAAAACTTGAAAATACCAAAATTGTACAAAATCCGAACGACATATACACAAAAATGTCTGTTGGCTGCCTCCAGATACGAATATAAATGCTATGTATATGTAATATATGTTATTCTCACGTATATAATATTTATTTCTATTCGATGTGCTTACTTCGTGCAGTCCACAAGTTAATCTTCGAAAAAAAATCTCAAATATTGAAAGAAAACGCATCATCGACTTGATACAGAAGTTTGGTTCAGTTTGTATGCAGATGGTGAGTTGTTTTGAGTTTGTTAGTCTACAAGTTATTTGGTACTGCTTCTAGAAAGCGATAACAGGTGACATGGTTCGTGTTCGGTCAGTCGTGGTGGTTGGAGACGCTGTTTGTGATGGGGCTCGCTTGTTTCAGCACGTGGGCAATGCTGCCATTTGCCGTTAGTTGCGTCGAATCGCCCGGTTTTGCTTTCGGCACTACACGAGGCACTAGGAATAAAGCTATTAATGCTACAATGTGAAGGCACAGGTACATATGTCTGAAACAAGATGGAAATTCATTAATTTCAGTTCCGTTTCAATTAGATTCGCCATATTTACAAGTATAATCTGACTCCACCCCAGAATTCCAACAGGACAAACGTAAATGTGATGTAGGACATGACAAATCGCGTAGTCATAAATGTGAGGACGTCGTAGATGAATTTCAGTTCGGTGTTGCCCGTAAAGTAATGGCGGATTGTGCGCCTCATCTGCAAAACAACGTTTTCCAATTAAAATTCAAAAGACCACCACAGAGAATAATTGATATCGATTTCCTTGCATCATGACGGGCGGTAGGAGGTAGCAAGTTAACGATTGTCAATTATCCTGGAGAATTATGAGTATGTTTACCGTTCTGGCAGCAAAAGTGAACACAGCCCCATTGGCGAACGTCAAGTAGTAGCCGGGATAAAAGCCGTGCCACAACGCAGACAATCCGTAGGTGAGCATTGTCGCGTGTTTATCTACTCTTTCGTAGACGATCATGCGCAGCCATTGATTGGTCCCAACATTCCACGCTTCGATACTCTCTTTCAAACTTGTTCCAAACTGAAAATAATCAGAATTTCATCAAATAATTGCAGTTAAAACCTATATTAATAAGAAATATGACATTTTATGCATGTTTTTATTAAATTTTGATGGATTAGGGTGAAATACAATGAGTATTACTATAAATAAACACCTAAAACAAAATGGCACCCAAGTCTAATACAGTCAATCAAAATTTAGCTAAAAATGGTCCCAATACACATTAATGACAACTAAGGAAGATCGTAGTCTTGCTATTCACAGCAATAAACTCCTTCTTCTCAAAGATCTCATCCCATCTGATTTTCGCCTCCCCAATTTCCTGAAAATAGTCGTTCAGTTTGATCGCCCGCTTGAAAAACCTCTTCGCCAAAATGTGCTTGTTACAGATAAGTTGCAAGAACCCAGGATCATACACAGTCTTCAAATCCTTAATACTCAAATGTGCTCTTGCCTCCTCGGCAGTCAACAAAATACAATTCCATGGCGCCCATGGTAAATCCTTGAAGAACCTACACAACCTCAACTTATAAATATCATTCACCTCACTAATAACCGAATGTGACTGCCAAATCTGTGTTATTATATGATAAATATCATTTTCAGTCAGGATATACGCAATGGAACAATGTGAAGACTTTCTTCGTTCATCCCTGCGAATCAACTTCAATAAAAACCTATATGGTTGAATATCTCGCCATGGTTCCATGATCTTGTCACCAATCGAGCAGTTCTTGCACACAGTAAGAGCAGTTGTGGTGTGCTCAATGTTAAACTCATCATGCGTCCGAAACATTTTACAACGATGACAATAGAAGAGATTATCCTTCATGAGTTTCTCAGTGACGCGGTGGTAACGCAGAGCAATGTTACGATTACACTCCTTCATGTGATAGTGTTTCATGATACAAGCCTCAATACGTTTGTGTAACTCCTCAAGATGAGGATCGGTTAAACCACGACCGATCAGGAGACACGCACGATCAATCAGAGAGATAATCTCCAAACCAACTTCACAATGCATGTGATTTCTTAGTGATAGTTTCACATCCATGTACGCTTGCATACGTCCCTCGATTCCTGTTGATGTATCACACACCCTGCGAAATAAGTCGACATATTCACGCCCGGCTTGCGTCTCGAGCGTATCCATTTCAATATAGAGATTTTTATAATCACTATTCCAGGATAGCGGCGTACTGATCGTTTTTAAAAATTCTAAATCCCGCTGTACTCGTCTGTCTTCATTGAGGATCTTTTTCTGTTGTTCTATGGACATTAACATGTCGATTTCTTTCTCTAGTAAGAGATACATCTGGGACATTTTCGATGGTCCACACGCCATCTTTTTAATCTGATCAATCTGCGCTTTTTCCAATTCTCCAACATTGTGTACAACATAAAGAAATCCGCTTTTGTTCTCGGAAACACTTTCCCAATCAACTCGCGATTCTTTCTCTCATCGTCCATTTTCTGTAAATGATCCAATTCTTCTTGCTCCAAAAGTATTCGCTTTCTATACTCTGCCAGGAGTAATTTTAGAGCTTTGCGCAGTTTCCACGCACGATAATATCGTTGAATAACCCTCACTGCACCCTCTATATCAATCCTAGTTGCTTTATCATCAGCCGATTCGTATTTGCCAGCTGTAATAACCTTATCACACACATTGGGAATGTAATAATCTTGTCGAGACATCTGCGTGGCTCGTGAATACATAGTATCTTCTTTACGATTACGCATTTTGTACGTCTGCGTCGTCCTGTGCGTTTTTCCCTTGCCATCTTTTTTCACAAACGGACCGGTTTGTGTGTATCCATGATGGTATTCAATCTGTGTGATACGATCACGATATCCTCCGAGGAACGGTTTCAAAATGGAGCGGTTTTCCACCTCGACAACGAAATCCTCACACGTGCAATCATCATACACTACAGTGACGGTGATAATATCAGGGACCGTAAATGATTTGTACGCATTGTGAGCAGCTATAAACTCTTTTGGGTCGGTGGATTGTAAATCCAGATCCATCATAAAATGTTTATCATAGACTAAAGATGATAAAAGTTCGTCATCTTTGGGAACAGTGCCGTTTTGTGATATTACGATTTTCTCAACGGTAGACATATTGAAGACTTCTTTAAGAATCTCTTTAACTTCAGCGATTGTACTCTGGCCAGCATAAGATTGCGTGAAGACTTCTCGATCCAATGTGGTAAACTTGACAGTGATGACGAGTTTTTGTTTCTGGTGGATGTAATCCATGATTTCGGAGATTGTAACACTGGGGACATCTTCGAGAATGTCTTCTTTCAACTCCTCGATGTGTCTTCGATGTTGTGCGACTGTTTGTGGCTTTTACGCGTTCCCATTTTGATTAATTTTATATTAACAAGGAATAACTTGATGTATAATACGTAAATGAAGTAAAAATGACATTATGACTTGTATAATCAATACATTTTTGTTTCATCACCCTGGGAACTAATATTGATCAAATAACTTACCTCGAATTTAAAAATATGTATATTTGAGAATTTATCCCACATGGCTCCACCATTAGCATCATAGCCGGCGAAGCCAATCCCTGAGTTGTTGCAAATGGCGTCGGCGAACAACCACGCAAAGTAATACTTAAACCTAACCAACATCGTCGCCATACTAAGATACCAGAACTTGTAGAGCAGTGTGGTGTTCTCCACAAAGTCGTCGTCCTTCACGCCCTCGATGTGGAACTGCGGCAGGAAGTTCACGAATGCAGCAGCAAAGAACAACGACATCGAGACCTTTTTTATGACGGCTGGTAATGGCGACGGTTCCAGCACAACAGTTTTACCTGCATTGTTATTCAGTTTGCCCTGATAAAAAGAGAATGAGTAAATTTAATCGAATGATATTGTTTGCAGTATGATATTACTTACATTAGCTGTCGTGTGAAAGTTGTTACCGTCGATGAAATCGATATAGTCCTTGTAGAACATTGCGGGACCAGCCATGAGAGACGGAAATTGTAGGACGAAGCTGAAGTATTCCAACGTGGTGGGGATTCGTCTTACGGCGTAATGGCGTTGATTTTTTGTCATTTCGGAGTCTTTACGACACAGGCCGTCGTGTATACTGAATGCAAGGCTTGTTACTTTTTGTGTGACGACCATTAATGGACCTGTGAGAGGTTACAAAAAATTACATCGTGAAAGAATGCTACAAGAAATGCTACAAAGAATGATACAAGTGGAATACCCGCAAAAAGTGGTGGGGGAAGCAGCATACCTGTTATATCTAAACTGTATGATCCATAGTCGTAAACTTGTCGATGTAGATGTATGCAGGACAAATATATCAATGCTACAGCCAGGACCATTCTGAAATAACAGATTACTTTTCGTTTATGAGGTATTCGCAATAATATTGATAGAAAATACACAGAGTTTTGCTCTTGTTTTCTCGATTTTAATATAATAACTAACTATAGAAAATTTTAGATTAAGAATCTTCAATCCATTCCTTCCTATCTCTTTTGGTTTACGAGATATTGAAATTTGAAAAAAATGTGCAAAATCAAAAAAATCAATTTTTAGCAATTTTAGTCACGTTTTTGGACCTTTTACTCCAGGAATTATAATTATTTTATATTCTTATCTTATAGAACATTTTACATTCTTTCAGAATGTCCAATCCGTTCCTTTCTACCACTTTTAGTTTATGAAACATTCCCATTTTTCGTTAGTATCGTTATGAGAATTAGTATACAACTATTCTTAAAAGAAATATACGAGAATGGTAGTTATTTTAGACTCAAGTTATACCTAACGACTTGTTGCACGACATGGGAAATATATAAACTTATAAATACATTTAACGACAAAAACATGTACTGGTAAATACATATTTAAATATTTAAAAGCGATGACAATGTTTACATAAATGCGTAATTTATACCTTTGCATAATTTCCGGATTTGTGGTGCGTATGACAATATAACATATTGATGGCAACCCTGCCAAGTGAATCGCCTGCCTGCAACCAATAAAAACATCGCAAAAAGTAAATTAAAAGTGTTCATATTTTCAGCAAATTAAATCAATAAATGAAGGAAAGAAAATTATAGTTGTTCGGTTTCTAGAGCTGTTAGAAAGTGTCAATTTCACTCTAATAACATAATTATTACCTAGTTAATGTTAATTACAAATTAAGTAAATGTTATTATTTAATTTTTAAACGCTAATTAAGAAGAAAAAAATTAAGTAGAAAGAAAAAACGTAGATGTGATTTGTTTGCCAATAAATCATTTGTGACTCACATTCCAAAGCAGAAATAACCGATGATGAGTCCAAAGATGAGGCCAAATCCATGGCGTGTGGCCGCCTGCGTCTTCGACGGATGCAATGCAGTGCGGAATAGTGATGCGAGAGCTAATGCTACAAACTGACTGATCACGAAATTAACCTGCAACCAAATTAAGCAAAACTTAGCGTGAGTTAAAGAAAAAATCTGTAAAATCATAAAAATTGTGATTTTTATCTCCAACCACATTTTCCTGCTATTTTAAGCTCATTGAGCTTACATTTAGCATGTGCATGTACGCTAAAAGTACGTAAGCACTTATAGTGCCCAAATAAGTGAGTTGAGTGAGTGCAAGCTGTGTAAATGTATTTCGAGGTCTGAGCGTCAGCCATGCGAGAAAAAATACGCGACATAACATGGTGGAATATGTACAATTTGTGTTGCAGATCTGACTAACGTGTATTTTTTGTTGTCGCGTATGCGTAAATCATTCGCGCGCCAGTGCACACCAATTGAAACAATATTGACATTGAAACGAATCGAAATGCCCACTTTTAATCGGAGTTTTTTCTACATTTACAACTTTCGGCTGTAGCGTATGCTATTATCGAAATAAATAGCAATTTTGATGACATGTGGACAAATCAACTGTAAAAATGTAAAAAAGATTCAAATTATTGCAAAAAAGTGTTGATTAAATGTGATTTTTAAATATTTTAATGCACAATACGTTATTGAAAAGTGTTATCAATGTAATTTTTTCTCATGGAGATGCAGAATTTAATATAGAATCATTTGTTGAAAGAATTATTAGTATATCTTGTTGTGTTCTATAGTTATTAATAAATTAAGTTCTAATTACACAAAAAATGAAAATTTTCAAAAATTACATTTTTTCGAATTATTTTAAAACTAAGCGAGCTACAGACATTATCAAGATTTACTTTGATAAATTTGTAAAAATATAAAATCTGATTAGAAAAGTATTAAAATCAGTGATTTTCGTAATAATCAAAATATTTTAATGCATAGAACTCTATTAATAAGCGCTATCAAATTTATATTTTGTAGGAAGATGCAGAATTTAGTACAGAATAATTTGTTAACAAAATTAATATTGTATGTTGTGTTATTCGGAAGTTATTAACAAATTATGTTCAAATCCTCATTAAAAATATGAAGAAAAATCTGTTTTTCTCGAATAATTCAAAACCTAATGAAGCTATTCACATGATTCTTTCATTAAATGATTCTGTATAAAATTCTACATCTGAAATTGTCAAGATTTACTGTGAAAAGTTAATGACTAACATGTTACAGAACATTTTAATGACATATGACCGAATCAACCGTAAAAATGTAAAAATGATTCAATTTATTTCATCCCAGTGACCATTAACTGTGATTTTCATATACCAAATCAGCTACATCCGGTTTTATTTATCAACCAATTTATGCATTCAATTCAAACTCGCTTTTGTAAGAGACTTATTTGATAATAGCTTTTAAACCGCAACGTTGCGGTACATAAGCAACTAGAATCGATTTAAAAATGCACGGAAAATAAATTCAATTAAAGTTTTCTCATTGCGTAAGCCTTTATAATTAAAACTCAAGTTCAGATGCGACGACAAATTGCATCAGATCATATTCAACGCGCTTGTGTGCTACTTTTCACGTTTTCACTTTCAGCCAACCGCGAAACATTCAAGCCGACTGCAGACGAATGCCTCATGCATACGCATGATGCATTTACAATTACATTGAATTGTGGAATGATTTCATCATCAAAAAATCAAAACAAATACTGCACCGCGACAATAAATGAAATCCATTGAAATTTTGCGAAATACTGTGACATTTTCACATGTTTTTCATTAAAAACCTAAAAACAAACAAAATGTTTTACGTTAATATTTATTAAAACTAAAATTACATGTATATTTAAATTCACAACTCGTTGAATCCCATTTCCAGTCAGTGTCAGTGAGTTTCATTAACATATTTAAGTCGTAAAATAAAGAGCCAAGGCCGTTGCGCTGCGTTTCTGCGGCTCATTTAAGAAGTATTTAAGTTTAAAGTTTAATAACGCACGTAATATTGCAACAGATCACACGATGTTCGAAAAAGTCTATTTTTATCAGGAGAAGTTAAAAATAATAAACTAGAATAACAAATGTCAACAAAAGTGTGAATAATGTGCAGTGTATCGAACATTTCAAACAATCAAAATGAGTTATGACTCATTTGTGATAAATGTGAAAAAATTACTCAACATCACAGGTTGGATGCACAATAGGACTGTTAAAATAGTCACAGGACCAAAATATAACCCAGAAACAAGTAAAAATGACAATTTTGACGATGCGACCATTTTTGAATGTCAACATTTTGACAGAAATACAATATAACCTCAAAATAGGTAAAAAAAGAACATATTTGATGATTAAAATCATGAGCGACCATTTTAAATGTCAAAAAACTGACAGATATTAATTTTAACCTCAAAATAACCCTATTTTGCGTCTAAAACCTTCATTTGACACTAGAAAAATCTAAATATACAACATTGAGACTTTACTTAAGATAAGATACTAATACTTGAATAGAAGCTATAATTAAAGATGATAAGCAACTTGCAGCAATTAACAAAAGCAATAAATAGATGTTTATTCGCTGAAAATGTTAAACCACTTATTATTGCGACACTTCAAGCAATAATTAAGATTAGCGAGGTATTTCAGCCAAATTGAGTTCTAGTACTACCTAAATAACATTCGCATTGCGACGCAAGCGCGCAATGAATGTCAATAATAATAACGGCGCGATCGTAACGATGATCACAATTATCGTGTTGTTAAAACGGCAACAACATGTCGCACACTCGAGCGAGAACAATTGACGCCAATTAAATGAAGTCAAGAGAGTCAACAATCCAACATGCAAAAAATAGAAATCAATTTATTATTTACTCAACTTGAACTTCAATCTTCAATCAGTGATTTATTTTTTATGATTTCCTGTTTTTACAGAAATTATTTATCATGTCGTAAATAAATAATATCATTAACGATGAATATGGTTTTCTTTTTATTTGTTTAATTGTGGTGGTGGTATAGTTTTCGTATTTGTTTGAATATTGTAATTTGAAAAGTATGCGAAAATAGAAAATGCCAGTCATCAATATTATGTTTATATGCAGTGTTTATATAGTGATGCGTGTGTAGTAGGAGTTGGTACAATGATCAAAAGTGGCGTGATGTCGTTGAAACGAGAATCATATGCTACAAGTGTGCGAGTGCACAAGTGCGTCAGGAAACAATTAAACATTAACTCTCATCATTTTTATATTGTTATAATGCCGCTATCTGCGTCAATAAATATACTGAATATAGAGAAATCTTATCGAAAGTATTTTGTTTCCCAATGGATTCAATCAAATCCAATATTCTTGGAATAAGAATTAATCAAAATATTTTAATGCGTACAACATTATTGAAAAGCGCTATCAATGTGATTCATTCTCAGAATTTGCAGAATTTAATATAGAATTATTTTGTGAAAGAATTATTATTGTATCTTGTTGCATTCGAAAGTTATTAATAAATTTAGTTTAAATTGCACACAGAAGGAAAATTTTCATAAATTACATTTTTTCGAATCATTTTAAAACTAAGCGAGGTACAGACATGATTTCTGCAGAAAATGATTCTGTATTTCATTCTACATCTGAAATTATTAAGATTTACTTTTATGAATTTGTAAAAATATAAAATCTCATTTAAAAAGTATTAAAAATCTCGGATTTTACTAATAATCAAACTATTTTAATGCATAGGACTCTATTGATAAGCGCTATCAAATTTATATTTTGAAGGGAGATGGAGAATTTAATACAAAATCATTTGTTGAAAGAATTATTAATGTATAATGTGTCATTCGGAAGTTATTAACAAATTACGATCAAGTCCTCATAAAAAAATTTAAAAATTTCAAGTTTTTTCGAATTATTCTAAAACCAAACAAGCTACAGGCCTAATTCTTTCAGAAAATGATTCTGTATATCTTTCTACATCTAAAAATATCAAGATAAAAATATCTTTGATAAATTTGGAAAAATATAATATCTGATTAAAAACCTTCAAATTTCACGGCGTTTACTATAAATAAATAAGCATTTGTAATTACCATTTAAATCACAAACTTAAATGACCAGGAAACGATAGTATGCAATGTAAAGTCAGCAATAAAATAATAAACATAAGTGAGAAATGTGTATCAGCAGCAAAAAACGCCATTAAGATAACAGTGCTATAACACCATGCAAATACGAAATCTGCGAATATACGCGAATATGAATGATGTGTAATGTTTACAAAACGGTTTGCCGCATGACCGCACATCTGCGGAATCTTATCACACTTCGCAAATTATGTAAATACAAACGCAAAGATACAATTGTATTTACAATTTGGTATGTAATGGTGCGTTTCAAATCGAAACGTCTTGTCTTTAACGAGGAGAATTAAATAATGCATCACAAGTTTCTGTTCTATTTTCGTACATCCATCTTAATCTTATACTTACTTAGCTGCGTTAGCAGCCATGTGGATGGATAAAGTGTGGGTGTGACTATATCAGTGGCGTGCGTAAAATTAATTCATTATTTTATGAGAAAATTACTTTTTTTAAATGAATAGTTTTTAATTCCGTTAAAATGTTTCAGAAAATAAAATTAATCAATTTGCGTGAGTGTTATGTGTAGCCCCACCTTATTTTAATAAAATTAGACCACGCCACTGCATTTCGTGCATGCTTTAGCCTAAAAATAACCGCACATGAAAGAATTTACAACTTCGGTTTATATCGGCTTGTTTCATGTGAGTTTTCAGCGTTTTCCCAGTAAAATTAAAGATGTCCACTGGGAAAACATAACCTCAATAACCTAACCTAAAAAAAATGTACACACTGCAGTAAATGTCTTTCTTTCACTTATTATTGATGAATCAGTAAAATTTCAAGGTAAATCGCAGAAAAAAAACGTAAAATTCTTGCATGGGCTAATCGTAGATCATTGTACTGATCCCCAGGAGGCGCATCGACGTCTAGACTACGCGATAGAGCACCGCTAGAACTTCTTGCGGGGACTGATCGAGATAATGAACCGCCTCCCCTCTACGCACACATATCGCGTGAGCAGTAGTGCCAACGACCTAACAATGATTTGTTGCGCGATGCAATAAAAACGCATCAATGTCAACAACACAAACAAATGCATTTAATGTGTAGAAGTGTGGAAATATACGAGTGCCTAACCTTACTTAACATCATCTAACGTGCCTAAAAATGAGAGGTTATGGGTTCAAAACTGCGCAGTTGAGAGTATAGAATATGTTTTTGTATGGTTTTTCAACAATAACTTTTAAACCAGATGAGGTGGAGACGTGATTCCTGGAAATATCAAATCTGTATTAGAATTTTCTATTTGAATGTATAAACATTTTGTGGAAAATGTTGGTATATAACGATTTATACGCAATTTAAAGCGATTTTCGTAGAAAATTAATACGTTTTGTGGCATAAAATGTCAGTGAAACGAGTAAACAAGTTAATTGTTGCACAGTTATACGCAGAATTTAATATAGACTAGAATTATTATTACAAGAATTATTATTGTGACTTGTTGCATTCAAAAGTTAATAACAAAATAAATTCAAATTAACCAAAAATTAATAAAATTGCAGTTTTTTCAAAATATGTAATTCTAAAACCAAACAATTTATTTAGATAATTCTTTCAAAAATAAAGTCTTCTACATCAAAATATATTAAATCCTATTTAGATGTGTAATTATTTTGTAAACAACATGAGTAAACAAAGATTTATACGCGATTCAATGCGTTTTTCTAGGGAAATTTATATATTTTGCAACGTAAAACGCCAGCTAATCACGTAAACAAGTTGATTTTACACAGTTAGACACAGAATTTAATATAGAATAGAATTGCAAAAGAATTGTAATTGCAACTTGTTGCATTCAAAATTTATTAATAAAATAAATTCAAATTAACCAAAAAAATTAACCAATTTGCAGTTTTTACCAAATAATTTTAAAACCAAACAAGTTATATTCATAAATCTTTCAGAAACAGACTCTGTATAAAATTCTACATCTAAATATACCAACATTTACACCACAAAATTCAATAAAAACTTAAAAATGCAATTTAATGAAAAACAACTTGTAGGAATGCACAACAACAAAAATACTGATACAACCAGATGTAGAATCAATTACAGAATTAATTCAATTCCTGTACTAATCATTAATTTAATACTGTGAGCATGTGCTCGCGAAATTCGCGCCGAAAACGTAAAATCGATAAAACGGTACAGGAGAGTCAGTGCACACACTGCCTGTACACAGCCATTACCACCACACACCGGTTGCGATGGCGAAAGAACGAAAAGATGCAGTTGGAAAAGGCACGATGCACACTGTCCCTCCACATCCCTCCAACCCTACGAAGAATGGAAGCTACAAAACCCCCAACAAAACCAAAAGCATCAGCTGTATCACACAACAATACAACCAGCATAAAATAAAATAAACTAAACTTGCAAAAATGGAAATATTCCTATTGTTGGCTCACTCACCTGATCAACCGAAACACCAATGTACTCCGCAAGGCCGGCGAAGAGCCGGCTGCCGTCATAATACGCGGTGGGCATCGGCATCGCCACCGTCGCCGCCATCGTGGTTACCCGCACACTATTTCACAGATGCACACTGCACGATTGTCTTTTGTTTTGTGTCAACACCCGCGTCGGGCGCGCGTCTTTTTTCTCCTTGTGTTTTGTGCAGTCTCTGGTTGTGTTTTGTTAGCTGCGAGTGCGTTGGCGTACACACGAGACGCCGGTCTTACTCCAACTGCGAACCATGCGAGCGGTTGTGTGCGCGGTTGGTGCCCGGTGCGCGACTTGCGCACGTTGTGGGCTGGTAAGATGGAAGTAGGGCGAGGACGGATTCCCGGAGAGAAGGAGAATATCTAGATGAATTGAATCTATGACTCAAACGCTAAATATGTATACAGATTTACAAAAAACTTACGATCGAAAGTCAACAATTCACTTGCACTTTTATCATGGCGTGTAAATTTATAAATATTAGTTGCTGATTCTTGTTTTCGGTTGTTTTAGTGAGGTAAGTTATGCAACAGGTTCTACTATTGCTACTAGTTGCTAGTTGAGCTGCGTGTAGACTTGGTGGAATAAGTAGGAATAGAAAATGGGGTGTAGAATGGGAGAAAACACCTGTTACGGCTGATAGTTTTGCCGGTGTGTGGCGTGGCCTTCACATTGCGTGTGAGAAATATGTACGAGATGATAACGTGCAGAATTATGGGAATTATGTCTGAATCATGATTAGAACGGATGACATTATTTTGATTTGTCATTATTTTGACTTGTACTTAACCTAAGTTTTGATCTTTCACTTTTGTTAATTATTTTGGGTGTAAATTGTCAAATTGTGATTTTTTTCTGTCAGAATCGAATGACAGTGATGCACCTTTGCAAATATAATGTCTAATAATAGGTTTAGGACTATTAGTTAATTATTTAATACTAGTTTTGTAATAAATATTCATAAACAAAGATTTATACGTGATTTAAAGCGTTTTTCTAAGAAAATGTACTCATTTTGCTGAATAAATTCTCAGGGAATTGTGTAAACAATTTAATTTTTCTCATTTAGACGCAGAATTTAATATTGAATCGATTAGTAAAAGAATTTTTATTGTAACCTACTGAATTCAAAAGTTATTAATAAAATAAATTAAAATTAACTGGAAATTAACAAAATTGCAGTTTTTACCAACAAATTCGAAAATCAAACGAGTTATATATTATTGTTTCTTCTCTACTTTTAAATATTACATAGGCAATCCATGCTTTACTAGATCAGCTACCCCCTCTACTTTTCGCGGGTTGCGCGCAGTACATAATCGTCCAGCAGTCCGTTTAAAGCTATTTAGCTTCCCCCTTTTCTTTCTCCGCGTCTGCTAGTGGCTAATAGGCAATACCCACGCATATTGACAAACTCGACATGTTTATCCATCAATCAAAACAATAATAACAATTTATTTACATCTTCCAATAATAAATTCACCTACTTTATAATTAATCACTATATCCACACGCAATACAATTCCTTCAAATAAATTTATCAGTGAATAACAACTTTACTCCTTCAAATTAGCGGCAATAACTCACAATGACCCAAAATTGGTCTCTAAACATATTAGTTAATCTAATTATGTCACAATATTTCAACAATTCAATCTGTATAATATATACTTTTGATGACAACAAAGAACCTGTCCATTTATCAACAATTCCTGCTATTATGATCGATATTGACCATTTTGACTTGGATCCAGACAGAATCTGCCGAAATTTTCTCATTCACTGCACAGTGGCTTCTTCTGGTTTGATGTTAGTTGAAATATTCATTAAATTGAACACTGATGGAATGTACAACAACAGAAAATACGTTATCATCATAGATGACGAAGAAGTATTCAATGATTTCTTCTTCAATGCAAATTTAAATTTCATCAGGGACGTATTAATCATTTACATAAAAAATACTAAAGATAAACAAGATAAACAACAAGAAATATTGTTATATACACATAAATATGTCGGTGTAGAAGGTAACAATGATCCAATACTATTAGACATTTGGTTTGCAAAAATCAAAGTTTTAAATACAAACATAACCTATTTCCTGATAAAGTCACCGACCAACAAGGAAGAGAACTACGTGTCCCTTGCATGTATCGATTACCATATTCAAATTGTGATTTAAGTAAGTTTTTAAAATGTTAGGTTATATTAGGTTATGTAATGTTGTGTTTCCAGTTAACGGAATGGGAAATGAACACAATGCAGTCTTAAAATACGTCCAGAGATTTAATTTCACGCTAAATATTTATGACAATATGACAGAAGAGAATTTTGGTAATATATACCTAAACGGAACCGCGGATGGTATAATCGCTGGGTTATTAAACGAAGATGACAGCTATTGTGACTTAATTTATGGTGGTACACCTCGAGATGATTATATGGATGTAATCAGAGTGTAATCTATACTTATGAAGTTTCCGTACCATTACCAAAGTAAAATCAAATATTTTTATCAAAAACTTTTAAATTTTTTAATTTTTAGGTTAAAATATGGTTGGTTCATGTACGCGCACGTGTTTAACCTATTTTCATGGCTTCTACTCCTTGGGATCTATTTTTCAGCGAGATTTTTAGTGTTTTTCCATAAAAAACTCAATATTTTGAAAACCAATCAGAAAAGCATACTTCCCACATAACAAACATAACCATGTATGGATTCTTCATAAATCAACCCACTGCATTGACCAAGGACATAAAAACCAGCGCGTTTTTAAAATACATCGTAATTTTGCTACTTTTTTCAAGTGTTTTACTTGTTACAGCTTACAATTCACGATTATCCAGTGTTATGGTCGCACCAGAGTACGAAAATAATATCAAAACGCTTGAAGAACTCGCTGATAGTGATTTACAGATATTATTCTTTGATGAATACTATAATCTCTTACGTAGAGACACAAGAACAGTTTATAAAAAATTATATCAAAAAATTTATCTGATTCCGAATAATACTGATTTTGAATTGTCGGAAAAGCTACTTTCTAGTGGAAAATATGCGGTGGCAAGATATAGAAGATCAACAGGGGAATATTTTGAGTATTTAGAACATTTATATCAAATGTACAAGAAGTTTAAACCGATTACACCTGAGTTATTCTCGGATAATTATTATATTCTCTTGAAAGAAAACTCAATGCACACTGTTGAGTTGGATAAATTGGTTAATACTGCATTTGAGGCTGGTTTGATGAAGTTTTGGGAAGAAGACGTAAGAATAATATAAAAATTTTGATAAAATAAAAAGAAAAATTGTTGCAGGCGTTAAGAGCATGGGAAAATATTACTTTTCAACAACAAATACAAGATTATTCATTCGACAAAGTAACTGTTGACTTGAACATGAACCATTTAAAAGGATGTTTTGCTTTTTGGATGATCGGATTGATTATTGCAAGTGTTGTATTCATAAAAGAAGTTTACATGGCAAAAACCCACAGAAAATATCATTCTAAAACTCCTAAAATTGAATTTACTCTTTAAAATTAATAAAAATCTTTAAAAAATTTAATTTTTTCTTTTTCTAAAAAACTAAAACTCTTTAATCGTCCCATTATGAGTTGTTTACACTTGTTATGTTTATCCTCACGTCGAGCATCAATCATGAACAGGACATCACAACAACAATGCATATTTACAGTTAATAAATAATAATATAAAACAAAGAAAAAATAGGGCAACCTACATAACCTACATAACAAAAAAATAACCTCAAAAAAGAAGGATAAATTGTTTACTTGTTTATGCTTTCGTATTAATCAATTATTAATGTTTGAAAACACTTTGCGCGTTAATTCTGTATCATTTCCTTATAAACCACTCGAAAGGTTACAAAATGATTACATCCTGGTATCTAAACACGTTGATTAATTTGATTATGTCTAAATATTTCAATGATACAATTTGTATAATGTATACTTTTGATAGAAACAAAGACATTGTTCATTTATCAACAGTTCCTGCTATTTTAACACAAGTTGTTGATAATTTTCAGTTGGATTCTCAACAAATCTGTAAGAATTTTTTAATTCATTGTGAAAATGCATCTAGCGCTTTGTATCAAGTTGAGAGAGTGATTCGAATTGACAGTGATGGAATGTATAATGACAGAAAATATGTTATCATTGTAGATAACCAAGAAGAATTTGATATTTTCTTTAATATATCAACTTTGACGTTTGTTAGAGATATATTAATAGTATTCATATTAGAAAATCAAGTAGAAGATAATAAACTTTTGTTACCTTTAGATAATAGCCTAGAAGTGAGGTTATATACACATAAATATGTCGGTATAGAAGATAACAATAATCCAGTATTACTAGACATTTGGTTTGCACAAAATCAAAGTTTTAAATTCAATTTTAATCTGTTTCCTGATAAAGTTACTGACCAACAAGGAAGAGAACTGCGTGCTCCTTGCATGACAAGAGTCCCGTTCGCATATTGTGATCTAGGTTAGTAAAAATCAAAATGGCGGCCGGATATAACCTTTTTGATGTTACAGATGATGAATATGGAAATGAACATAATGTAGTAACAAAATACGCACAGAAATTCAACTTTACATTAAATATTTACCCAAATGATTCTCTATCTTATACATACGGCAATATATATTCTAACTGGACGGGTTATGGGATACTAAATGGTTTGATAATAGAAGATGATGAATATACCGATTTAATTTACGGAGGAAGCGTTTTCTTGCCACACGTGGATAACCTCAGAAGTGTTAGATACACTTATGAAGTTTCTGTACCTCTACCAAAGTAAATATGCAAAATAACCTTAAATATGTGCTATTTTTGGGGTGTTTTAGGTTAAAATATGGCTGGTTTATGTTCGCAGAAGTATTCGAAGTTTATTCATGGCTTGCAATCATTTTAATCTTTCTCTCAGCTAGATTATTAGTTTATCTACGCAGACAACTACAAATTTTGAAGCATCCCAACAAAACCCACAGCAAATCAGAACTTAGCAATATCAAAATGTATGGATTCTTCATCAATCAACCCGGGACACTCACCGAGGATGTCCAGAACAGCATATTTTTAAAAATCATCGTCATTTTGATACTTTTCTCGAGTGTTTTGCTTGTTACAGCTTACAATTCACGTTTATCTAGTGTAGTTGTAGCTCCAGTCTACGAAAATGACATCAATACTCTTGATGAACTCGCTGATAGTTCCCTACGACTGTTATTCTTCGATGCTTACTATGATATACTCAGCAAAGACAAGAGAAAAGTTTATAAAACGTTATACGACAAAATTTACTTAATACCAAATAATACTGATTTTGAACTGTCGAAAAGATTGCTCTACAGTGGGAAATATGCGGTTGCAAGATATCGAAGAGTAACTGGAGGATACTACGAATTTGAAGAACATTTAATACAAATGCACGGCAGATATAAACCTATAACACCTATGTTATTCACGAATTACTATTACTTTACAATACGTAAAAACTCAATGCATACAATGGAACTTGGTAAAATCGTGGAAAATGCATTCGAAGCGGGTTTGTTGGAGTTTTGGGAAGCTGATGTAAGTGTTTCAATCAATTTAAAACAATATGTGATTCAAAAATGATTGTAGTGTTTAAGAGCGATTGGAGAAATGACTTTCCAACAGAAAATAAAATATTACAAAGAGGGAAATGTCAATATTGACTTAAACATGAATCATTTGAAAGGGTGTTTTGGTTTTTGGATGATTGGCATGGGTATTTCACTAGGTGTCTTTCTAAAAGAGATCTCCACAAGGATATTAAGCAATAAAACGCAGATCATTGCATATAACAATTGAAGAAACTAATTAAGCACTTGTGGGTTTCAGAATTTTCTGAATATTCACAAGTGTTTCCTGATTATTACCATGTTTTAGATCCCAGCGTGCAAATATCTGCACAGCGACACGGTGCGCGTTCAGACCCATGGGTACAGTGAACAATTGTTGCCAGTTGGGTGTCCAGTTACCAATTAACAACTAAAATTTATTTTTTTTTTTAAATTCTGCGTAAAATATTTAAATATATTCATGTTTATACTTCATCGAAAGGTTTATCGCCGATGTAAAACATAGTGTGTAATAAACCTTTGCTTTTTTTGTTGGCCAAAGTTGGTTTTAACTCTGTGGACTTCCCTTGGAGAATATCCATTAACCATTCATCATTGTTTTGCATAAAATGATGCAAAATCTATAAAAAACTTGTTTTTTACCTTCAAAAGATTAAACATGATCAAATTACCTTTAAACTTCGCTTGCCTTGTTTGCTACTCAAGAGTAAACTAGTCATTACTTCTAAAACATTATCAGAATGAGTTGCTCGGCGTATTCCTTCAGTATTCATCGGATTATCTTCTGTAGCACGCTTAGCTTCATGTAATAATGCGTTGATTTCCTCTGTATGTTTATTATCTTCATCAATTCCGCATAGAGCCTCAGCTACAGCCAATGCTATTTCTTCAGGAGTACTCTTTGTACCGTCAAATAAACTATCTTTTGCTTTATTTCCTTTATCATCTTCTAAATGAATCGTCACGCTTGGTGGATTAGATGTAGAGCTTTCCAAAAGTTCCGAATACAGTCCACTGATTAAAAATTGCAACAAAACTGAGTTGCCCATCGGGACAACACTAGTTGACAGTAAATCTTGTAGCATGCTTGATATGATAAACAATTCCGGTCCTATGCAATCCCATAGTTGAGTAAAAGCAGTCAAAACAATCGATGATGCTTGATACATGCTCGCACCAGTCTTCACTGCATTGATAACAATATCACTAATGGGTTTCATTAAAGGTTTCGCTAATTGGACGATTGCTTCATACCAAGGTGGTCGTTGCTGGGACCAAACATGGCGTTTATCAAACGATTTCATCCATGTTGCATCTTTCGTTATGAATTTTAGTAGTAATTGCCTGTATTCACGTTCGTTGCCAATTGTTAACACCAAAAATGTAAACGCCATGATTATATCATGATAATGTTTCATTGTCAAAAAGGTACTGGTTGTGTCAACGCCTTTACAAGAACCATCTCCCGAGCAGAGAAAAACACCGCATTTTGCTATTTTTGAATGTAAAATGAAGAATCATCTTGAAAACGTTTCAATTCATTCAAAGCGGCGTTCAAGAAGATTTTCCCGACTTTACATTCATCCATACAGATGAATTTCAACAACTGCGCCCAATTTGGTTGGGGCTGCGGTAAAAGGACCAATAATTCAATAAAAGAACTCGCAGAAGTTAAGTCCAACTCCGGATAAAGATGATTCATGGTAAAAGTGATCCAGGGACTTGGTCCTGGTAGCTTAGGCTTGAGTATACCTATCTGATCATAACCTCGCTTGAACATTTTGTATAAAACATGCAAGTCACTGCCACGCAATAAAAGACAGGTTAATAATTCCTGACACTTTGAATGAATATCACGCAGCATTTTGTTTTGTGTGTTCAGTTGACTTCCGGTGAACTCATTGGCTGTGTTGCAGATTGCTGGCAACAGTTTTGTTACACAAAGTAATAAATTTGATATATCGACTGTGTAGAGTTGACTTCTTGCTTTCGATGGCATTGCATGTGAATATCTTACTGTTAAGATGGTTAAAGACTCGTTTAACATGCCTGCAAAGACACGCTGCGCCATTTTGGGAGGGACAGTGTTCCAGAGATCATCTTTGGTACCTAAAAAGTGAAAATAATCACAATATTTGTTTGAAAATAACTCATTATTTAATATTATATTATTTACCTTGCATGTATAGCCACCACATTTGTATAACATAAGATCCCCGCTCAGATTCACAGAAAACACGCTCATTTTCCCAATCTAAACCCTCAGAGTCTTGTAAAATGTACAAAGACAACAATCGCGAGTGTAAGTCAAGCAATCTTTCCGCCAATGCTTCGCCCATTTCTTGATATTTCTTTTGATACTTCTGCAATTCGTCTAAACCGGCTTGTTTACCTTCACTGCGTTGGACATAACACCACAGACAGTTTTTAATCAACGCTGCCGCACCGATAGTACCGGTTAACACAGTTAAATCAGCATGATCAAGCGCCTCTTGAGTCAAAACATGCAAGTGATCAAGGAGTTGATCAGAGGATTTCGTTATGGCCGCCGTAAATTTAGCCGGATCTGAGGTTTTAACAATACCAGCGCCATGTTCGTCATTTGAAACTTTTGTGGGTTTCTGCTGTTGAAGGAAACCAGAGTCCTTCTTGTAAGCGGCTACGAACTCGTCCTCCCACCAAAGGACAAGTTTCACAGCGGCAAAAGACGCCGACCGAGGAAAGTCTAACTTACCTCCAACCACACCAGGACAGATTTTTTCTTGGAGAACTGATTGTTTCTCCTAGATGTATAAACAAATTACAATATAGATTGTTTTTACTTGTGGGAACTCACAGTATAATATTCCATATCACGTTGGATCAAAATCAAGACTTTGTCCATGAGATTACCATCCTCCATCACCTCCATAATGGCGTCGGTTTAAAACTCTTACAAATTTATAATAAAGTAATGTATACAACCCAACATACACGACAGACTACAATTTACTATAACAACACCTTGAAAAGTCAATATCCTTCACACTTGTGAAGATTTTTGGTAGTTCTTCTTGTAGAAGAGCATGTAGAGACACCCCAGTATGACTGTACACCCAATATTGTTGTTTTGTATCAAAATCAAACCTTTTTGGGCCTGAAGTTGGAGAACTCAACCAGATTTGCTTGTTTGGTGATTGTTTATTGATGACATAAGTTCCAGAATCTCCTAGGGATACAGTCAATACTCCACTCTGTAAATAAATACCAATAAAATAATCATGTCTGCAATATACTACAATTTCTTACACTGTATGAAATATCTGCATCTTTTAAATTAGGTTCTAATTCCACTAACTCTTCAAAGTATTCAGTGAGATGATCCAAGGTTTCTTCACAAATATTCTCAAATGTTGCAGCATCTAAAGGCGGAGATTCTTGTGTGATGTTTGATGAGTAGTTCACTTTTATTGTTACACTGTTACAGTCTTGTTTGTTCCAACTGATAACTGATCCAATGCATGGATTTAATAATCTTGTTGTCAGTGGCAACTGATGCGGCAAATTATTGATTTTTCGTTGTGTGATTAAAGAAATATTCCTTGGAATATTACATAATCGAGAAATCTTTGTTATAAACATTTTAAAGCCCACTTTTGTTCAAGAAATAATAACAAACTCACTTACTTCACTATGAGTTTGTGAGGTTATACGACTAGACATACGAATGTGACTGTTATCTGAATTTCTCATTTTTAAACAAAAACATTATTTATACCTCTGTCAGTCACAGTTTATACTTTTTTTTATATTGCAAATAAATAAATATAATGTCTACACCGTTACTTTCCCCAAATTCAATCAGTACCATTCGATATGATCGCAAAAATCATCGCAAAATGATCAAACATTCATTACCATCCGAAATAAATGCATTACCAACGGATTGGAGTAAAAATATTACAGAAAAATCATTAAAACCATAATAAATTCCTTAATTTCCAGCCCCTAATACAAAACCCTCGAAAATTATCGAGAATTTACTCGCTGACAAACAAAAACTTCACGATCAACGCTTATCTGATCTTAAAGACGTCATGATTAAAATCAAAGTAGAAACGGAAAACAAGATTCGAAACGCGTCTGAAAATGTAAAACAATGCATTTTTAATACAAAGAAATACGTAGAGGAAGACATGGAGAAATATACATTTGATTTTAATAAAACCAAAGCAACTATACGCTCGTACGAAGAAATGTTTAAACGATTGAAAGAAATGATTGCGATTCGCTGCAATGAGATGAAACTAGCGATAACTAAACACGATTCCCAACTGAAACAGATTGAATTGGAACGTATGAATTCATTAAAAGCAGCTTTTCGATCTGCTTATGAAGATTTAACAAAGATTTCTTATAAATTACCGCACGAACTTCAATTGTACTTTGAAAATGAAATAATGTTACTGAATCAGATGACATTATCGAACCACTACGCTTATTCAGAGCTACAAAGTCAACTGATGAATATTGCGTTGAGTAACGAGAATATTTGGTTGAAAAAAGTCGATAAACTTAAATTTGATTATCAACGTAAATATGAAGAACAGCAAAGGAATAAAGACAAATATTCTTCGGGAGATGACATTGACGATGGTGTCTTAACACTGCTAAAAGTCAAAGCGTTTACAGAAAATTTAACAATGGAGATATTCCAATTGGAATCAGAAGGCCAGGGTGCAACGAATATGATTTACAAAGTTTTGAAGCGCATCTACGAAGGACGTTTCGATGAAGTGCACATGATTGAGACAGATTTCGTTGGGTTACCAAAACGTGACTTTTGGGGTATTTACGATGAAGTCTACAGATCGATGTTTGAATTTGAAAGTTATGAAAAAGTGACTGAGTACACGGAGGTAATGATGGGAAGATGGCGAGATGTTGTCGATAGATTGGCGGATGAAGTTGAATTTTGTAAGCAAGCCGTTGTGAAAGGTCTACACATTTGGGATCAACATTTTGTGCGGCAGCTTGAAGTCACTGATATATTTTCTATGGATTTGTGGGATTTAATTAATACTTCAGATGATGATGATGATGTACGCATAGTATAACCTTCAAAAATTAAATTTAACCTAAAATAATAATATTTAAATGTATATTAGGTTAAATTTGTATTTTAAAGTTAGAAAATGTTAAGTATTGCAGTTAGAATGCTAAATTTGAATATGTAGCCAAATTCTAACCTTCAAAATGCTATTTTAACCTAAAATAACAACTTTTAATTCTAGATTACAATGGCAGCATTAAATAAAACAATAGATACAATGCGAATGGGTCCAAATGAAGATTCTCTCAATAAATTAATGGGAGATTGTAAAAGTTACTGGATTCCTTACAAAAATCGTACTTATATGTAAAAAAAAACTAATACAAGTTATGAATGAACTGAATTTTTAGATCTGAAGAAAGTTATCAGAAACACGCACGTCATTTCGACAGGTTTCGTGATATGATTGTAGAAAGTGGTCAAATATTATACCTAGAAATATCTTATTTTGTTAAGTGCATGCCAAGTGATGATGATGTTAACCCTGTGATTTTTCGCGGACGTCGGTCGAGAATAGAAATTGTCCCACCGGAAAACAAACCGATATTGATGAAAGAATTCGATGCGGATATCAAAGCAATGCATAACTGGTTATATGGGTTAGTAATCTTTTAAATTTTAACATCTAAAGTTAAAATTTAGGGGAAGGTAGCATAATTTGGACCAGCGCCTAAGTTGGACCACCACGATATCCGCGGACTGTTGAAGTTTATGCAAAAATTGACTGGCCCCTTATTTTACTCGTATTTATAAACAATTAATGCAACTATTTGGGTTAAAACTTGCCGCGTGCTTTCGTCGTGACAACAACTTCGTGTATCATTGATTATCAAATCTATTATAACGACGTAAGTGCAAGAGCTGTCAAGCCGTTAAAACGTTAGTTTTACCGATTATTATTTTATCATCAGAAAGCTTCTTTATTTATCTATAATTTATAGTATTAATTTTGAGAGGTTATGTTATATTAAGATTGTTGTTGATCATTATATATAAATTCTTCAAGTTGCCCAAGTTGGACCGAAGACAGACACCGGAGTTTTACAGGGAAAACGTATATCATTTTTTCGACCTCCTAGAAAAGCTTGTGGACGAGCACAAATCTTCGAAATGATCCACTGTATGAAATGCCGCACTTTGGTTTATACAAAATGTGCTTGTGTTACTGCTAAAACTAAAATTTACTATTGTGTCAATTGCCGTTAAAAAAACATGGTCCAATTTAGGAAACCGGTTTCTTAATTTGGACCAAAAACACAATTTTTTAAAATTGAACTTTGAGGGGTATAAATATAATTTTTACTTAAACCAAAAATATCATTTTGTTGGTAAGCCTTGTGAGTTACTTTTCCGCTAGTTTATATGTGGCTCTATAAATCAAAAAATATAAAAATGGTCCAAATATGGCTACTCTCCCCTATGATTTATTTGCAGAGTTACTCAATATCATAAGAAAAATTCGGAATTCTGTCATGAGAACACATTATTATACGCGAATACTTGGATAGAAAAGAATTACATCATTGTCTATCGACATTATCAACTCAAATCAGCGTTAATTGCTAAAATGTATCAAGAAATATTTCATTATGTGTATCGTGTACGTCTTGCGGAAATAATTCAACATAAGAAAAGATTAGATGAGCATATTTTGGTAAGTAAGATATTTTTAGGTTAAATTGGCTGTCAAACAACATAACCTTATTCTAACCTTAACCCTAACCTATTTTTAAAGGGTATTAATACAGAATTAATAAAATTCACACCGAAAGAAAATATTTACGCCGGAATAACATTCCAAATGAATATGGAGTTGAAAAAATTAAATAAATCATTAGCAAATATGAATACAACCACCGGAATAACCAAACAACTTCAACACTTCAAAAACACAGCAATTGATGATCTGAACCAAATAAAAACACAACTGGACGATAAAATTTCATCACGTTTTACTGAATTACAAAGCCTCAATCTGGAATTCATCAAACACATTAAACTATTCAGCGAAGACGGTGATTATCACATCGATGAAATTGCAAACATAAAGAAAAAATTCACAGAATTAAATAAAAACATGACTAAACAAAAATCAGAGATTGATAAAGAAAACGAAGCAAAATATCAAGCTCATTTAGAAGAAATAAACACAATCGAAGAACAATTCAATGAAGAATCAAGCGAAATAATTTCAAGCATAGAATTTAAAGAATTCACCGATAAATTCACTAGGAAAATGCGTACATCGCTAAAACAAGAAACACAGGCATTAGTTCAGAATTACAATCACTTATCAGCGCATGTTGAACGTCTTGAGAGTTTAGCAGAGAATAATATCGGACAAATCGAATATTTGGATGATTTTACGTCAAATTGCGAATATATACAAGGTATTTTTAAAGAATTATACGAAAAAATCTTGCAGAAAGAAGTTTTTAACTTGAGTGTCAGTTTGTTTAAACTACCAGAAACAAACAATGAAGACAAACAACAAGAAAATGCAGAAAATCATTCAGAAACTAATGTAATCCTTGAAAATCTACAAGAAAAACTAGAAGAAACTAATTTAACTGCAACAGTAAAAGTAATGTTTCCGACTTTTCCATTTGGAAATGATTACATGTCGAGAATCGTAAACATTTTGTTCGGAGAGCCTTTGGAAGATCTACAAACTCATGCAGAGGTAAGTTAACTTTTAATTTTTAATTAATTGTTAATTCAGTGTAGTCTAGTGTCTAATCCCATAGTGAATTACAAACAGTCGGACTGTTTCTAATCGGTGTCCGATACCAAGTTGGATCTTGCTCAATTCCAGCCCTGCGTCGATAAAACGTCTGTTTAATAATCGCTGATTTTCCATGTCGTTTCTTCTCCATTGTCTTCGCACAATCCCACATCTTCCATCCGTGCTCAAACCCTGTAGTCTCCTTAAAATAATACCTGCCCACTGACCAATACGTGAATTTAAATTAAACCCGCCATTTGTGATTTTCAGCGTTTGTTCTCTCGTTTAGAATTGAGTGTCAATAAATTGGCTACCAATTGTTGATTATATATAAAATCAATGAATTTAAGGAATGACATGAAAACGAGGAATAATAATAATAATAATACTGATTTAACTAGTGGTTTTAGGAAGATATATTTTACATTCATATTTTTATAATTTTACATATATAAGTAGAAATGGCGCTTTTTCCGTAACCCTTTTTGGTTCACGAGATAATCGTAATTTAATCTCAGAGTAGTTTTGACGAAAGGAATTTAAAGAGTAAAGTTCGACCCTGTTGTTCAGCCAAAGTATTTTAAGGAAAAGTTCGACCCTGTTCTTCGACCAAAAGAATTTTAACTGAAAAGGTTTGACCCTGTTCTTCGACCGAAAAAAATTTAACAAGAAAAGGTCCGGCCCTATTCTTCAACCAAAAAAATTAACAAAAACGTTCGATTCTATTCAATTTTATTGCACCACTAATTAGCTAGGCCCAAGGGGAAGGCAACAAAAGGAGAGATCAACGCGTCCTTCGACGGATTGAATCAAGAAGTTTAGATATGCTTCAGAATTAACACGTTTAGGATATACAGTAAATGTCGACTGACTGTACGCCCGCGAAGCTTCGGACCTCCCTTAATGCAGTGTGGAACACATATCGTATTTAACACAACTTCAATATTATAATTCAAGCAGAGACGTTCCATAGTTAATTTCTTATACTTACCTAAATCTAATTCCAAACCTGAAAACAATTCACAATTCAGGAAAAAAATACTACCTATTTTCTTATCAAATCATGCAGTTTATCAATATCTATGTTATCAATTAACAAATATCATAAAACAACAAAATAATAAACTAGCAGCCTCACGCGCGAGTTGCTAGAACAGCGAAACAGAAACCGCCAACTGGAATACACCCACTTGTTGCTTCTAGCTGCTCAAAAGTTCCGTTAGAAGGAAGCAGAGGTAATAAACCAACCAAATACTTAAAAATTAAATAATTGAGTTATTACCATAATTTACACAAGCAATATCAATGCATCGAACAAAATAAGTTTACATTACACATGATCATTTAAAAACAAACTTGTAATGTTTTATTGTTGTATTTCACAGCTTGAAGTAAAAAATTACAAATAGGACCTAAAGGGTTCATGTTAGAGATATAATTACTTAAATAGTCAATACAGAATTGAATTATCTCTCTAAATCCGAAAACAGCATTTGAAAATTTCAATTATTTCAAAAGCTGCATTTTATTTAAGAAAAAGATTAAGAAGTCCATAAAAAAGGCAAAAGATTTCTTTTTTGATGTTTGAAATTAAAAATTGGAATTTTTTAATTTTGTTTCTGGACTTTGATAAATAATTTAATTCTAAATTGATTATTTTAGTAACTTTTTTAACTAACATTTACCGTTTAGCCCTTATAAACCGTTTTATTCTGATTTGAATAATTACTAAACCTGACTCTGTTAGGGTGATTATCATCTAAACTGTTTATTTTAGAACAAAAATTTATTAAGATAAAGTACGTGGAATCACATGTTCTTCTATATTCAATAATAAAAAAGTCCAATTTCCAATTTTTATTTTTTGCTTAGTAAATGATTGAAAACGAATAAACCAGGTTTTATTATATCTTAGAAAACCATTAGGGGCCAAGAAAAACGGTTTCATATTTAAATGTAAATTAAATTTTTACATTATATAGCATATTATTAAAATTTTCATAATATACTTATGTAATAATTGAAAATGGTCAATAGCAAAATAATTAGATAACGCAACCAAACCTAGGTTAATGGATTCCTGGCCTTGTTTACATCAGTTTGGAAAGGATTTGGGGAAAATCGGAGAGTTGGTTTTATTTGATCAGTTTTAATTTGCCACTCATTTTTCCAGAAATATTGATTTTTATCGAAAACTGACTTCCGCATCTTTCATCCCCTTGGAAAACTCAGTCGATTACAGCGTTTTCGGTACAATTTTAACAAGTTAATTTTTTGGGGCTCGAAGAGTCAGAAGTGTCTTGACGAGTTTTCGAGTGGGATTTGGTCAACTTTGGAAAATGGAAAAACTAAATCTGCCATTTTATAGATCCTTATCACGACATGAACAAAATGAAGAAAGTTCTTTTCTAACTTTTTTACTTTCCGAGAAAATCGTGTGGGAAAATTTTGTAGGCACATGTTATATTTTAAATTTTTTAAATGTTATCTTATCTTGGATTTGATGCTGAGCATTATAGTGTTTTCGGTTTTCGTTTATCTCTTCTAGTTCCCGAGATAATTGATTCTTAAGTCTGCATGTGAGTACACATTTTACTAAATGACATCTGTAGGTAAAACTGTTAGTGCTATTAAATGAAAAGTTGTTACAATTGGATAATTAATAGCCCCTCTACACAATGAGGTAGTTAGTTATTAATAATTAATTAAATTACACTTTAATATGTCAGGCGCTTCCGCCATTTTTTTTATAATTAATTACTTTTTTCTAAAAATTAAGAAAATAGACTGTTTTATCACTAATTATCAAAGAGGGCAATTTTATAAAGTAATTATCTTAGTACATAATTTTAATTCGGGCAACGATTTAAAAGATACGTGACAATAATTGTTTAAATGTATTCAATATATATCTATGTTATCTTTAAAAGCAAATAGGGCTTAAACAAAGCATGCCAGGAGAAAATATAACTAAGATTAATTTCTGAAATTTAATTGTTTGATAAGAATTCGCAATCAGAATTTAAAAATTCCAACTTTTAATTTTCGACATAAAAAAGAGAAATCTTTTGCCTTTTTTATAACAAAATCTTTTCGTTAAATTTTTTTATGCATTTTTTGTCGTTTTTCAAAAAGGGTGCAATCTTGTAGAGAATTTTTCAAGGATCAAGAATATGTGGTCAATTTTTCCGTAGCCCTTTTAGTTCACGAGATAATCGCAATTTTCTCTCGGCGCTTTCGACGGAAAAAATTTAAGAAAATAGTTCGACCCTGTTGTTCAGCCGAAAATATTTTTAATAAAAAAGTTCGACCCTGTTCTTCGACCAAAAATATTTTTAGGAAAAAAGTTCGACTCTGTTCTTCGATCGAAAAAATTTAAACAGAAAAAGTTCGACCCTGTTCTTCAGCCGAAAAAAATTTAAAAGGAAAAGTTGCACCCTGTTTTTCGACCGAAAATATTTTAACAGAAAAAGTTCGACCCTGTTCTTCGGCCGAAAATTTTTTAACAGAATAAGTTCGGCCCTGTTCTTCGACCAAAAAATGAAATTTATTGGACAAAAATATCAATATTTGAAGGGCATTTTAAGACACTTCCAAAGGATTTATAGGGTTAAAAAGGTATGCGGAGTGTAGAGGGTCTATGGAGCTCTACCATGACGTTGAGAAACTTAAAGAAAATCAATTAATTCACGAGATACAGGGCGTTTTCCACATCATGTTTTCAATTTTTTATTAAATTGCCAACTTTTGATGGGCATTTTAGGGCACTTCCGGAAGGGCTGGAAGGTTGAAAGCATAGACATCGTGTAGAGGAACTCTCTAACCTCATTCTGACGCAGAAAAACTTTAAGAAAGTCAATTAGATCACTAGATACAGGGTGTTTTCCACACCATGTTTTCAAATTTTGAAAATTGCTCATTTTTGAAGGGCATTTTAAGGCACTTCCGGAAGGGCTGGAAGGTAGGAAAGGTATGCATCGTGTAGAGGAACTCTTTAACCTCATTCTGACGTAGAAAAACTTCGAAAAAATCAATTAATTCACTAGATACAGAGTGTTTTCCACACCATGTTTTCAAAAGGTAGTTAGTTTTTAATAATTAATTAAATTACACTTTAATATGTCAGGCGCCTCCGCCAATTTTTTCATAATTAATTACTTTTTACAAAAAATTAAGAAAAATTACTGTTTAATCACTAATTATCAAAGAGGGCAATTTTATAGAGTGATTATTTTAGTACATAATTTTAATTTGAGCAATTATTTAAAAGATGCACGACAATAATTGTTTAAATGTATTCTACCAATATGTGGTTTTTAAAAGCCAATAGGGCCTAAAGAAAGCAAGCTAGGAGAAAATATTACTAGGATTATTTACTAAAATTTAATCGTTTGATAGGAATCCGCAAACGAAATTTAAAAATTCCAACTTTTAATTTTCGACATAAAAAAGAGAAATCTTTTGCCTTTTTTATAACAAAATCTTTTCGTTAAATTTTTTTATGCATTTTTTGTCGTTTTTCAAAAAGGGTGCCATCTTGTAGAGAATTTTTCAAGGATCAAGAATACGTGGTCCTTTCTTCCGTAGCCCTTTTAGTTCCCGAAATATTCGTAATTTTATCGCGGCGGTTTCGACGGAAAAAATTTAAGACAAAAGTTCGACCCTGTTGTTCAGCCGAAAATATTTTTAAGAAAAAGTTCGACCCTGTTCTTCGACCGAAAATATTTTTAAGAAAAAAGTTCGTGCCTGTTCTCCGACCGAAAAATTTTTAACAGAAAAAGTTCGACCCTGTTCTTCAGCCAAAAATTTTTAAAAGAAAAAGTTCCGCCCTGCTTTTCGACCGAAAATATTTTAACAGAAAAAGTTCTACCCTGTCCTTCGGCAGAAAAAATTCGACCCTGTTATTCGACCAAAAAATGAAATTTATTGGACAAATATTGCAATATTTGAAGGGTATTTTAAGACACTTCCAAAGCATTTGTAGAGTAAAACAGGTATGCATTATGTAGAGGGTTTATCGAACTATACCATGACGTTGAGAAACTTCAAGCAAATCAATTAGTTCAAGAGATACTGGGTGTTTTCCACATCATGTTTTCAAATTGTTCTCAAATTGCTTATTTTTGAAGGGCATTTTAAGGCACTTGCGGAAGGGTTGGAAGATTGGAAAGGTATGCATCATGTAGAGAAACTCTTTATCTATATTCTGGCGTAAAGAAACTTTAAAAAGTCCATTGGTTCACTAGATACAGGGTGTTTTCCACACCATGTTTTCAAATTTTCCTAAAATTGCTCATTTTTGAAGGGCATTTTAGGGCACTTCCTGAAAATCTAGAGGGTGGAAAATGTATACATATTGTAAAGGGATTCTTAAAAACAATTTGACTAGTAAGAACATTAAATTGCTTTATTGGTTCACAAGATACAGGGTATTTTCTGCAGCATATTTGAAAAATTGTGAAAAATCTCATGTTTTAATAGGCATTTTAGGGCACATCCTGAAGTATTTAAGGGTCGCTAAAATGTGCATTTTGAAGAGAATCTAATAAGCTACAACATGACGATAAACAACCACAAATTGCCCAATTAAAACAGGAGATAAAGGATGTTTTCCATGCCACTCATTAAAAATATTTTAAAAATGTTTCGGTGAACATTTTCTACCACTGTCTAAGGAATTGGGTGATGCAAAAGAATGGAGAAACGGGAATATAAAATGAAAGAAAAGGGGAAAGGTTCCCAGTGAACTTGTAGGGTTTAATTATATCGATTATGTAACATTTGCTTGTACACGAATACTTAAATATGTATAACTTCCTACACTGTAGGATCAATATTTTAAGTTGTGGCTGCTGCAGCTGGGTTATCCCCGTCGGGTGCAGAAGCAGACGGAGGTGGTGCAACTTGCTCATCGTTGACATCATCATCCTGCGCCTCATCCTTGCTGTTCTCATGCAGAACAACGTACTCACGCGAGCTAAACCCAAACTTGATAACATCCCTCTCCAACAACTCGATATACTTCTTTGATTCAATCTTCTTGTTGTTGATGAGCGTCCCATTTGCAGATTCCAAATCAATTAGGTACGGCCGCACTCTCTTACCAACAGAACCATTCTCACGAGTGAACGGCACCAGCCTGTACTGCAGGGCAGCATGTTGTTTCGAGCAGCTCGGATGGTCAACTGGAATATCAACCACTTTTCGATCTCGCCCTATCAAGTAAGCGCTTTCCCGGTGAATGTAAAGTGTTTGCATAGCCTTTTCACCTTTGAAGGGATACAGCCGCCATCTGCGTTTAGGTTTGCGTGCCTCCGGAGGTTCGCTATACTTAATAACGACGCCTTTATACGTGTTGGTTTCTTCGGTTAGCTTGCCAGAGAGACCAAAGTTGGGTTTTTCTTTTTCTTTCGGCGCTTCTGGAGCCTTTTTGTCCGGCTGATCCTTTCCCCACACCGCTTTCGAGTGATCAAACGATTTACTGCGACTCCGGCCACGTCTTCTGCTCTTAAACCTGCAAAATTGAAGAAATTTGTACTTAAAATGACCCACACTAAGCAATTTTAACTACCTCTGTGGAGATCTGCTTCTGTCTCTCCTTCTATCCCTTGTATCCCTCTCAAATGTTTTTCTATGTGTGGAATGATCTCTGCTGCTGCCCCTATGCCTGCTCTGATTATTGTCCCTACCATCCCTGCTTGATCTTCTATCACCCCTGTTATTTAAATCTCTAGCATTTTCTCTGTCCCTACTGTTGTCCCTAGGTCTCCGCTCTCGGGATCGTTCTAATCTGTGGTTGTCTGATGATTTACTGTGTCTATAGTCATCTGGTAATGGTTTATCTCTCCTGCCATGTTCCGATGTTCTGGAATAAATATCAACTTGTTTAATGAGAAAAACTTATAAATAAATGATGATTATTTACCGTTTTTTATCCACTCGTTCATCAGGACTGTCCCACTTAGATTTTACATCGCGATCCTTAACCGGCGATCGAAGTCTTGAATGTTTTGAAGAGTCTCTTGAATGTTTTGGATTGTTGTCTTGTTTACTTTTTTTTGCTGGCGACTTAGAGCGACTTTTCTCAGACTCGCTGCTGGATGAACTTGAAGAACTCGAAGACGATGAACTGCTGTCCCGTTTTTTACGCATTTCCTTCTTGTTTTTCATTACAATTCAGTGTTAAACGAATGTTAAATTACAAAAATCACAAACGTTCGATCTATAACGCATAAAACTAACCACAAAGTCAAACTCTAAACCTCTTTTGACAGACCTCGTCTGAACGACAGGACCGTACTAGGCAGTTAAAATTTTTAAATTCAAAACAATGATTAAACAATAACATTTATTGTTCAATTATTGTATAAACGCGTTAGCAATGTCGTTTTTCGATATAATTCTATCACTAACTTTAATAATCTTAACGCCCATCATGGATTCCAATAAATTCAACGCCGCAATTTCCGAATACGTTATTCCGCCAATGATATAAACCATTAAACTTTTCTTAGCATTAAAATACTTTCCGCTTACAGCCAACTCACCAAAATGCAACAACTTCTGTTTTAAATCTTCAATAGGCGTTCCACTCAATACAAGACTCGCAATTTGTGCAATCAATGGAATGTACAATCCGCCATAAACATAACTACAACATGTCGGATTCTTCAAACTGACCTTATCCGGTTCCGCATTCAATTGTTTCAACTTATTTGCGTTCGAAAAGAACGTACTTTTACTCATCAATTGCAGTTTCAACTTATTACCACTGCTACTGTCAATAATATTAGTTTTCACTAATTTTTGATATAAATGTGCATGATTATATCCAAATTCAATGAAAAATTTGGTAAGAAATGACTTGACTTCTGAGTGTGAACATTTTTGCGTTGTACATAACAATAAAAGAGTGCAAAAGCCTGCAAAATTGAAGAAATTTGTACTTAAAATGACCCACACTAAGCAATTTTAACTACCTCTGTGGAGATCTGCTTCTGTCTCTCCTTCTATCCCTTGTATCCCTCTCAAATGTTTTTCTATGTGTGGAATGATCTCTGCTGCTGCCCCTATGCCTGCTCTGATTATTGTCCCTACCATCCCTGCTTGATCTTCTATCACCCCTGTTATTTAAATCTCTAGCATTTTCTCTGTCCCTACTGTTGTCCCTAGGCCTCCGCTCTCGAGATCGTTCTAATCTGTGGTTATCTGATGATTTACTGTGTCTATAGTCATCTGGTAATGGTTTATCTCTCCTGCCATGTTCTGATGTTCTGGAATAAATATCAACTTGTTTAATTGATAAAACTTATAAATAATTGATAATTATTTACCGTTTTTTATCCACTCGTTCATCGGGACTGTCCCACTTTGATTTTACATCGCGATTCTTAACCGGTGATCGTAGTCTTGAATGTTTTGAAGAGTCTCTTGAATGTTTTGGATTGTTGTCTTGTTTACTTTTTTTTGCTGGCGACTTAGAGCGACTTTTCTCCGACTCGCTGCTGGATGAACTTGACGAACTCGAAGACGATGAACTGCTGTCCCGTTTTTTACGCATTTCCATCTTGTTTTTCATTACAATTCAGTGTTAAACGAATGTTAAATTACAAATATACAAACGTTCGTTCTATAACGCATAAAACTAACCACAAAGTCAAACTTAGAACCTCTTTTGACAATCCTCATCTGAATGACAGGACCGTACTAGGCGCTCAAAATTCTTAAATTCAAAACAATGATTAAACAATAACATATTTATTGTTCAATTATTGTATAAACGCGTTAGCAATGTCGTTTTTCGATATAATTCTATCACTAACTTTAATAATCTTAACGCCCATCATGGATTCTAATAAATTCAACGCCGCAATTTCCGAATACGTTATTCCACCAATAATATAAACCATTAAACTTTTCTTGGCATTAAAATACTTTCCGCTTACAGCCAACTCACCAAAATGCAACAACTTCTGTTTCAAATCTTCAATAGGCGTTCCACTCAATACAAGACTTGCAATTTGTGCAATCAATGGAATGTACAATCCGCCATAAACATAACTACAACATGTCGGATTCTTCAAACTGACCTTATCCGGTTCCGCATTCAATTGTTTCAACTTATTTGCGTTCGAAAAGAACGTACTTTTACTCATCAATTGCAGTTTCAACTTATTACCACTGCTACTGTCAATAATATTAGTTTTCACTAATTTTTGATATAAATGTGCATGATTATATCCAAATTCAATGAAAAATTTGGTAAGAAATGACTTGACTTCTGAGTGTGAACATTTTTGCGTTGTACATAACAATAAAAAGAGTGCAAAAGCTGACGTCGCATCGCGTTCAGTCTGTAAATACTCCTCAAGAGTTGTTAAACTTCTAGACTTGCTTTGATTCTGCAAAATGTCACATTCCACTTCAAACAATTTCTGTAGTCTGCTATGCAACAAATGCACTAAAGTTTCAGCCGCGTTTAGGTGACAAGCAACAAATTGCTTCTTTTGCGCTACAGATTGCAATTTAGTTTGCACATATCTCTTCATTTCATGTAAAGCCATGTCTGAAGTTTCACCCTGCACCTTTAAATCTTTAGTTAAGTGCCTTAATATCTCAGTAACTTCAAAAAAGTGCTTATCTTTGATTAATTTGTACACCGAATCCTTTTTAGAGTCTAATACAAAATTAACCGCTTGTTTTACAATGATTTTGTTGCATTGTTCATCTAATAAGCTATCATTCACAGTCTCATTTTTACAAACTCCACTATTAACTCCAAATACTTCATTAAGCATTGCTGAATACGTCGCAGGAGTTAACAAAGCCCCAGGATAATCCATATCCCTATCAATAACAATTAATCCACCTATATCACTATCCCCAAAAGAAGTTGATTCTTCCAATTGTTTTACAATATTATTAGCATTTTTACCCAAAGATAAACAAAAATTGGGTCTGCCAAGTGACAAAAACAAATGCCACAAACTTTTAGAAAACACTGGCAATAAACTATAATCATCTTGGATGAAAATATTCTCAAACATGGATGGCATTTCTAAAGATAATATACCTTGATCCAAGTGAATGGGAAACCATTGAAATGAATAAAGTTTGACATTATTGAACAAGCCATTTTGTTCAACAATATCTTCAAAGAAGTATAACACTTTAGGGACGCATATAATGTGGTATTTGCTGTCTTCTGCCTGGTTTGAATTAACCTTTGATTGGATTTGTTGTAAAACACTCTCAAATGTTGATGTGTTTGTGTAAATCATGTAGAGGGATGTTGATTGGGTGTCTTTTGTTATTGTGGCGTACAATTTGAAGATTTTCTCTATTCCGTACGACCTAAAAATAGATATAAACAATAAAATAAATAAAAAGCAAGTAAAAACTGACTTGAGCCATGATACACCACAGATTCTCTCCAAGGGTTTGATGAGAGAAGGTTCAATAATAAGGTGTTTACAACCAGGCACTGTTTTTAATATTTTTTCTAATTGTGCCTTTGATATTTCCGATAGAGACGAGAGTTTATCATAGATTATTTCATCCATTGTAACATTACTTGTTAACTACAATTTAAGGTTAGATTCGTTTAAAATTGATGTTATGAACATTAAAATTGTTCCAGGAAGTGAATTAACTTAAGATATTTAAAAAATGAGTACTACTATCCTTGGAGGAGGTCTAGGAGGGCTTTCTGCAGCATATTACTTACTGAAGAAAGATCCAAAAAGTGTAATAACATTAGTTGAAGCATCAAACAGGGTTGGTGGATGGATTAAATCCAACACACAGGATGATGGAGTGATTTTTGAGCAAGGCCCACGTACAGTACGTCCTAAAGGACCACAAGGTGCAAATACACTAGCATTAATTGAGGAACTTGACTTATCTAGTCACATCAAAGCAATACCCACATATCATCCAGCTGCTACCAAAAGAATGATATATGCCAACTCAAAACTGCATTTATTACCAGCCAGTTTCACAAGTCTCTTCAAAAAACAAACGCCGTTTTCAAAACCATTAATATCTCTGTTGTTCAAAGATGTTATCACTGGTAAACCAGCAGTGGCAATAAAAGATGAATCAATTTATGATTTTGTTACAAGAAGATTCGGTACAGAGGTCGGGGATTATTTAATATCACCGATGATTTGCGGAATATGCGGGGGTGACGCAAAGCAGATAAGCGTCAAGTTTTTAATGGAGGGTTTGTTTGAAAAGGAGCAGAAACATGGGAGTATTACAAGGGGTATCATTGCAAGTTGGCTTAATAAAGAAGAAAAAAAGAACGAAAATAAACCAAGGAATGATTTGTATCAACGATCAATTAATGAACGTTGGAATGTTTATACTTTTGATAATGGCATTGAGAGTCTACCGAAAAGACTTGAAGAAGTTTGTCGCGCGAATGGTACCCGGTTTGAAATGGATGCTAAGTGTACAGGGCTGGACTTTTCCGCGAAAATCACAACAGAATTAAGCAATGGTAGAGTTTTGACAAGTGATAAACTAATAAGTTCAATTTCCGCAGAGAATTTAAGCGCGTTATTAATAAATAAACATCCCGACTTGGCAAAACTCCTTCAGCGCATAAAAACGGTAACATTGGCGGTTGTTAACTTACAATTCAATGAAAAGCTCCCGATTGAAGACGGTTTTGGATTCTTGGTGTGCCCGAAAGAAAACCGGCCGATCCTAGGTGTGATTTACGACAGTTGCTGTTTTTCTTACACCGATAAGACTGTTCTGACTGTGATGCTCGGCGGACACTGGTTCTACGATCACTTCAATGATAATACTTCAGAGGAAGAGTTTCTGCACGTAGCATTAACGCAAGTCGCAGATATCTTAAAGATTGATCAACTTCCCGATAATTACAAAGTTAATCTATTGAAAAATGCGATTCCGCAGTATACAGTAGGGCACAAGGAGAACCTCGAACTTATTCAGCGGTATATCGATGCGAAGCGCCTGAAATTGCATCTTTGCGGAAGTTCGTATCATGGTGTCGGTATCAACGATGTCATTATGTCGGCAAGAAACATGGCGGATGAAATCTAATTCATATTTATATTATGTTTCAATTAAGCGCTGCTTCTTTTCCTGTAATAAAAACAAAACCAAGCGATTTGAGTCATTTGCCTTCATTGAAATACTTTCTAAACAATAACCAAACAATAAAACAATACAAAACTATAAAGACTAAACAAAATTCTAAAAAAACATTTCTCACACTTAAAAGACACTTCCATGCAGTTGGGTTTTGATGTAAGCTCATTCCATTCCAGTTGTTACTTTAAATTAATGTGTTACTTTATAAGAACAAAAGAAAATAGGGAAAAAATCATGTCTTACCAGCATATTTCACTTCATCGAAAGCTTTCCTAGCTCTTTTCAGTTCTTCATTCATTGTGAGCAGGTCTTTGACCCTGGCGTACTTTCTAGCGTCTTTCCGGACGAGGAAAACCATGTCTTCCACTTGAACGCGGCCTGTTTTACCGATTTCCATGGCTCTACACATAAAATATAAAGTTTAATCATTTTTTCGTGTTTTATATTGGGAATAATTACTTGTGTGTCGTTTCAGTGATGAATTCAATGACTAAATCTTCGATGATATCAACGCTTTCGGTGTAGGGGTTCTGATCATCGCCGAAACCAAACATCATGCATCGCAATTCTTTGCTAAAGATTCTTTTTCTGCCCACTGATGATAACATCATAGAGGCTTCATTTGTTTCTTCCTCTTCATACTAATCACAACATTAGACAAGTGTCTATTGTATAGCTAAATTAATGTTTATTTACCTGCTCGAATTGTTCATCTGCCGCCGCCATTGAAGAGCAATTGTTGTTACTTGTTGAACGACGAATTAAAACTGAGCTAATATGAAAAACGCGCAAACTATCTTAACCTCCACGCGACACGAACCGAAGTCAACCGAACGAGTAGCACCGTAGTTCGCCGAGTGAACAGCACCGTAGGCAACCGCACGTACACCTCTCTTACACACAAAACATACAATAAATTAAAACATTTACAGGTGTAGCATATAAAACAATATTCAGGATCGTAAAATTTTATTGATAATAAACTTTTACCTTAAATTAGGAAGGAGATGATAATCAGGGAATGCAGTTTAAATGCTGTGAAAAGAAAGCAAACGCCATCTATCATTGCCAACTTCTATTTTCTTTTCCATTGACAATGATGATTGTACCAATTATCAAAATAGAAATGAAATTATTACATCTTATGAAGCTTGGACCTCCCCAGTGGGCATCGACTTGATGATATCGGAATCGCCAGGATCCGTGATCGACATTACGCACACTCGGAAGTATTTACCGCAAGCTGTACCCAATTCAATATTGTTACCGGTGTAATGATGAACGCCAGTTTTGGCCAACATGGCGTAATATTCAATTTCACATCTGCGGAGTGGCGGCGTGTTGTTGGCGATGATGATGAGCTTAGCTTTACCTTGGCGGAGAGTCTGTAATTGGGAAATTGCACGATTTTTAACCACATTCACATAAAAGAGGTTTAAAACGTACCTTAAGCGACTGCTTGTATCCCAAACAGTATTTACCGCTCTTCATCACCAGCGCCAACTTGGCGTTGATGCTCTCGATCGCCTTCTTTTGCTTCTTTGGGGCCACCATGATTTCTAAATGAAAAAAGTAAGGTTAAAAACACGTTTTATTAAATTAAAACTCCAAATTAAAAAGTAGAACGTTTAATATACACGCAAATGGTGTATACATGTTTTCTCTAGTTAAATTGACGTTTTATTACTTTAAATTACGCCAAAATTAATAATTATTACCTGTTAAGCTCCGCACACGTGTTGTCTGCACAAAGTGAAGTGAATGAAAGGAAGTGCGGCGTTTTTAATGGCGGCTCGGTGCTTGTCGCTTCAGTTCGCGTACCAACCACCGACTACAGCGACCTCTACCGGATAAACCCAAAGTACTGAAACATATGCAACCCAAACAGCAAAGCATAAAATAAAAACATTTAAAAGTAAATTCGAAAAGTATATTATTACAGAAGTAAATCAGATGCCACAACTCGGCTCGTCCTACTTTTCGGTTGAGAATGCGTGACATTTATTGAAAATAGCTCTCAATTTGTGTAAATATCGTGGTAGAATCAACTTCCTACCGTACATTTCATTCGTTTCGCTCTGCTTATTGAAAGAAATAAAATTCAAATGAAATGACTTGAACAAACAATTGTTAAACTAATACAATAAACAAATACGCCACGAACTGTGCCGTCTTGCAACCATATTCATAATAAATATACTAATTTATAAATTGATTGTATTCGTGTGCAGCAGACAGAATGCAGAGTTAATGGTTGCTTCTTCGGCCGCCATCATCATCATCATATCAAACAACTTTACATTATCTTCATTAACATATTACTTAAATAGGAATCGGCGATTGCTATTTGCGCGCAATTTATTTAAATAGTCTTCGACACACACATACGCACACATACACACGATTGTTATCGCGACTGGATGGATAGACTGCGTCGAATGGCGGCGTCACCGCTGCCGCCGCGCTCTGCCGCGCCCAGCCGTTGATGCGTTGGTATTTTATCGAAGAACGGATGCTGCATTGCCTCGCGCAGCGTGATTCGCTGCGATGGTTCGTATTCGAGCATACGAAGGATCAAATCAAACAATTCGCCGTGTTCCACGCCATCGCTTTGCTTATAACGCTAAAAACAAACAAATTATCTAAAATTTCTATAAATATTAATGATATTTACCATTAATGGCTTGCAGTTTTCTCTAACATATCGCCCAGAGGAGCTCTTTTCATCCCATTCGAGTTTGCCGCGATAAAAGTACTTCGTTTTGGTTTTGCGCGCCATGCGTGTGGGAATCTCGCCGAGGATGCGCTCCATCATGGCTAAATGCTCGCGATTGTCGTGCGTCTGGAAGAGCGTGATGCCGAGGTACAATTCGAAAAGTATGCAGCCGATCGACCACACGTCGCAGGGTTGTGCCCAGCCCAATTCGAGAATCACCTCCGGGGCGCGGTAATGTCGCGTGGAGACGATCGTCGAATGGTGCTCCTCGTCAAAGGTAGCGCTGCCAAAGTCTATTAATCGCACGTCTGTACGCAGGACACGCTTTACGGTGCGTCTCTACAAAAACAAATTGAAATTTAATACATTTACGCCATCTACCAGCAAATTAAACAACTAAAATTACAATAAACCTAATTTTACACTGTTAAAGTTATTTTTTAACAATAAAAAGTAATCTATGTTATGCTTCATGATATAAACTATCTCTATACAAAATTTTATAAGAATTGATTGAATAGTTTTGTGTTATTGCGTAAAATACATACTTTTCGTTGGTTGTAACCTAATTCGAAAGCTGAATTCACAAACAGGATGTTCTCCGGCTTGAGGTCGGTGTGTGTGAGCTTATTATCATGTAGAAACTTGACTGAATAACACAACTGGTAGCCGATGTGACGGACATGATCCAATGGATAGGGTTGGTATAAATTCTCCTTCTGCACATGAAACAAAAATAAGAATAAGAGAATGATAGAGAGAGGTGGAAAGGTATGCCGCCGACGAATGTGTAAATTCATCCCAATTCGAATCCGTATAAATAGAGCATCGCTATTAATAAACCAAGCACAGCCGAGCATAGAAAATGCGCCAGCGTTGCACGAATCGGTAATTGGTTCAAGGCGACATCGAGAAAACGTGCAATAGTTACCAAAACTTGCACCCATAGGAACCAATTTTAAAGTCTCGGTTTTATAATTCCACCCTCTCAAAATAACAAGCGAAAAATAAGGTAGAATTATGCAAATCGCGTGCATTTTCACTTTTCACGTTCGTGCGGGAAAGTTTACCCAAACAGGAATTCAAAATGCCGGATACATCACTTCACCATCACCCAAGCACGCGATCGCCGCTATAAATGCGCGTTTTGAACTTGAACCTCTTAAATTTTCCCCTCGCGAAAACCCAATGAACACAAATTCGCATCATATTTATTTATTTCATCGCCGCACGTGCCAAAAACTCGTGTGTAACCATTTTTTATTTATAATTGAGGTGATACACACGTAAATATAGGTTTTTTTCTCACTCCTCTCTCACGAAATCGTAAAAAACAAAAAAACAAAAAAAAACTTACCAAGAAATCAAACACGCTCAGGCCCAGCATTTCGAACGCGATACACATGTGTCCATGATAGTTGAACCAATCCAACATTTTTACACAAAGGCTAAAAATATAAACAAATTAATAAAAAAATAATTTAATTTAAAAATAATGATTACTGTTGACAATCAGGATCCTTCTCGGCGAGTTTCTCCAGCACGTTGATCTCGAGCTTGGCCGCCTCCCGGTACTTCTCCACGTTCTTGATGATCTTCAAGGCCATCGTGTGATTACTGAAAATAGCACCGAATCGATATAGCTGGATATTATCATTGAAATAAGCGTGTTGAACACTCACGTGTCTAGGTCATCAACGCGCACCACTTTGCCAAAGGTGCCTTCGCCCAAGGTCTGGTCGATTTTATCTGAAAGACGCAAGAAATCGCACACGTGATCAACATCCAACGCCCCAAGCCGCATCACAATTCCTCGCTTTCTCTCTGTGATATTTTGTGCATAATAATACAGAAAATATCACAGTGTTTGCTCTCTTATTGATAATTAACCGATAAAATAAAAAAATTTTGATTCTTTTGTTTCTCAAATAATTTATGATGTGGGTGTGATAGTGAGATAGTAGTAGTATTCACGAACATCTGTTTAGCAGTACATCTCCCACGTGGTAAATGAGGTGGCCCTCTTCATCGTCCTCGATGGATGGTGCTCGCGAGCTCTGCGTTCGCCATCGCGCGTGTGAATATCACGGTTCGGGGGCGGGAATCACATCGCATTGAATCGCATCATCATCATCATCATCATGATCATCGCAGGCGTATCATCATCATCGTGGTGTGGATTGGTCAGCGCACCCCCCGGCCAGCAACACAACAGGAAGGGCAAACAACAACGGATTGCCAAATCAACAACGATTGCAATGTTTCTCGCATGTTCGATTATTAGTAAGTTGCAAAGTGTGGTAATAATATTTGGGGGTCAAATACAAACAATGGAATTAATATATTCTTATGATTAGTTTTTATATATCGCATGCAAATGCAAAAAGTCAGCAAAACGATGATAAATTCATGTATTTCATATTTGAAATCGCGCGCGCAACGTGTTGGCGCGTATAAATAACCGCTCCGAAAATACAAATGTCACATGACCAATGAATGTGTAATGTAGAGGCAGGAAAATCACAGAGCGACTGACTAATATTTTAATACAGTGTAGAAATTGATTCATTTGCGTGAAATACCGGTAGTTTTTTATTTGTAAATACCGGTATACCGGATTTTAATATTTGAAAATGTAAAAAATTTAAAAATTACAAAATCGTGAATATTTTCGGAATAATTTTATAAATACCGGTATTTTTTTGGTAAATACCGGTATTTTGAAGTATCAACGAGAGTTTTTATAGAACAACGTTTAGCCACGTGATGTTTACGGTGTTTTTTCTAGTTTCACTTTATTTTCATATTGAGGTTTTTAAATTTAAAGTTTTTATTTTAAATTTTCGAAATTCGTTTGCGCCGCACCTACACGAGCAGCGTAGTAGACAAATACATAAACGCAAGCTCCACCATGTGACTAAAGCACTTTAGTAACGGCCATGACCATTCGTGCTTAAATTTCCACTTTTTGTGTCTCAAAACCGTGAAAAAAGTGGCGTTTTAAAGATAGAAGTAGAAAAAACTTGATTTTAGGTTAAAATAATTAGAAAATTGCAAATATACCGGTATTTATACTAAAATACCTAAAAATTAACCTCAAAATTGACTTCTACTCACAACTTTAAAGCAAAATATTAATTTCCTCGATATAGCTCCTTCAATTTAAGTAAAAATGATTAATTATTTTAAAAAATCGTTTAAAAAAATTGATAAATGAATCAATTGCAAAATTCAAACATTAAAAAATTACAAAATTGAGAATATTTTCGTAATAATTTTATAAATACCGGTATTTTTTGGCAAATACCGGTATTTTGAAGTATCAAGTGGCAAAACGTGAATTTTTGTTTAACAACGTTTAGCCACGTGACGCTTACGGTGTTTTTTTCTAGTTTCACTCTATTTTGATGTTGAGGTTTTTAAATTTAAAGTTTTTATTTTAAATTTTCGAAATTCATTCGCGCCGCACCGATACGAGCAGAATAGTAGACAAATACATAAACGCAAGCTCCACCATGTGACTAAAGCACTTGGCTAAAGTACATTACCATTCAGCTTAAATTTCCACTTTTGCCTCAAAACCGTGAAAAAAGTGGCGTTTTAAAGATAGAAGTAGAAAAAACTTGATTTTAAGTTAAAATAATTAGAAAATTGCAAATATACCGGTATTTATACTAAAATACCTAAAAATTAACCTCAAAATTGACTTCTACTCACAACTTTAAAGCAAAATATTAATTTCCTCGATATAGCTCCTTCAATTTAAGTAAAAATGATTAATTATTTAAAAAAATTGATAAATGAATCAATTGCAAATTTCAAACATTAAAAAATTACAAAATTGAGAATATTTTCGTAATAATTTTATAAATACCGGTACTTTTTTGGCAAATACCGGTATTTTGAAGCATCAAGTGGCAAAACGTGAATTTTTGTTTAACAACGTTTAGCCACGTGACGCTTACGGTGTTCTTTTCTTCTATTTTCACTCTATTTTGATGTTGGGGTTTTTAAATTTAAAGTTTTTATTTTAAATTTTCGAAATTCATTCGCGCCGCACCGATACGAGCCGTATAGTAGACAAATACATAAACGCAAGCTCCACCATGTGACTAAAACCCGTGGCTAAAGTACTTTAGTCACAGCCATGGCCAATCGCCTCAAAACCATGAAAAAAGTGGCGATTTAAATATAAAAGTAGAAAAAACGTGATTTTATGTTAAAATAATTAAAAAATAGCAAATATACCGGTATTTTTACTAAAATATACTAAAACACCTAAAAACTAACCTCAAAATTCACTTCTACTCACAACTTTAAAGCTAAACATTAATTTCCTTAATATAGCTCCTTCAATTTAATTAAAAATTAAAAAACCAATTGAAAAAACCCAAGTATTATTTTCCTATCTCCAAATTTCCCAATTTCCCATTTTCCACATACCGGTATTTCACATTTATCATCGTTTCTCACAAGCGCAAGAAAAAAAAACCAAACACAAACATGCCCAACGTGGATGTAACTGTGTCACTTACACAAGATTAGTTAGAGGCCACACACACACGCCGCTCGGTTATACAGGGTGTATATACTGATATGGACAAAAACACGCGCGGCCATGTACTTACAGCCGCCGCCCCCGCCCTCGCCTTCGACTGCCGATAGTAGCTGCTGTACCTTCCCGCGACTGCATTATCATTAATCGCATGTGTACTATTACTACTACTACTCTTCAAATTCAAACTGGCGCTCGACGCGCTCGCCGCAATCGTGCTCCCTGCAACACCCGCCGCCGCCACCGCATCATTACTACTCCCAACCCGATTATAAACCTCATCTAACGCCGAGTATTTCATAATGAGGCTCTGTATCTCCTTGCGTTTTGTTTCACGCTCGCTGAGTGGATCATCGATGCTAATATCGACGATTTTCATCTCGGCCGCCGCCAATTTCTTCTCGATCGTCTGCGAATCGCGCTGTGGTTTCGCCGACCGCCTCGGCCGACATTTACTCGCACTCGTCGCCGCGTTCAACCGATGCGATGAGTTGTAAATCGACTCAACATGGCGGTCGAGATAATTGCTATCTAAATTAATGGTGGAGGCGCCCGCTGGAGTCTTGTAGGGTGTTTTCTCGCGCGGTGTTTCCCGCGTTGGAACATTCGCAGTGGTGGCACTTTTCGATAGAGTTAACCCGCGTCCAATTGACGGCTCCAGCGTGCGTTCCTCCTTCTTCCTGCCGTAGATCCGGTCCCACACGGAGAAGTATTTATCCTCGATGCGTTTCGTCGCGTTATTATTATTATTCGTGACATAACTCGTCGATGCGGACGTGCTCAGCGGTATGCTGTAGCTATTCGTGGGTGTTTTATTGCGGGAAGAGTGTTCGGATGGTCCGCGCACCTTCGTTGAGAGTTTTTGCAGCAGGCTGCTGCATGAATCGCTGAGGATTTGCGTTACGCTCGCCGTGGTGGAGGAGCGTGTGTATCGCGCGCGGCGCTGGGCGGCTGATGATGACGGTGTGATCGTTGGCGTTGTGCTTGCGCTCGCCAGCATCGTGCCACTGGTGGACCTCTTCGGCGCATAGCTGAACGAATGCGCCGATGGGCGATATAGCGATGAACTGGTGCTATTGCTGGCGGTTGAGGGATATTCGTAATTACGTACGCGCGGCGGTAGCGGTGAGTAGTGATAAACGCCCGACGGATCGTACATCACGCATATTCCGATGCGGCGGGTATTTTTTTTCTCGGTGACCAAGTGCCGGTGGCGCGTTTGCGACTAATCGTGGCGTCACATGCGCGTTAGTTAAAAGTCGCGCATCCGAACGCGATGCCAAATACCGCCAAACTAAAAATACCATCAACCGAGGCGAGCACACGGCTCAACACACGACGGTAGGTAGGTGTTGGTCTGTGTGTGTGTGTGTAGCCTTCTTTTCCGAGCGGCGGCGGCGAGAGGAGAAAATAAATTCACCAACAGCGCCCCACAGCGCTGAAAACAATTGCGCGCCGGCAACACACAAACACGGCTAAAATTAAAACAAATCTAACGTTTTATTATTTATTTATTGCTATACGAGAGCAGAAATTCAAGAAAATGTGATTTTATTTTACTTGTGTAAATGATGTATTTTGGGTTGCAGGCTAGAAAATTTAGTGTTTTTTGTGAAAAAATAACGAAAAAACGAAAAATATCAAAGATACAACTTTTAAAGAGCTTCTATAATAAAGAGAATTTAATCCTGTATCTTTTGAATGTAAGACTTTTCAAAAACTCTTAATATTTTTAAAATTACAAGCAAAAAAACTCGAAAAACGCACTGTCGCTACTAAAATTTGGCTATTTTCGCGGAAAAACAAGAAAAAAGTGAAAAATATTTAACTTCAACACGTCAACATGAAGAAAAATACTCTATAAATCGGAACTATTGATATATAAGTTCAATTTTGTGTTTTTTCTACCACTTTTTACAAATTAACTCAAAAATTGTTAAAAAAATACCGATATTCCCGGAAAACATTAAATATCTCCATAAATAATAATCACAAAACGTCGCAAAAACACATAACAAAAAGAATTTAATCTCGCCTCTTTTCCACGTAAGACTTTTCAGAAACTCGCAAAACTTTAGAAATTACAATCAAAAAACTCTAAAAACGCACTGTCCCTACTAAAATTTGGCTATTTTTCTCGGAAAAACAAGAAAAAAGTGAAAAATATTTAACTTCAACACGTCAACATGAAGCAAAATATACTATAAATCAGGACTATTGATCTATCAACTCAATTTTGTGTTTTTTTCTACCACTTTTTACAAATTAACTCAAAAATTGTTAAAAATACCGTTATTACCGGAAAAGAGGAAATATCTCCATAAATATTAATCACAAAGCGTCGCAAAAAACACCTAACAAAGAGAATTTAATCTCGCATCTTTTCCACTGAAAACTTTTCAAAAACTCGTAAAACTTTAAAAATTACTATTAAAAAAACAAAAAAAAACGACTATCCCTATTATAATATGTATAACCTGTTATAATCAAAATTAACCCCTTCAAAAGCTCTAATCATGCGTGAAATTCACCCAGACATAAAACCTAAAATTAAAAAAGCAACTCGAGCAGTGGTGGCAGCTGTGTTTACACAAAAAGCTCCAGTTTGCACCTCGCACGCATTTTCTCAACTCTCTAGCTTAGTCTACGCGTACACGAATTCAGCGCGGCGGTGGCGGCTGGCAAATGATGGTAATGTAAATAAAGCGCTGAGCTTTTTTCCTCTCTCTGTACTCTCTTACTCTCTGTGGCATACCTGTCGTAGTAATCGCCTAACAAACTTGTGTATCCTTTCGGCGAACTTGTGCTCAATGTGCGGCGACGGCGGCGCGTCATTGTGGACGAAATTATTGTTATCGCAGATAAACACCGTGAAGATCATACTGTCACATTATAAACTCAAATTTCCGCGTTTTGCAACTCCACACCAACACTACGATTCAACGCGTAGAATAAAACTGAACTAAACTTAAAACTTCAACTTCAACTAGAAGTTGTGTAGAATGAAATACTCGTAATGTAAACATTATCAAAGCGCACAGCGTATTGTTTATATTTATGCGCGAAACGCGCGCCGCAATGTTATTTATTATTAAATCGGCGTAAATTAAAATTAAAACACAAATCGTGTTTAACTGCGCGCGGTTCGAATCAGACTGGACTTATAAGTCCGAGTACGAGTGGTGGAGGCGCCCAAACCACCACATCCAATGGTGGTGGGCATGTAAATGACAGGAAGCCATCACCAAGTACCACCCGCACGCGATTTTCGTATTTTCATTCCATGCACACGTGTGTACCGACATCAAGTACCTTGTAGCCCGCCTGTTTTTTCCCTATTACGAATTGTAAATAGTCTTCCTTCGCGTGCCAATCGCTAATTTATTATCAGCGTGTTACGTAACGAAACGCGAGTTAATAACCCAAACATGCACCACTGGTCATCCTGTTACCCTTCCAATCCAAGGTTAAGAACACACACACACAAAAATATAAAAGAAAATGAAATACTCGTAAAAATTGCGATGTCATGTTTTTTGTGGAAAAACCACGAAAAAAACGGAAAATATCAAAGATACAACTTTAAAAAAGCTTCTATAGTAAAGAGAATTTAATTCTGTATCTTTTGAATGTAATACTTTTTAAAAACTCGTAATATTTTTAAAATTACAAGCAAATAACTCAAAAAATCGACTGTCACTATTAAAAGTTGGCTTTTTTCGCGGAAAAACAAGAAAAACGTGAAAAATATTTAACTTCAACACTTCAACATGAAGAAAAATACTCTATAAATCGGAATTATTGATATATCAGTTCAATTTTGTGTTTTTTCTACCACATTTTACAATTTAACTCAAAAATTGTTAAAAAATATCATTATTCTCGGAAAAAAATTAAATATCTCCATAAATATTAATCACAAAACGTCGCAAAAAACACCTAATAATAAGAATTTATTCTCGCATCTTTTCCACGAAAAACTTTTCAAAAACTCGCAAAACTTTAGAAATTACAATCAAAAAACTCTAAAAACGCACTGTCGCTACTAAAATTCGGCTATTTTCGCGGAAAAACAAGAAAAACGTGAAAAATATTTCACTTCAACACGTCAACAACCGAAAGATATACTATAAATCAGGACTATTGATATATCAACTCAATTTTGTGTTTTTTTTCTACCACATTTTACAATTTAACTCAAAAATTGTTAAAAATATCATTATTCTCGGAAAAATTAAATATCTCCATAAATATTAATCACAAAACGTCGCAAAAAACACCTAATAAAGAGAATTTAATCTCGCATTTTTTCCACGAAAAACTTTTCAAAAACTCGCAATACTTTAGAAATGACAATCAAAAAACCGAAAAAAATCCACTATCCCTATTATAATATATATAACCTGCTATAATCAAAATTAACCCCATCAAAAGCTCTAATCATGCGTAAAATGGTCATCCTGCTACCCTTCAATTTCAAGGTTAAGACCACACGCACACACACAAAGCAAAATAAAAGAAAATGAAATAAAAATTGCGATGTCATGTTGATCGCATTGTCCAGAAGGGTCAGGTCAAGGCAAACAATACATCATGAGTAATATTAATGTTAAAACGTCGACTCACACTGTTATCAGTTATCACAATCACTCTTTAGCACACCTCGTAAGTCAACTGCATGACAATATCAGTTTGTGTCGCGTCTTCGATTGGTGGCATAATAACAACACACTTGTTTGATCGCGTCTTTTTGATGCGTTTCCGCCGCGTTCGCTTAGGTTTGTTGTAATTGCACGCATGATCGCTTTTACTTTTCTTCAACACTTCAACATGAAGAAAAATACTCTATAAATCGGAATTATTGATATATCAATTCAATTTTGTGTTTTTTCTACCACATTTTACAATTTAACTCAAAAATTGTTAAAAATATCATTATTCTCGGAAAAAATTAAATATCTCCATAAATATTAATCACAAAACGTCGCAAAAAACACCTAATAAAAAGAATTTATTCTCGCATCTTTTCCACGAAAAACTTTTCAAAAACTCGCAAAACTTTAGAAATTACAATCAAAAAACTCTAAAAACGCACTGTCGCTACTAAAATTCGGCTATTTTCGCGGAAAACAAGAAAAACGTGAAAAATATTTAACTTCAACATGTCAACAACCGAAAGATATACTATAAATCAGGACTATTGATATATCAACTCAATTTTGTGTTTTTTTTCTACCACATTTTACAATTTAACTCAAAAATTGTTAAAAATATCATTATTCTCGGAAAAAATTAAATATCTCCATAAATATTAATCACAAAACGTCGCAAAAAACACCTAATAAAGAGAATTTAATCTCGCATTTTTTCCACGAAAAACTTTTCAAAAACTCGCAATACTTTAGAAATGACAATCAAAAAACCGAAAAAAATCCACTATCCCTATTATAATATATATAACCTTTTATAATCAAAATTAACCCCATCAAAAGCTCTAATCATGCGTAAAATGGTCATCCTGCTACCCTTCCAATCCAAGGTTAAGAACACACACACACACACACAAAATATAAAAGAAAACGAAATAAAAATTGCGATGTCATGTTGATCGCATTGTCCAGAAGGGTCAGGTCAAGGCAAACAATACATCATGAGTAATATTAATGTTAAAACGTAGACTCACACTGTTATCAGTTATCACAATCACACTCTTTAGCACACCTCGTAAGTCAACTGCATGACAATATCAGTTTGTGTCGCGTCTTCGACTGGTGGCACAATAACAACACACTTGTTTGATCGCGTCTTTTTGATGCGTTTCCGCCGCGTTCGCTTCGGTTTGTTGTAATTGCACGCATGATCGCTTTTACTTTTTGACAGGAGATTAGTGGTATTGTGGGTTAGCACGGGTGGTTCTTGCGCTTCTTGCGTGCCGCATCGCCAAAATGGCGGGCGGGCCGGCGGGAGCGCGAGCGCGAATATACGCGCGGCGGCCTCGCGCTGCCGATTCGGCCAGTGCGCCATTTTGGTTTGGATCTGGCAAGTCAAAACAACAAACAGCCGACGATCACTGGAGGTTAGGCAGATATACGATAAGAATAGATCTCTCGCACACGCAACGCGCTCGAGACAAATTTAAATTTTAGTTGAATAAAATACCAACCAGTGAAATATAGGCAACCAACAATACACAAAAACACTTTTCATAAAAAAGTGAAAATTTGTTTGAAAATCAACGTTTTGACTCTTTGCATTTACCACAACTATGACAAATTTAAATTTTAGTTGAATAAAATACCCACTAGTGAAATATAGGCAACCAACAATACACAAAGACACTGTTCATAAAAAAGTGAAAATTTGTTTCAAAATCAACGTTTTGTGACTCTTTGCATTTACCACGACTATGAAATATAGGCAACCAACAATACATAAAAACACTTTTCATAAAAAAGTGAAATTTTTTTTATAAAAATCAACGATTTGTGACTTTTTGCATTTACCACAAGTTTAAAAAATTCTTGGACCCCCCAAAACACACACTCATACAGTAATTAATGCAATCTCAACCGCGGATTTCAATTCTTCAGCGTCAAACTCACACAAACACCGATTTGACACGATGTCCGCAAACCGAAAAGAAAGTAATTCAAAGAAAATCAACTGACCTTGTCGTCCGAGTACGACCTGCGCGCGTGTTTCCGGCGTTTTGACGCCGACCTCTCATGGCGACGCCGATGGTGCTTCTTGGACGTCGGCGAGCGTCGGTGACTGCGTTTATATCGCCTCTCACCGCTTGATCCACGATCGTATTGTCTGGAACGATGCGTTCTTTCACTGCTATAATAAACATCTATGTAATACCACCACACAAAACACTACAATACATTTATAACAATATATAACAATAATAATTATCATTAAAAGAACGTTGTTTATTTTGCGAGATGATAAATCTACACTTTCAACCTCTGCCAATCATTGGGCATCTTTAAACTTAAATTATACTCATCGAGTGTTGTGTCATTGACAAGCCAACACCTCTTCTTAAACATGGGCCCTTTCTGTGTGCATACAGAGTATTTCGCGACGGATTTAATCAACCGAATCATGCCTACTTTATTAACAATCACATCCGCTTTTTTCCTCTCCAAGTGATCATAGAACATCGCACATAACATATTTTTATTCTGTGTGTTTCCATGCACCAATCTTAATAAATCCGGCATGTGTTGCTTATCCAACTGCCACTTCTTCTTGTTCTTCCGCTTGTCTTTCTTATCTTCAAAGTCAACCATCTTTTTAATTTCAACGATACCTTTGGAGATTATCTTATAAGGTTGTAGGAATGTGTGTATGGCATGATCTACAACACCATCTTCATTGTTGTTGTTATTCCCATACCAAATGCAACCAATCACACGTGGTTTCAGCCTTTTGGTTAATAATTTCCGCTCTTCATCGAATTGATTTTTTAGTAGCTTCTCTTTAGCTTTGCGCATCTCGGGTGTTATGTTTTCCTGGTCGTCTTCTTCGTCGTCACTCAAGTGTCCATGCGGGACGAAGAATTCATCATCCACTTCGTAGTCGTTTTCTTCCTCTGGGGTTTTCTCTTCGTCGTCTGACCCGGCGATGTCTTCACCTTCTTCTTCTTCCCATTCATCATCTGAATCAATTTCGTAATTAAACATTTTGTTATCTTGTCCGAATGGAGTACGAGCTGAGATTTGTGCGGATTTTTTACGCCATGTGCCGAAATATGCCGGACGTCGATTCTCGTGGAATTTTAAGAATTTCGCGCGGAGTTTTACTGATATCTTGGCATTCGGCGGGCGGGCCGGCGGGAGCGCGAGCGCGAATATACGCGCGGCGGCCTCGCGCTGCCGATTCGGCCAGTGCGCCATTTTGGTTTGGATCTGGCAAGTCAAAACAACAAACAGCCGACGATCACTGGAGGTTAGGCAGATATACGATAAGAATAGATCTCTCGCACACGCAACGCGCTCGAGACAAATTTAAATTTTAGTTGGTTAGTTGAATAAAATACCCACCAGTGAAATATAGGCAACCAACAATATACAAAAACACTTTTCATAAAAAAGTGAAAATTTGTTTCAAAATCAACGTTTTGTGACTTGTTGCATTTACCACACTATGACAAATTTAAATTTTAGTTGAATAAAACACCCACCAGTGAAATATAGGCAACCAACAATACACAAAAACACTTTTCATAAAAAAGTGAAAATTTGTTTGAAAATCAACATTTTGTGACTTTTTGCATTTACCACAATTATGAAATATAGGCAACCAACAATACACAAAAACACTTTTCATAAAAAAATAAAAATTTGTATAAAAATCAACGATTTGTGACTTTTTGCATTTACCAAAACTTGAAAAACTTCTTGGACCCCCCAAAACACACACTCATACAGTAATTAAATGCAATCTCAACCGCGGATCTCAATTCTTCAGCGTCAAACTCACACAAACACCGATTTTACACGATGTCCGCAAACCGAAAAGAAAATGAATTCAAAGAAAATCAACTGACCTTGTCGTCCGAGTACGACCTGCGCGCGTGTTTCCGGCGTTTTGACGCCGACCTCTCATGGCGACGCCGATGGTGCTTCTTGGACGTCGGCGAGCGTCGGTGACTGCGTTTATATCGCCTCTCACCGCTTGATCCTCGATCGTATTGTCTGGAACGATGCGTTCTTTCACTGCTATAATAAACATCTATGTAATACAACCACACAAACATAAAATACATTTACAATAATAATAATAACAATAATAATTAATATTAAAAGAAGATGTTTATTTTGCGAGATGATAAATCTACACTTTTAACCTCTGCCAATCATTGGGCATCTTCAAACTTAAATTATACTCATCAAGTGTTGTGTCATTGACAAGCCAACACCTCTTCTTAAACATGGGCCCTTTCTGTGTGCATACAGAGTATTTCGCGACGGATTTAATCAATCTTATCATGCCTACTTTATTAACAATCACATCCGCTTTTTTCCGCTCTAAGTGATCATAGAACATCGCACATAACATATTTTTATTCTGTGTGTTGCCATGCACCAATCTTAATAAATCCGGCATGTGTTGCTTATCCAACTGCCACTTCTTCTTGTTCTTCCGCTTGTCTTTTTTATCCTCAAAATCAACCATTTTTTTAATCTCCACGATACCTTTGGAGATTATCTTATAAGGTTGTAGGAATGTGTGTATGGCATGATCTACGACGCCATCTTCATTGTTGTTGTTATTCCCATACCAAATACACCCAATCACACGTGGTTTTAGCCTTTTGGTTAATAATTTCCGCTCTTCATCAAATTGATTTTTTAGTAGCTTCTCTTTCGCTTTGCGCATCTCGGGTGTTATGTTTTCTTGGTCGTCTTCTTCGTCGTCACTCAGGTGTCCATGCGGGACGAAAAATTCATCATCCACTTCGTAGTCGTTTTCTTCCTCTGGGGTTTTCTCTTCGTCGTCTGATCCAGCGATGTCTTCACCTTCTTCTTCCTCTTCCCATTCATCATCTGAATCGATTTCGTAGTTGATGATTTTATTATCCTGCCCGAATGGTGTACGAGGTTTGATTTTTGTGGATTTTTTACGCCATGTGCCGAAATAAGCCGGGCGGCGATTCTCGTGGAATTTCAAGAATTTCGCGCGGAGTTTTACTGATATCTTGGCATTCGAGATGTTTTTGTTTAAATTCGACTCGTTTTCAATGAGGACAACGTCATCAGTGGTCCATAACCATGTTTTACCACTACTACGAGCATTTACCTTTAAATTTTTGAGATATTCTTTTGGGGTTTGGTCTTGTTTTGACATTTTTTGTTCTAAATGTTCTTTTCCTTCGTTGTTTAATGTGTTTCTTGATGCTGGCGCTAATCTCATGTCGCTTTTCAATTGAAACGGCATGAAATTATTATTATTCTGCACTGGTGGTTCTTTTTTAACCTCACCAGTGGATTTTCTCGGCACGAAAAACTTTGTAAACGCCGCGGCGGCTTTCTGTTTCTTCTCCTCCAACTTTTGCTTCTCTCGGTTTTTCTCATCAACTTCCGCTTGTTTTTTTAACCGTTCTGATTCCTTTTTCTCTCTTTCTTTACGTTTTACCTCCTCTTTAGCGTCTTTTTCTAGTTGTTTAGCTTCACGCTCCTCTCGGGCCTTTGCCTCCTTCGCATCTTTCTCAATCTGTCGCTGTTTTTGTTTCGCATCGCGTTCTTGCTGCTTTTTTAAATTCCTCTCATCCTTTTCGCGCTGTTTTTCCGCCTTCTTTTTCTCGGACTCGAGCCGTTTTTGCAGCTGCTTGGGCGTGAGCGGATTCTTAAGCGGTGTTTTATTCGGAGTTGAACCACCACCACCGCCGGGCTCACTCGCATTTGATTTGTCCAGTAGCGACGAATCGGAATCGAGATTTACGGTGTTATCACAATGCTGTGCACCTTGTGCGTCGACATTTTCGATTTCATTGGCCTCTGGCTCCGAGCTAGAAAAATACGGTTTGATTTAGTCAAGTTGTGATTGATCGCAGCCAGAGACCAAAAAATCGTATATCGCGACGGTGTTTCACCTTGATTCCTACTCAATTTAGACTTACTTACGAATGTGAGTGCAGATTTATCATCTCGTTTTGGTCATTGTTTTATTATATTTTTAAAACCTACTTGTACACATTGCATCTGGGTATCCAAGTCGCCATCGCCACATACAACACCGGCATGTCCGGCTGGCGGGTGTCAATCCTCAAGCGGGATAATTCATGCATGGGAGCCAACACACGATCGCTCAACATTTTTTTGAAATTTTAAATTTAATTTTTTGCGAAAGAAAAAGCTTGCTTAATTACACGCACACACACTCATCACCTTATTTGGACATAAAAAATAAACGCAGTCGCAAGAGAGTGAAATATAATTCACAACTGGACGACCTTGATGGCGGCTGATTCGGGGCAAGGTCGCCGCCGCAAAACTTACTAAACTCGTATCCACTTATCACCATCGATTATATTTTTAGTTGAATGATAAGAAACAATTGTGCAATAATTAACACTTCCCGATTTAATTATAACATGGAAATTTTGTTTAAATTATCCAAAAACAAAAAAAAAAAAACACGATTAATTTAATTTGTTGTAGTTTTTGACCGTAAATGGCGTTAGATTAGCGCTCGGCGCGTGCGTGATGATGACTAACACTCAGCGTGCACTGATTTGTAACTTTATACACTTTAATAGGACCTCTTCTGAGTGTGCGCGCGCGACTTAAGTCAAGTCAGTCTCAGTTCTCTTGAAACTCGTTTATTGTCGTCGGAGTTCCAGGTGCTACTGTTTTGTGTCTGCATGTCTGCACACCACGCACACCACCACCGCCATTGTTTCTCTGCGCGCGCACACGCCTCTTATTTATCACCGAGGGCAAAGAACCATGAAAAATGAAGGCGCAAACAAGATAGCAGGCAAAGTCACTGACCAAACCCACAAAAATTGTATGAATGCATGTTTTGATGCATTTACAACCTATTTGGCAAGAACAATGCCGCCGAGGATGTCACGTGACATTATTTATTTTAATTGAAATATTTTGTCATGCTTTCGGATTTTCTGCAAAGTCATTGCACTTTTCAAACATGAATCATTCGAAAAAAAGGGTGAAAAACTTATATTCGTGGTAGGCAACTTGTTATACCCAGTCGCAGAGTGGTAAAAAAGTAAAGAATGAAACATACCTAACAGATCTGCGGTTGTGTGGTGGACTTTCGAAGCTCTCGACGACCTTGCGCCGCTTCGGTTCGCGATCGGGCGAATTCGACCGGGACCTCGATCTGGAATGGTGTCTCCTTCTGGAGCGGGGCATCTTGAAATTGAAAGTAATAAATTACACACAATTACCCATAATAATACACTAATAGTATGTGTAAATATCTCTGCTAGATATTTCTCTGCATGTCGATCGCGGCCATGTTTGTTGAGAAAATCAACAAAAAAAAATAACAAAAGAAAACTCAATGCAACGACACACAATAGAAATAGAAAAAGACTTACATTGTTGATGTCGCCTAAGCCTTGTAGAACCCTATGCCAGAGCACGCCGACGACGCGCGCCACGCAATCCCAAGTCCGTTGTGCGGAACCGTGCAGTAATTCGCTGTACAACGACAGACCGAACATCGATCCAACCGTGCGGTCGGTCGGCCTTCCTCGACGGAGCCGCGCGCGACGTCGCCGTCGCCGCAGCCGATGCAAGCACACGAATTATGACGCGATGTGTGACGAGCGCACGCGTCTCGTGGGACTCATTCACACGTCGCGTTACACTTAAACTTACACGCGGCGTTCGATTATTGCGTGAATTCTTGTGTGGAGATGCACTTTAAGCGTCCGTCGATTGACGCTTGGTTAAGTTGTCCAAGTTTTGGCGGTCGACGACCAACCAGCAGTGCGCAAATGGCGTGCCTGCGCTGTAGTACACGAAATGAACGCGCAAACTTGGCGGCGCTGCATGTCAAAAGCGCCGCCGGTGGCAGTATTCAGAACTAATTAATTTTTATAAATTCAAAAGTTTTTTTTAAAACTTTAAAAATAACAACAAATAACGCAATATTAATGTAAAAACTTATGTATAAATACTTATTAATTAATTTTTGATGTTTATATGATGTTAATTTGTCGTAATTCGTTAAAATTTTAATAAATTAATAAATTATGGTTAAATTTACGTTAAAAATATAAATAAATAATATTTCTCGATGACAGAAACATAAATTTAAATAAATACCATGATAAATGTCATAATTTCGAATTTCTTTCAGTTTTTAGGGTTGAAAACATGGCTAAATTCACGTAAATCGCATTTCGTTGAAGAATTCCATAAATTTGAAGCAGGTGAGCGTATTAACGTAATTTCCACCGCCCCCACCGCCCCACGCGCACGTTGCGCTGTGCGTGCGTGAATCTGCGACATTCATCTACGAAATTTCGCAGCAATCAATACGCGGGGAGGGCGCGCGCGCGCCGCCCTCGAGAATGCGGCGACGGCGGCGGCGGCAAGCAAGCCCCCAGTATTAAACGTGCGCTCGCGTTTCAAACACCGGGTGGCTCGGGTGGACCGCGTGTGGTGACGCGATGTAACACAATTTTGTTTCTCTCTCGAAAGATGGAAACAACGAACGGCACCAATGCCGAGATGCTGGCGGCGGCGGCGGCGATGACCAGCACCACCACCGAGGATGAACAGAAGATACATCATCACCATCTGCGTAAGGGCATGCGGCTGCAGCATTGGCGCGATATGCCCAAGCATTTGCAGTTCAATCCTTACATTCACACCGGTTACCGGCCCCTGCTCACATTTTGGGGGTGTATCAACAGCTTGTTCTATCTGCACAACGAAACAATTAATATTTTAACCCATGGTGAGTTATATTTCTTTTCTAGAAATGTTTTAAACACGTTTTAGCCTTGAATTTTGAATTTTTCTGCATATTTTGATGATTTTCTTATCTTTGCGGGTTAAATGTTGAACTTTCTATTTGTTACAATGTTTCTTATCAATTTTAGTTGATGGTAGTGTTAAAAATGCAAGTAATTTGATTAAAAAATCGAATCGGTGCACTTTTAAGGTTTTTTCAAGGCGCGTGAGCGTAATACAAGTGTAAAACACTTTGTGTAGGTGGAGAAGAAGCTTTTTAATTAACTTTTAACCCGGTGCTTTTATTAGATCATTAAATTAACTTAAAACAAGCAAATACACCAAGAAACTCAACTTTGACGTCATTTATACGAGATGTCAAAGTTTTTTTGAAGGTTAGGTCACATTTTTAACAATACCAAACCAAAATTGACAGTTTTCACCAAGTTAACCTAAAAATTCAAGTGTTTTTGTATATACCTTAACTTAATTCTTGTTTTTTATTGCTTTTTGACATCTCTATATGAAGATTACTAAATATTTTCTTGTCCTTGAGTAACTTTGACACTTTGCGGTTAAATTTTTGATACCACTTGCAATATAAATCGTAAAATCTCATGTTTTACTAAATTAACCTAAAATATCAACTCATACACTTGTTTTTGGTTTTGATTTACGTACTTCTTTCCTTTATTGTCATTTATTGAAGATGTCAAAGTGTTTTTTGAAGGTTATGTCACATTTTTAACAATACCAAACCAAAATTGACAGTTTTTACTGAGTTAACCTAAAAATTCAAATGTTTAACTTTAAAAACAGTGTTTTCATATACTTTAACAACTTAATTCTTGTTTTTTATAGCTTTTTGACATCTTTCCGTGAAGATTACTAAATATTTTCTTGTCCTTGAGTAACCTTGACACTTTGCGGTGAAATTTTTGATACCACCTGCAATATTAATCGTAAAATCTCATGTTATACTAAATTAACCTAAAATTTCAACTCATACACTTGTTTTTGGTTTTGATTTACGTAATTCTTTCCTTTATTGTCATTTATTGAAGATGTCAAAGTGTTTTTTGAAGGTTAGGTCACATTTTTAACAATACCACACCAAAATTGACATTTTTCCCTGAGTTAACCTAAAAATTCAAGTGTTTAACCTTAATAACAGTGTTTTTGTATATACCTTAACTTTATTCTTGTTTTTAATTGCTTTTTGACATCTTTCCGTGAATATTACTAAATATTTTCTTGTCCTTGAGTAACCTTGACACTTTGCGGTTAAATTTTGAATACCACCTGCAATATTCATAGTAAAATGTTATGTTTTACTAAATTAACCTAAAATATCAACTCAAACACTTATTTTTGGTTTTGATTTACGTAATTCTTTCCTTTTTGACATCTGTCACATCTAACTGCAGATTATCTTGTCCTGCGGTAACCTTGACACCTCACACTCATGAGGAAGTAATCCTTTGACCTTCACAGCACAAATCATGACTAAATAAATGCCGCTTCCTTTTTTGGCGGCAATGGTGGTGGTGCAACGGCCCGCGCAACCCTGAAATCGATTGTTCCTCGCGGGCCTTGAACGATGCGGCACCACACGCCACGCGGTGTGCCAAGGCCATTCTTTAATTCAACTCACAGCTATATATAGACCACCCACAATGCACTCACACCTCATGCAAAAATAACCACACACATCTAACGCATTCTAACCTCTAAATTATACAATTACCTATTGTTTGCATTGTTTACAGCGATACCAATAATTTATATAATCGCAACGGTGCCACCGCTGATGCCATGGACACAATTATGGTTCCTGTCGTGGTGTCACGTGATTGGGTTGGTATCCCCGTGGGTGGGGAGTTTTCTCTACCATCTTTTTATGAATCTCGACCAAGGGGAGAAGCTTTACTGTCGGCTTCTGCAGATAGACATGTTGGGGATATGGATTAATCAAAGTTTTGGTATGTTTCATTCATATCAGCTGTCAAAATATAAATTTGAGGTTAAATTTGTTTGGTTATGTTTTGTAGGTGCTTTACCAATGGTGACAGCCTCAACATACTGTCTTCCATCTTTGATACGATGGTCTTTCATCGGAAGTTATGTGCTGTTGAGTCTCTGGGGCCTCTATAAAGCGTTAACAGCATGGTCGCCATGGGAACGTCGTCTGTGCTTCCTGATGCCGTTCACCCTGCGTGTGATTTTGTGTTTTCTGCGTTATTGGGGCTTTGGGGGCGGCGATCCGGGTGCCTTTACACATGTTATACTACAAGTAAGTGTTTTTAGTAAGGTTATGTTCATAAAAACCAAAAGTGAGGTTATATTATCAATAATATATGTTTATATACAACTAGCTTTAGCTTTTTAGAATGGCGGGAAGTTTAAAATGGCTGAAAGTATAGTCTATGGAAGTATAGTGTACAGTCTCCATAGTGTAGTGAATTGGATTTGATGTTGACGTAGCTGTCGGTAATACAGTGTGATAATACAGTGTGATAGTACTATAGTACTTAGGTTTGAGCTTCATTGCTGGAATGCTAGATGGCGTTAAAGTAGTCAAATAGCCAGATGCAGAGGTATTACAGGCTAAACAATTTCTTTATTTTATTTAAAAAATATTTTTTTTATGAAATAAAAAGTAGCCTATAACTATTCGGGGACCACTAAGAATATGTGTAGAAATTTTCATGATGATCGGTTAAGTAGTTTTTGCGTGAAAGTGTAACAAACATCAGGACTTTCGCATTTATAATATTATTTCTATTGGCTTGTAATCGATTAACGCGTGAAATTTCATTAATTTCAAGTCATTTTATCGATTTCTAACCTAATTGACAGATGACAGCATGACCACAACCAGACAGCGTGTTATTTTGTTGGGTAAACAACAAGGGTGTATTTATAGCTCAATGGCACTGAATAATTCACGTTCATTACATGCTTCGAGTATTATTTCGTGTCACAATCCAGCCCATCAGTAATAATAGATGATAATTGAGGTTAAGTGAAGACAATTGATTAACCAATATGCAATTACCGTGTGATAGTGATGTATTAAGTTGTCTGTGTGTTTTTGTTGTTGTAGGATTTGGTCTCGGCGATCGGGGGCGTAATTGGCGCGACGCACATACCGGAAAAATGGTTTCCGGGCACGGTAGACATGTACCTGAATTCGCACAACATAATGCACGTGCTGGTGGTGACGGCGGTTTACTCGATGCACGTGGCGACAATCTGTGATTTACATTGGTTAACACGTGCAAGTTGCGACGCCGCCCCCAAGCTGTGATGGCCTCCAACACCTCCAACTCTCAACAACAATCTCCTTCTCGCGCACTTGCTACTTATACAGATGATATTTTTAAATCCACGAGGCGCATGACACATGAAAAATGACAGCATGACAAAATGGCTGACGTAGAGGTTAAGGATGCAAGTCAATAGAGGCGTTGACGTCAATTCATTTTGTTTCTCATCGATTTTGATGTCGAATTCCATGCGAAAACAGCGCACAAATTGAGTTTTATCACACGCTGTGATAATACGTTTAAACCTAACCTAGAATAGAGTGAAAAAACGGCGCAATACATCACGTGACATGTTTGTTTTTACGTTTCCATCATCATCAACCACTAAATGAAGCAATAACCTAGAAGAGAGAGAATCATTTCAATGGCGTCGGTTGGTATAACTTAGTAATGAAATTCACCTGTACCTGGTACTTATCGAACTTAATTAATTAATTAATTAATTAATGATTCTTGTTATATAGCCTAAATACCAAAGCTGCTGCTGATATTTTAGACGAGCGTGTGTTTTATGAATCTGTGATCTTGTTCTTGTTCGAACCTATCGAGTATTCCTAAGTATAAATTATAACCTCACTCATCCAGTGATTAGTAAGCAATTTTAACTTAATCTTAACCACACTCTCTCACACACCGAACAGAAACAGCTAAAACAAAAAAATCACTAGCATATCAGTTGAAATTCACTTGTTTCTTCCACCGAATGAGATAAACTGGTGCGCAAAGTAATACTCTAACCTATTTTCCAATGCCGACATTGTGCAATTTAGGTCTATAGGTAGATAGCGGTAGATAGATGAATTAATAAATTGTAAATTGTAAAATATACACTTTTAAGAGCGTCTGGTGAAAAACCAGCGACACAAAAAGTGAGGTTAAATTTTGACATTTTTTCACAGAAAAACTTAAATATCTCCGAAAGTATTCATCACACAATATTGGAACAAACTTTAATTTAAAGAGAATTTAATCAGGTGTCTTTTCCATGTAAAAGTTTTAATATTTTTCTAATATTTTAAAAATCCTGAGGGAAAAACTTTTGTGTCGCTGGTAATTTTTCAAAATCCGCTCTTAACCTTCAATTAAATACGATTATTATACAATGTAGCAACAAATAAGTCAAACAACAATAATATATTATATTAACAAACAATTACTGCTAATGTAAACAAATAAATTCTTTAAACTTTACTTTTGCACATTTTCTAACCTACAATAACCCAAAACTAACCTAAAACATGTACTGTGATATTATATCAAGCAACTATCTGTTTCTTTCGTGTAACTCTTCACCCTGGAAAACCACAATGGCGGAAAACGACTGTTAACAATATCAAACCCACTCTTTGACACCGTACCATTTTTGTTCTCAATGAAAATATCATAATACTTCCATACGAGTTGCATATGTTTACGTTTATTATTCCCATTGAGGATTTGAAACTCCAGATGGAAAGTCTGCTCGCCATTCTCATGCTGCCACTTGTTGCTGACATTCTTACCCTTTTTGACAGCGACTTTCTTTTGATCTTGCACGACTAGTATGACACGATCATCTTTCAAGCGGTAATGGCCGCTTAAAGGTGTTTTTCCATTGCGGTTTTCAAGAGACTCACAGATTGATGTGGTTCATCAGGCGTGGTTAACATTAAGACTGTACCGTCAGGAAAAAAGCGCAGGTAACGATAGTAAGTGACTAAATGCCACGGGCGATAGAATTGATCTTGAAAACTATTCTCTCCATGACGGATGTAAGTTGTTTTGCTGATATAACAACCATTGAAGTGTAATCTTGGACGATGTATGAACATCTCTCGCCATGTTGGATAATTTGATGTGGGCGTGCCGCAATTCGCACCCCAGACGCGCAAACATGACAATTTCCAGATTTCTGAATCACGCGCAACCAGATAGAATCCACGACTTACCATTGAACAGATTTCTAGTGATCGCAGGTCTAGATCTGAAGAAACAACCCATTTGAAGATGTAGAGGAGGATTTCAGTTGGTAAACTTGATATATGCATTGCCTAATGATGAATAATAATAATTATAGGTTAAAATGTTTAGGAGATTTAAATTTACCCGTTGTTCATAACCTGGTTCACAGATTATCAAACTTTTCGCCATTTTGCGTTGAATGTGTGCGAATACAGCGCCATCTTTTATTTCTTCATCATCAGAGTCCTCTTCCGGATGATATAACTCTTGTGTGTCTTCTTGTGATGTAAATGCTTCAACACGAGTTGGTGGGTTTTGACAGACTTTGAATTCGATATCAGGAACAAGTTGGACTGCTTTTTATAACATTGTATAGCCTCGTAGAATATACCGGCTTTTTCAAGCTCTGCACCTTTTAAATACCAAGTTTTTGCCTTTTTCTCAATGTTTTCTTCATCTTTCTTGTCTTGTAAAACATTTTTTGAATTTTTAAAGTCTCCATCTTGTTTATTTTTGTTGGAAATCCTCAATTCTTGTTGCCATTGTTCCCGGAAGCTTGCAAGAGCATCATCCTTCTGTTACGTAAAGAAATATAATTAAAAAATGTGAATTATGTAAGAATTTAGATAATTACTGCGTGAGAAGAAGACGGCTCATCAGAATCATCATCAGAAATGTCCCCCTGCTGGTCAAACTAAAACAAATATATTAGGATTATTATTAATCACATTGTGTGTTAATATATGTTTACCATTGTTATCAGATTCAGTAGATATCAAAGTATTCAATGCCTCTTAGTTCACGGTCGGAATAGCGTATGACTTTGCTTTGCTTGATGGAGAATGTGAGCAAGGGAGCAATTTCCATATTTTGCAAGCACATTAGATGCGAATAACACACGCTGATCACTTGGAGACAAGTGATAACACGGTGTTTTGTTATCAATAACAGATGGGAAACCCGCACGTAGCTTTGAAAAGCTGGTTGTGTGCTAACAAGCTTTCACCTTGAACATATGTCAATGACAGCGATTTAAATAACAACATTGACTTATTATTAACAAAAAACAATATAAAACAATGTTTATTAATATTATTTTACTGATACTATGTGGAAAATGCATGAAAATTGCTTAAAATCCTTAAAAATCTAAAAATTTCTTCTTATTTTTCATTAATGTTGACAGCGTCATCTATCGGTGTTGATTAGAACTAATCCCAAGAGTAATTTGATAGATTTGATCAAATCTTTTACAGTTTTCGAGCTTTTACATAAAAGTTTTCTATATTTCTCAGCAGCATTGATTTTCTTTGATGTGTCTCTAGCGCCTTGACCTCTTTGATCATCTTTTATGACTTCTACAGCTTTTATCAAAGATTTGACCGCGTTGCAAGTTCGGATGCCTTCCTTCCCCGACCGTGTGTCCTGGGACTCCTTCAGGACAAAGTCTTTGATCATAGAGTACCAAAAGTATGATCATCTGTACGATACACAGCACGAACTGTACAGAAACAAGAAAACTCGTGAAGAAACGTTGGGATTAATCGCTGATGCCTTAAATGTCGCTTGGAAAGGTACAGGCATCACTTGTATCGTCGACGACATCAAAAAGAAGTTGAATGGACTACGGAGTCAGTATTTATTTGAAAGACAAAAGGTAACGCAACACAACCTCAATCTTTTTTGTCATAACCTATATTTTTGTTTTATTAATGTTCTGTGAGGTGTTTTAGATTGCAAAAGCAGCTTTACAGGGGCAAGTTTATACTCCGACGATTTATTGGTATCCAATGTTGAAGTTTCTGGAGTCTGTGACGTTGAAAACTACTGCACAACATGGAACAACTGAAGATAATCATTGGGGGAGAGGAAACAGGAGATATGTATCTGCATTCATTCCACAATCACAAGAAATCAACGATGATATTGAAATTGTTGAGGTATGTAAATTCCATGCATTAAAACACTAAAATTTTACATAAAACTTTATCAGCATGGAATTGTAAATCTTGGCAATGATGACCATGATGACAATGATGAAGATATCAAACATTTCAATCAAGAACCGTCCCCATCAACATCATCAAGCACAACTCGTGAGAGTTACGTGGATGTTCAGAGTTTCCTCTGTGAAAAATCAACTACGCATGCGCAGAAACGTAAACTCGACTGTGAAAATGCCGATCCGCATGAATGCACCACAACAAAACGCAAAACCGAAGAGAAACCTGAACAACTAACCAAATCTGAGCTCACAGATCATCTAGAGACATTCGGAAAGTTTGTTGCTAATGAATTACGAGGCATTTTCCTATCTAGCAATGATATTTTCCTGCGGAGGACAAAACGACAACTACAACAGGTTTTAATCGATGCGTGGACACAAATCGACATGGATGTGTCGAGATATCCTGGTTCCACACAATCATAAACGCTTAAAACTTATAGTTAATATACGTAATATTTATAGGTTATAAAAATGAACAAAATAAGCGCAGAAATGTTACGCAACCCACAAAACACGCAAAGCAATATTACACCGTAGATAAACTGTAAAATATGATTAAATTTAAGATATTTAAATAGTATTATAAGTAAAGAAGCTTCCAGGTTAACAAATACATGTTAAAACCTTATGTTTTGAGGTTAGGTGTTATTGCGAACCTACCACTTTGCCTAAACTTAGAAAAACAGGAACTTCAAGCGGAGTTTTGATCGGTTCCTTGTTCTCCATGCTTGTTGTTGTGTAAATATGTTGCATTGTGAATGCAACAACAACTTCCTCACCCAATTCCATCTGTTTTGGGATTACTTGAAGGCGAATTGTTGCTTTGTTGCATTTTCTATGCACCACAACCCTAGATAAACATAAAAAACATTAATTTAGGTAATTTTACAATGAAATATTAACAAATCGCGTACTTTGGATCATCCTGATAGTTGTGACTGTCCGCAGTATCATCATACTCAGCTGCATCGTCTCTCGGAGGCAAAATAAAACTACATTCTGGAATAATCAAATCGGCGGTTATTTCTGCATCACAGGGACGTGGTTTTATCGTTGTGCTTTGTTGGCGTGTGATGCTAAGACTCGCCAGGCTTGGTAAAGATGTCAAACTAGTTGGTTCCTTTGATTCTTTAGTCTAAACAACATAAAAACTCATTAAATAAACACAAAAATCATTTTTAGATTAAAATACCTCTGGTTTTTCTTCTTTGACCTCTTTAACCTCTAATTTGACAACATTTTCCTTTGAATCTTCAACAGTATCAAGAGAAACATCTGTTTCTTGTTTAACAGCCTCAAAATCAGCTTTAACCTTCTTGTAGTAAGGTAAAAGTTTAATTGTTGTTTGATACTGAGTGGGATTAACAAACTTCAAGAGCAATTCGCACTTTTTTTCAACTCTGAGCGGTTCCACAGTGAAAATGCGCACCTCTGGCACGTAATAATACGCAAACAATTGAATTTTGAACTTGATACTGTTTGGATTGTATTCTGGTTTGCTCACGTTGTGTTCACAACTTCTACAACGCAGAGATTGCTTCACAGAGAGCTGCTTACGCACTGGATAAAGTTTATCGACGACAGTTGGTTGCATATCTGGTTGAATCAAGCGTTGATCCAATGTAGTAACTTTAAAAACAAATTTTAAGTATTTTTAAGTTGATTTATGTAGTTTTATGAATTACTAACTGTTTGTTAATATGATTGGTTGTGTTAAGAGTTCCTCCGGTAACTCATCGACGTCTTCATGGGGAATTGCCGGCTCAGCTTCGTTGATTTTGTTCTTTAAATGAGGATTAGGCACGTCTGGAATGCCCAACTTTTTACGAATCATCGCAGCTGTTATCCCCGTACGTTCCTAGACATATAACATCATATAAAACACTTAAATATTAATATTTTAATGCAAATTATTGACATACAGTGTATGTAACGTATTTTTTCTGTCTTTTCTTGTCCTTTTCAAGCTTCTGCTGCATTTCTGCAAGGACTAAAGCTTTGTACCTCTCCTGAATACCATGTAGTCTGTTGGCGTAGACGTTATCACGCTCTGGCCAACGATTATTACCTAAATTTCATCAAATTACATCAAAAAAACATAAAAATTTCACTTTTTCTGTAAATAATCTCACCAACTGGTTGATCTGATATTCCCACATCTCTAGTAGTCCACCTACACCACAAACAGATCAAATAAACCACCTTAGAGGATTCTTTACCTCCCTCAGTGCTTTTTACAGTGGATGATCGCATGGAGAGCTGCTGCTGACACGATGGGCAGATAAAACAGTTTAAACACTTGTTTTTGCGCTCTGCGGCTTCTTTACTAGTGCGATTGTCTAAGCATTTACCGCAGAATAATGAATCCACCTGGTATTAATACATATTATTAGTTTAAAATGTGAAAATGTGTAAATTATTACTTACTTCATGGCAAACGCAGAAGCCGCATCGCAATTCTAAGCAATGACGACAAAAATAAAGTCTGGAGATTGGTTTCAGTAGGCCACAACTACAGGCGTAGTGGACCACGTCTGGATTGACTATATAAGCCATTTTTGCACCTTTATTGAGTATTAATTAGTATTTTATCTTGTGATTCATGATTGAATTTGGTAAACGTAGGAGAAAAGAAGGTCGTATAACCTTGGTTTGACGTTTTGACATTTCTTGTAGTTTTAGGCGCTAAATTCAACTTTAAATTCGATTTTTTTAAACAAATACGTATAAATAACTAATCAAATATATAATTAAATGATAAATATTTATGTTTTCTATTATTTTAACACGTTTTTATCTCTGAATAGCTTGTATTTTATGAGTTATTTCCACTTCCAACACCTTTAACCTCCAAATTATCATAACTGTTAAAAATTTTAATAAAAAAAAACTCTCAACGAGTTTTACGCTTTTATTTATTACTTTTAATAATAATAAAGCATGGATGAGTCTTTGCTTAACTTGGCAGCTGAATTCGAAGATGATTTTGATGTGGAAACACCTTCAACATCTCAAAAAGGTAAATTTTCCACTCGAATATCAAATTTAAACAAATTAGTAAATATTTATTAATTTTAGCACCCACAGAAGTTGAAAAACCCTCAGAGGGAGAAACAATAGCAATAAAATCTAAAGCTGGAGCTCATTGTCTACTAGTAAACCCAAAACAAAAAGGAAACCCAATACTCAAATCAATTCTAAATGTCCCATGGGAATATGAAGATATCATTGCAGATTATCAAATGGGACCAACAGTTTGTGCCTTATTTCTATCTCTGAGATATCACAACTTAAATCCTGATTATATTCATGAAGGACTCAAACTCCTAGGCAGACAATTTGACCTGAGAGTGTTACTCGTCCAGGTGGATATTCCAGAACCACATCATGCACTCAAAAACCTCACAAGAATCTGTATCCTAGCTGATCTCACATTAATTCTCGCTTGGAGTCCAGAAGAAGCTGGAAAAATCATTGAAACATACAAGATTTATGAAAAGAAGCCAGCTGATAAGATAATGGAGAAAAGTGAGACTTCTCCACATCTTAAATTGATTCAAGCACTTACATCTATCAAACCTGTTAATAAAACAGATGCAATGACTTTGATCAATAAGTTTAAGACTCTGAAAGGGATAATCAAAGCATCTGAGTATCAACTAGCGGAATGTCCTGGTTTCGGAGCTAAAAAAGCTAAAAAACTGTATAATACTTTACATGAGAACTTTTGTAGATAAATATAAGTTTTTCTTTGAGTTTACCTTGAGGATTATATACCCAGGCACGTGTTTAACATAATCGTATTGAAATATGAGCTAAACTCGTTAAGATTTCTAATTTATCAGTGATTTACCATGAGATATAAAGTTTAAGTGCTTTTGGCTTAAGTTTAGACGTTAAATTGTAATTAATATCATGATAATTACATTCTAAAGTAAAAACTTAATTATTTATTGTTAATTATCACTGTCATTCATTTAAATATTAATTTTTATTAAGTTGGTAGTATTTTTTCTGTCAACTGTCAAAAATGTCTAAAAATGTTTGCATTTCCGCTTTTTTCATCAACTTTTGTGCGGGTGTTGATCAAACAAATTACTAATATCTAAAAACAACGATTAATATAACAAATATTCAACAATACACAAGTTAAATATATACCTACGTGAACATTCAACGCGTCGCGGAGTTCTTCGTGGTAAGCACTCTTCTTCAGTCTTCTTTCGCTTGTTTCTTGTTTCCAAGCTTCCCTCTCCAAGTTGTACCTTAGCGCCGGCGAATGGCTGCTCAAGTAAAGCCGAAAACATTAGCGTGCGTGCGGACGTTGTGGAGAGAGGACGTGCGTTTCATAGTTTACGCGATCGGTGCCTTTGCAACAAGTGGTTTTCGAGTGGTTTTGGGGTTTCTACGGCGCCCTAAAGTGAAATTTAATACGTTAAACACTTGAAACATTAGCAGATGGTGAAAAACATGTTGTTATTTCGCCAAACGTGAACTATTTGTTGTTAAATACGTTGTGTTGTGTTCCTACATTACTTTTTTGGGATTACTTTACAATAATTCAACAGCAAACGTAAGTTTTAATTTGTTTTATTTTTCAAAGGCGCATTTTTAACGTATGCAACACACATCACACCTTAAACATGATTTATATTATAATTTATATTTTATAATTTATATAAGCCATGGCAGGTCAATGCAGTATTTGTCAAGCCAGTAGGTGTGCTGATGAGACCTCTAATGGTCGAAATAGCTATCCACATCAGGCTTGACAAATACTTGCATTGACTTGCAATGGTTTAGTAAAAATATCGTTTTGGCGATATTGTGAGGGTATAGCGTACAGTAGGTAAGTGTTTACTTAACTTTACTCAATTTATATTTTATGTTGGATTTAAATGTTATTTCTATACAATACTCATATGAAAGCGTCACTCCCACAACTCAAACACATACTCTGCTTGTTGTTGCTCTTGTTTTTGACCTTTCTCGCCACGACGTTGACTGTTACCTTCTTAAGCTTACAATCTAATCGTGCGGTTGGGTTTAACTCAACGTTTAAGCTTAGAAAAATGTCGAAAAATAAGATATGTGACGAAATATTAACTGGCACGCATGATAACGAGTTCCAAGAGGTCGGAGAATATCAGCTTTCTATTCTTGTAAGCAAATAAAAAAAGAACTCGCAACATTTACGAGTATAATGTGGAAAAGTTTCACACGTTAATTATGTCAATGAAAATTGCACTCCGCGTGCAAAATGCAGACAAAACTTAAAAAATCATCGTTGAAATTAATATATCCCGTTATTAAACTTCATTTAATCGATTGTTTATGGTGTGTCAAAACATTTATTGTTATGTTCGGAAAAAGGATATTGTGGTAAAACAAGTTTGAGCTTTTATTTCGGGTAGAAATTATGTTTGGAAGAGGAAAAAAACACAAAAACATTCCAGAGGCATGACGAATATAACAATGGTAAAAATATTTCAAGGTTTTTAATTCGTATTTTATTATTAATCAACATTTGCAGGCGCGACTTGCTTAACCTTCGTACAGGAATCTGTAATTTATTTAAGGTTATATCATCGAACGCAAGAATGTTTAAATTGTTTATACTCATGTGCTACGACCACCCAACGTTAATAATGCGCTGATTAATGCTATTAATTCAATTTTTTCTTCATTCATGCGTCTATTCCACGCTAGGAATCAAAATTATACGTACGATCAAGTAAAATAATGATAGCCTTCCCAGCATACGTGCATACAATGTTTGCTTGGTGTATTACTGGTTGCAAACACAACATAACTGCATATCAACACAAAATATAACCTATAATTAACCGTTATCGCAAATATTTAGATAAAAAACAATCAATTTGATGCTTCCACCGCTCAAAACACATAAAATTAATGCGTGAAAGCTTTTTATTTAAGTGTTTCACATACGATCATAATTTATTGACGGATATTTCACAGTTTACACTGGCTGTCATAGATTTTCGAACGAGGAAGTCGCGCATAAATAGTTTGTTTATTTCCCCAGCACGTAGCTTCAATATCCCTACATACGGAGTATTATACATACTGAAAGTCTGTTTTGTTACATACACTGCAAAACTACTTAAGAGTGATCATCATGAAAATTTGTTGTACACACATATTCTTAGTGACCTCCGAATGGTTATAGGCTACTTTTTGACTAATAAAATAATTATTTTAAAATAAAATAAAGAAATATAGTTTAGCCAATAATACCTCTGCATCTAGCCTTTGACTACTTTAACGCCATCTAGCATTCCAGCAATGAAGCTCAAACCTAAGTACTATAATACCATCACTGTATTATCACACTGTATTACCGACAAGCTACGTCAACATCAAATCCAATTGACTACACTATGGAGACTGTACACTATACTTCATGAACTATACTTTCAACCATTCTACTTCATTGTTACTTCTTGCTTGACTACAGACGCGTACGGAAACAACTTCATTATTTTAGATTATTCTTGAGCGAAGCCACGAGTTGGTAAACTAGTTGCTTATAATTTGTAGTAATTATTAATATTAGCTGTCATGGATGAAAATTTGTTATCTATATATATAAAAATGAATTGTGCTGTTCTAGTTAGTCTCCTTCTAAAACTCAAGAACGTGGCTGAACAGTTTATCTTATCTTGGTCTTGAATTATTCTCGTGGAGGTCTAGGGAAGGTTTAAAGGTGAAAAATTCGAATAATTGCTGGGAAAATCTCAAAACAGCTACTTTCTATAGAATAAAATTTGACATTGAGATTCAATCATAGTTATAGTTAAATAGTTGAATTCGAGATTATTTTAGATATTCGTATGAGCGTATTTAGATAGAACAATGAAAAACAATCAATTTGATGCTTCCACCGCTCAAAGTATACATAATGCAGTAAGCTTTTTTGATTCAAGTGTTTCACATGCTCACATAATTTATTGACGGATGGCTACAGTTTACTGGCTGTCATAGATTTTCAACGAGAGTCGCGCATAAATAGTTTGTTTATTTCCCCAGCGCGCACATTAGCTAGTTTTCGATATTTTCGTAGACGCCGCGATAAAAAGCCTGAAACAAAAGCGCTTTTAAGCAACGCACAAACGCTATTCTCTCCCTCTACAGAAGTGAAAACAAGTAGCAAAGAGGAGAAGAAACAGGTAGTCCATTATAATTTGAACACCTGCGTGCGCACGCACAAACCACTCGAAACCTTCCAGTACCTTCCGAACAATCATACAAGTATTCTTTTTCGTTTTACACTTCACATACGCGTACCAAGTACGAGTACATTAACGCATTCTTAGCTTTTTCTTAAGATAATTGTGCGCATTTTCAAATAAATAGCGCGTGCTATTTGCGCACAAGCAGTAGAATAAAAGATAGGTTATAACACAACCTAAAAACTGGTTTGGTTCATAAATAGAAGTAGTTAGTGTTGTTCCCACAGTGCTAACAATGCAGCATTTACAAATTACAGAACAAGTCATTGCGAGAACAACAATAACAAGAAATTAAACGAAATTAAATAGGAACCGTAACGTTAGAACCGAAATAATTCGAAATAATTATACCATGCGCATTTTGCTGAATTTTGTCATGTGTATCATGCAATATGGACTTGTATTTATTTATTTAATGCGTTTATTGACTTTGATTGGCTAATTAGCGAGGGAATTTTAATGAAATTTTCTGCTTTACCGGTTTTCTATGTTTATACGCAAGATATAAACACCAGAAGCATGAAGTACGCGTTACAAACCGGTTTGCGTCATCATCATCATCGCATATCAAGCATTCCACATTAAATTATAGATTATTAACTATGTATCAGCCAATATTCGATAATAATAATTCTATACACTTTGTATTTTGTTGTAGGTGAGGAAAATGTAGGCAACCCATTATACACGAATCAACAGAGGTTAAAAACGTTTGTTTGACAATGTCGGTGAAATTGGTGGGCGGTGGCGCGTCGCCGTCGCCGCATCCGTCACCACAGTGTCCGTCACGTGATTCGATGATCTTCACCAGCACCAAGGGTCTGCTGAATGCGCCCGGGCAGAATAATTGTTTCCTCAACAGTGCTGTACAGGTAAGACTTTAAAATTTGTGTTTAGTGTTTATAGTGTTTATATAAATTTGCATATTGTTTAATATTTTGGTTGTAAATTGACTCTGCCGTGTGTGTGTTTGTGCACAAGTAGCACGCTCGATGGCTCGGAGCTCTTCGCTGTCCTCGATCACCGCGAGTTGTTTCACGTGTGATGCGTGAAGACGTGAAGAGAGTTGAATAACCGGTGGTAACACCGAAGAATAGAGGACACACATATGAGGTTTTAAGTCGGGATTGAATTTTTAGGTGATAGTATTACTATTTTTGCGTATTTCGCATTTTCTTAAGGTTTATTTGATATTTATGAGTTTTTGTTGTCGTATTTCAATTGTTATATATGCAACCACATGTTCTGCTATGTTTAGTGTGTTGCCTAATATGTAACTCTTAGGTATAAATCAGATTTGTGGCTAGAGTGCCATCTGTTCCAATGTGATCTGTTTCTTATGCACTAATTTTATATTTTGCAAGCTTGTACGACTTCGTTTAGTGTTGTTTTTCAAATGCATTTGTTTTACTCTCTTGTTCTAGTTATACTCTAGTAAGAGTCAATTCTATCAATAAGATTAGCAATTTTAATTTAAAGAAATTATGCATATAAAGAAGTTTTGTCAATAATGCGCTAGCTTTTCATCTCGAATTCAACTGTTAGCTATAACTATGATTGAATCTCAATGTCAAATTTTATTCTAAGAAAAGAGCTGTTTGAGAATTTCCCCGGCAAATATTCGAATTTTCTCACCTTTTAAACCTTCCTAGACTTCTACGAATAATTCAAGACCAAGATAAGATAAATCCGTTCAGCCGTTCTCGAGTTTTAGCAGAACTAACGAACAACAATTCATTTTTATATATATAGATAACAAATTTTTCATCATTAGGCAGCTAATGATAATAATTACTACTACAAATTATAAACAGCAACTTTAACCTGCGGCTTCGCTCACTTGAATATCTAAAATATTAGAAGTTGCTTCCGTACGCGTCTGTAGTCACAGAAGTAACAATGAAGTAGAATGGCTGAAAGTATATATATAGTCTATGCTGGAAGTATAATTGTACAGTCTCCCATAGTGTAGTCAATTGAAGTTTTGATGTTGACGTAGCTGTCAGTGGTGGCAATGACGGTATGCAATTAACTGATGGTACTATAGTACTTAGGTTTGAGCTTCATTGCTGGAATGCTAGATATGGCGTTAAAGTAGTCGAAACAGCCAGATGCAGAGGTATTATTAGCACCACACAATTTCTTTATTTTATTTAAAAATAATTTTTTTATTAAATAAAAGTAGCCTATAATGATTCGTGGACCACTAAGAATATATGTGGAAATTTCATGTGATGATCGGTTAAGTAGTTTTATGCGTGAAAGTGTAACAAACATCAGGACTTTCATTTACATAATATTGGCGGGGATTTGCTATGAGTGTTTGCTGTTGTATTTAATTGTTATATATGCAACACATGTTCTGCATCTTTGGTGTGTTGCCTAATACGTAACTTGTAGGTATACACATCAGATTTGTGTAGAGCGCCATCTGTTATGTGATGTTTCTTCCAGCTAATTTTATATTTTTCTGGTGTTGTGTGTCTTGAAAACGTCTTCAGCTGAAAGCGGTGGAGTCAAAAAAAGTTTAAAGGGCAGAAAAGCGCTGGTCACTGCGCCGCTTATTTTATCGCAAACTGGTTGGTTTTGGTTCCTCTGGCCTCCCTCACGCGTCTCTTGGGTTCTTTGTTGGCTCGTGGCAAGCAATCGGGAATAGGCACTTGACGGTAAACCACTAAGCGACTACAACTGGTTGTTGTTGTTGTTGTTGGCGCGCTTTTCTTACGCATCGACATATTTCCGCCAATTGCTTAGGATATCGCTGCCAAAGCAGAGCAAATCTGTTCAGTTTCCTCGAAACAAGGCAGATCTTAGTCGGTAATACAGGAAACTTCTAGTGACTAATTTCCTGCACGCGTCAAATAATGAAAGTTATAACAAAATTATTAATTGTTGCTGAGATTTGAGGCAAATGAAGTAATTTATGTATCGGGCGCCATTTTGTCGGATTCGTTTCACACAATTCACACGATTCACACGGTTCTTTGCATTTTGCATTCATAATCATAATCAAATGGCGTTCACAGCGCACAGGCACGATCATTACAACTTCTTGGAGTGTTGTTAATCAGAAAAATATAATTTTATTCATAAGATTTCAGTATAGAACTCAAGAAAAAACCTAAAACACTCTGTGTAATGATTAATTTTAAAGTCAGAGTGCAATTAATTCAGTGCAGCTTCTTCATTTCATCAAGATGTGAATTATTTTACATTTGTAAACATTAAACATTCAACATTAAAGCATCATTGAACTTTAAGTCGTCGATTGTTATTCTTGACACGCAGAGGAAAGGAAATTTGTGTTTGTATGTATGACGCGGTTGTGCAAAACATTTTTATTTGAGTTTTCTTGTGTAAATAACCAGAAAAATGTTTTACGTGATATATTTGAACAAGTTTTTAGTTAAATTTAATTTAAAATGTCTTAAAATGATTAAGTTTGCTTAGTTTTTTCATAAAATACAAAAATAATCGGTTTTTAGTCCTAATTTTCTAAATTTTGTATGTTTGATCTTCGATAACTCGAAAGCCACTTAACCAAATTTAATAAATTTTTGTATATAAACACTTTTGATCTTGAAAAAAGACATAGGCTACTTTTTATACGAAAATTTTAAGTTAAAAACCCTAAAATAAGGGTTAAAAGTTTTTTTTATTGTTTTACTTGTATAATTTGCGTCGAGATGGCGTAGCGATGCGCCACCTGCATAAAATTACGCCAACACCCGGTTTTTAATAAATGAACACGAAATAACCCAGGTTACAACCGCAGACAATCGAGGGAAGTCGGGGAAGTTCCCAAGACGTTCACTTTGCATTTACACACACACATAATGGCGTCCGTGGCGTCTATCAAGAGTGTTAACTCCTCTCGCTGCGGTTCACATGATATTCCAGAGCGGCGCGAGTATAATATGGAAAAGAGTCATGCTCCGGCGCACTTTCCCACAAAATGTAAAAATCATCCGCGGGTGGTAGCCATACAACATGAGCATATTACTTCGCGATGTACATCAAACATTTATTCAAGATTTTTATTAAGTTAGAAAATTTACTAGCGTATCATTAACACAACTTTCATTAGGTAGAACATGCTTAAAGTTTAGATATTGTGTGTTTGTTGGTTGATAACTGGGAAACTAATGAAGATATTTTAATAAATTTTAGTACGGGGATTGTTTTGATGTTGGAAAAGAACATGGGTTAGTTTTTATTGCGTAAAAATATATTTAAAGGGTAGAAAATGGCGTTTGAAAGTTTATTTTAAAAAAAGTTGATTATCTCGTAAACTAAAAGTGATAGAGAGGTGCGGATTTCAAATTCTTAATCTACATGTAATTCTCTATAAGAAAATTAATTTTTATTAAGTTAGGAAATTTTCCAGCGTATCATTAACACAAATTTCCCAATACTTTTCAATACGTTCAAGATCTTTACAACTTTCTTCCACTTTACATTTCGTGCAATCCCTTGATAAATTAATTATCCTATCGGATTCCACCATCAGCATCCCGTGGATTCTATCCAAAGCCATTGATAATTTAGTCATAGGTTGATTACAATTACAATCTGTCGTCTCACAAAGTGCGCGTGTCTCATGCGCGATCTTTTTAATATTCCATAAACTTTTCTTCGTCTCTGCGAGATGCGCTATCTCCATAATCATTTCACACTTTAAAAAATGCGAGGGTTGATTGAATATCTCATAGATATTTTGTAGTTCTTCTGTGTATTGTTGGCAACACGCTGGGCCGTTGACAAACATGTTTAGCAGGCGTTCGTAGTGGTTGTCGATTGATTTATGGGCTTGTCCGATTGTTTTGTTGACTGCAAATCGTGTGTCTTTCACGGATTGGGTGAGGAAACAGAACTCGCTGGGGATACGGTTGATTATCGCGTTGATTGCGGTGACTTTCGGTGGGGTTGTTGGGTAGGATGCGCCAATAGTGAGGAATTTCAGTGTTACAATCAAAATGGAGATGAATATTTTTATTATGCTCATAGGTATCATGGGAATTGATATTTTTTAGTAATTTTTTGATTTTGACCATTTTGACAGTGTTTTGACATTGCGTATTTCAATTTATGGTAGGCAATCAAATATACACTTCAATTTTATTAGAATATTATTTAAAATTTATTAAAATATTAAAGTTTTCTTGTTTTTTTTTTTGTTAAAAAAGGAAATAATGGTTTATTGTTGTTTTTGGAAAAGAAAAGGACACAAAAGACACAGTAACTTGTTTTTTATGATGTAAAAAAGTGGAGGCAGAGGAAGTTGATGTTAAATACAAACAAAACAGATGAAAATCAAGCTAAATCCTCACAGGTTTATTTCTTTCAACGTCATACGTGATGCACACGAGTGATTTCAATGCCTCATTGCGTTTCTTATTGATATTATTATTCTATATTTTAATTATTGGATGTTTGTGCCTTGATAACACAGAAACCACTCAACCAATTTTAATAAATTTTAGTTTAGACATTGTTTTGACCTTGGAAAAGAACATAGACTACTTTTATTTACAAAAATATATCTTAAAAGGCATAAAATAAGGGTTGAAAGTTTTAGTTCTATAATTCACATCCAGATGGCGTTGAGATGCACCCATATGCATAAAATTATAATAACACGCGGTTTTTAGTAAATTTTTGATGAATTTCTACGAAATTTTTGATTTTGACAGTGTTTTGACATTGATTTGTCTCGAGCATGTTCGGCAACTTGATATACACTTAATGTGTAACAATATGACAATACAATGAGTCATTCGGAAGTTGTACCTACTTGCTCTTACTCTGTGTCTTCGTAAAGTAATTATTGTTTCCGGTTGCGGGTGTGCACTGACCCGTAACATATTCCACCTGTGTATATTCACCTTACACGTTAAGTTGGAAGCTCTGGAACCTTTGGAACCTTTGCATGCGCTACCAGGTGTAATGTGTAATGAAAATAAAGTGGCGATTGTATTGTGTCTGCGACTCTGTTGCGCCTGACTGCGTGTTTTTTATACGCCGCACAAGCAAATAACGAACTTTTCTGAAGGAATTGTGACTTGCGGTTGTTGTTTTACACTATATGCATTGACTATATACAACCAGTTATACATGCTAACACCGCACACGCCATTTTACAAGCGAATGTGAACGCTTAACATCAACTAAACAGCAAGACGAGAGAATTACGTGACATATTTCATTGTTTACAAATGAGGCGAGTCATTTAAGATGAAAAATAATCAAGGTGCCGCCATTGTTGGGTTTATGGCTGCGCCTTTTATGAATATTTAACAAATAATTCGCGATAAATCTCTACAAGCATTAAAAACACGTTTTTTTTCTTGGTATCTTAGGCTAAAACAGAAAAAAAGTTAATTTTTGATTTTTAAGCTGTGTTTAAGCACACGCCAACCGGTTTTTCTCGTCTTATTTACTCCTGGTTGGATTTTATTAGCTTGGACACGTGCGCAACTCAGGAGAACATTAACTCGATACCCTCAAGGCAAAACTTAAAGCCTAAGACGAAAAACTCATGAATTTATAAACGATATAACAGTAGTTTTAAAATTTACAACTTAAGCTTACTTAAATTAGTTCAGAGAAGTGTTTTGAATGTTTTATTAGGTTACGTCAGAGTTTTTTATTAATTTATATTTGTACTAGCTTTAACCCTTGGCTTCCCTCGCGAATATCTAAAATAATAAAGTTGCTTCCATAAGCGTCTGTAGTCACAGAAGAAGTAACAATGAAGTAGAATGGCGGGAAGTTTAAAATGGCTGAAAGTATAGTCTATGGTAGTATAGTGTACAGTCTCCATAGTGTAGTCAATTGGATTTGATGTTGACGTAGCTGTCGGTAATACAGTGTGATAATACAGTGTGATGGTACTATAGTACTTGGGTTTGAGCTTCATTGCAGGAATGCTAGATGGCGTTAAAGTAGTCAAATAGCCAGATGCAGAGGTATTATTGGCTAAACTATTTCTTTATTTTATTTAAAAAATATATTTTTTTATTAAATAAAAAGTAGCCTATAACCTTTCGGGGACCACTAAGAATATGTGTATAAATTTTCATGATGTTGGGTTAAGTAGTTTTTGCGTGAAAGTGTAACAAACATCAGGACTTTCTCATTTATAATATTATAGTAGGGATTAGTAGGGATATTATTCTTAATATAAGATTAAAAATAATTAAAAAATAAAAAAAAAATCGAAATAAATAATAATATACCGAGTGATTACATAAATTTAATAAAAACCAAAGAAAAGCCAATAAAATTCGATTAAAACTATTCGTAAAATCAAAAATAATAATTATAACTGCTTGTAATCAAATTATTTCAGCAATAAAACATTTTTCATTCTTTTTTACTTAAATTAGTTCAGAGAAGTGTTTTGAAGGATATATTAGGTTACGTCAGAGTTTTTTTTTTATTAATTTATATTGGTATTAGTAGATTGTGGGTGAGGTTAGAGATAAAATCGTATTGAACTCGAGTTGACGCCGACCAGACGGTGACAATGAATAAAAAACGCATGCAGAACAAGAATAAGAGCAAAAGTGAAAGTCACTGCAAACAAATACTCAATCAGTGCTTAGGTTTCGCAGTTTTCCTGCTTGCAAATGCTATATTTGTGGTTATATATTAAAATATCACGGCTGTAAAATTAAGTGTAACGGGTTGCATGTTGCGTAACACTTTGGTGGTTTCTTTGTGTCTCCCTCTTTGATTTTTGCACAGTAGTAAAATGTCAACGCTGCTTTCTTTTATTTTACGACGCGGAAAGTTTGGCAACTATAGGCAACACATCAAACATTTTTTCTTTTTATTGGTGTCTTAGTCTTACATCATTGTATCATTATTTTACTTCCGACGGTATGTTGTATGTTGATGTGTATTGTTTGATTTTTGATCACATCCTATTTTTCTCAACAAATAACATTGTTCACGCTTGATCCTGAGACAATGCGATTGCAAAACCTACAAATTACTTATTGCATACAAAAACTATGCAACCAATCATACACTCTGTGGGTTGTGTAAGTATATTTTGACTTGTTTTTTGATTTTTCGTGGCGTTTTAAACGAATTTTCACGCTTTGCTGCACTGTTTTATTGTTTAGTTCCTCATTAAATGCGAGTCTTGTCTTGTCTGGCCTGTCTACTGGTCACCCTCAGGTAATTTCGTAATTAGCTTCACATGCGAGACCTTGAAATCAAAATTATCCCTCTTTGAGTGCGCGTTTTTTATGTCCACTCTTATTTTAATTGTATTTTCTGTTCTGAGAAGATGATTACAAAAGATAGTGTGCTATTGTCATTTGTCACATGTGATAATATAAAAGTTTACGAGTGAAAATTTAATGCGTTTTGTTGTGGAGAGTGTGTCCATGAACCCTTTTCCGATGGATTTCTTTGTCCCCGGCTGCAGCTGCAGCAGCGGAGTCTGCGGCGCAGGATTTGTGTTCCCGCCAAGCGTAAATGTAGTAAAATCTCCCGCCTGAAGAGAGATGGCGAGTGGACAAACCGGTTTTCATAATACGCTACTCATGAAACTACTATTCGTGAGTTGAGAAACTTAAGTCAACTTAAATCCCGCCAAGATTGTGGCTTGTGTTGTTGTTTTCATCTGCGGGCAGGTCACGCGCGGCGGCCATTTTGTTTTTGGTGCATGTAATTCTGTGTGTGTGAATCTTTAAACTTCCGAAAGTCACACTTGTTTCATGACTTAATTATCTAATCAACAATTATTTTCTATCAAGTTTTGTTTTCATTGTCTTCTTGTATTGTTTCCAAGTTTTTTTTTTTGGAGACTTAAGTCTGAGGTGTGTTACGCTTCAAGGACCAATTCCCATTATTTCCGTTTGTTCCCATCGTCTCATAAAGCTTCATTACAATCATTCTTCAGTCTTATTACGTATGATTTCCGGTGTTTTAGGAGATTTTAAATTTTATTAGACTTAAACTGTGAAAATGAATCAATATTTTATTTGTACTTAGTTAATTTTTTGTTTTTATGAAGAATCAAAGGTGGTTTAGTGACTTAAGTCATTTTACTGACTTAAATATAAGTTGTTTTGTGTTGTGTTCGGTTCGCTTGTTTCACCTTTATTTTTCGTTTTTATTTTTTCTTTCGTGCCATGTCGGGCCGTCGTGTATCTTCGCCGGCGCGCTCACCTGAGGCCACCACTCGATTCTGTTTCTACTCAGTACGTGTTGTGTTTTTAAGGTGTGTTAACTAAAGTCACATCGGCGCGAGTTTTCCTCAACACATTTTTCGATATTTCACGCAGAAAAACACAATAATCTTGATTAAAAACATGTGTGTGTGCTACTGTACTTAATTTAAGTCAACTTAAACATTCAAAGGATTAATCTGTGCAAAAATGACGAAGGGAAAAACAAGGGCTAAGGCATTATTTCCAATATGCAAGGTAAAATTAAAATTATTATTGATTTAGTTTTATTTTAATAGAAAATAAGTAAACTAGCGGTTGTTTAAATTTAAGTTCGAGTTTAATCCGTTGTTTTTGAGCGTTGTGTGCGCAGAGTGCTTAAAGTTTAAAGAGCATGGGATCCATTTCGTGATAAAGACAGAGACAGAGTAACAAGCGTGCAATGATGATGGCGATTGGAAGGTTCATTCGCTTCTCATCTAGGAGTCTCATCTAACGTTTTGTTGCTTAAGTCAAAGTCGCTTTATTCTGCGCATGATTCAGGATTTTCTTGGAAAACTTTAATTTTAACTTTTGATACAGTGTGTTAAATACGAGTAGGTTTGGTATTTGAAACGCCTTTTAAAAAGGATATCTTTTACATGACTTAAGTTAAGTAGCACTTGTATACAAAGGCTTTGTGTGCATATTGAAACCGAAATCTACAACAGATGGCCAAGGTATCACTTAATCCAAATTTACGTATAACCAGATTGTTATGAAGTGACTTAAGTCAATTAATTATATTTTATGAGGTGTTATACGCGTAAATTTAGGTGGAAATTTATTTATAGACTATTGTTTATGCCTGTGTTCAGTTATAAATATTTACAGTATAAATAATAACTTGCAGAACGCTGCACTGCACTAATTGTAGGTTAAAATAGATTAAAATAGCTTAGAATCACTAAAAAATGAAGAAAAAAAATTGTAGTATGCAACCAGATGTCGTTAAATCTGTCGTGTCTCGTGTCGGCTAAGCATCACATCAAACAACTGCTCAACCACCTTGCGCGCTGCGCTGCGCGTCCCCTACTTAACTTAAGTCATCTTAAGGGCTTTCAATGCCCGTGTGCAACTTGTTGCGCCGTAAACAAGTGGCTACTTAGTACTCGTACCCAACTTGAAAAGACGGGAAGTGGAAGTTGGAAGTTATAGCCACCGGAAGTGACTTAAAACTTAAAATTTAAGTCAACTTAAGTTTGATCATTTGTCTATTTTACCTATACTTATTATTTTATTTACAGGTGTTGTGGCATTTGGATATCTTTCGGCGCAGTTTTCGTGATCTCTCCGGGCACGCATGCATGGCAGAATCGTGCATCTTTTGTGCATTAAAGGTAAGTCAATTTATTATGCCTTCTCCAAAATCGGCAGGTGTTGTCTTCCAGAGTCAAAAACCCATTCGGCGCGTGGCGGACATGTGCAAGCAATATGGCGATGCATATATTTCACTTCCACCTGCTTTTGTAATCATTAAAACTGATTTTAACAGAAATTAAAATGAAAACCCGCAAATAAGAGTGGGGGTAAAATTTTGTTTTTTGACGATATAGAAGATATTTCCGTATGTATTGCAGGTAATTAGAAGTTTTAGTCCAAACAGGAATTCCAGCTATCCGTTTCATTATAAATTACAAGTTGTAATCGTGCGTAATCATGGCGGAAGTCGATAGCAACGACTCATGAATATTTATTTATACCTACTCACATGTCACTTCTTCATTCATACTTATTTACGCGTCCATCGAGTGAAATTACGAATATTTCGCGTTTTATTTGCATTCCGGTTGATTACCGCTAGTGCATGTGATACATAACCTCAATTATACCATCTAGATGGCGCGCTTCACTACCAAAAATGTTTAAATCTTTTTCTGTGCTTAATTGCATTGTAATTGTTACTCGTAACAGAAAAATTTCTCCCGTGCCCAGTTTAAGTAATTGTAAATGACGCGCAGCAGAAGAGAAAAACTGAAAGTAGATTGAGGATGTTTGCAACAATGACATCTTTTGCTCTTGTACGCGGAGCTGTAAAACATTTATTTCTAGTGTGTGTGTGTTGGGTGTATAATCTATATTTTTCTGGATGTTCCGTTTGTTGCACTTGTTTCTGCCTCCTGTAAACAGGAGGTGTAATTATCAGTTGTTGCTCTTTGGGCAGGCAATGGAGAGCGTGTAATACGTGTAATAACAATGTAATCACATGATTGTGTTCTTGTTGATGGTTGGTTGGGGTAATTAATTGTTTGGAATTTACAGTTGGAACTTTAGACATGCCTGGAACGCGTTTAATAATCTACTAGGATTTAATTTAGCTGTCATCGATGAAAAAAGAATGAAAAATGTTTTTATTGCTGAAATAATTCAATTTCATACTGTAATAATTATTATTTTTGATTTAAAGAATAATTTCAATTAATTTCTGTTAGTTTTTCTTTGATTTTGATTAAATTTATGCAATCACTCAGTATATTATTATTTATTGCAAAATTTCAACGTGAAATAATTATTTTTAATCTTGTATTAACAATAATACTGCTTATAATTATTATTTTGATCTGTCATCGATGAAAATTGTTATTGGTTACAAAAATAATTTGATTTCAATCAGTTATAATTATTATTTTTGCCTTTAAGGGTTTTATTAAGACTTTTAAATGAATTTTTTTGATTGAACATCAAAAACTAATTGTTTTTAATTTATTTTTTAATCACATATTGAAATGCACGCATATAATTTGTACTAATTATTATTTATAACGCATAAATCAAGTTGTCTTAGTTCTCACGTCAAGTAGGAAGACTTTAATTCATGTTTTAATCAATAAATCTATTCACACATTCTGAATTAAATTAAAAGTAGGCATGCAATTAATTCTGCCCTCATTCTGCACACATAAAGTTAATATTTTTATGTTTATTAAAATTTTGTGCAATACAATGCACCATGAAAGCGAAAATTTAAAGTTTTAAAGTTTCACGCATAATTAAGCACAGTTAGCGGTCAATATTTAATTTAATGGTTTACTGATGACGTTGTATACTTAATACCCACATTTATTATTTCTTTTAGTTAATTTTACTTAATTCTTGGTTTAGAGAGTGAGTTTTCTAAAAATATTGACAATTATTACAAAATGGTTTATGCTGGCGCCAGTTGAACACTGGACACCATTTATTTTATTTTATTTTACAACCAACGCATCAACACCAACGCATTGGAGACAATAAACATGTCAAACGTTTGCTTTGCGGAATACTCAGGTATTACCTGTACAGGTATAAACGATAAAATTATGCTTAAAGAGGCATAACAGGATGTGCATTACTTTCAATACAGGAAACGTCAAAGAAAAAACAATAAAAAGTATTTTTTTTGCTTTAAAAATTAAAATATTTAAAGATTAAAGATTTAACTTCTTCTATCACTCACGCAGTAATTAATAGCTAATAATAATCATAAATGTAACACTTTGCTTAATCAAAAGCGCCCACATTACATCCGCTACAAAATTATAAAAAACCAGCTATTAAATGTGAAATCAAGCAATAAATTTCGTTGGAACACGTACAAAACTGAATGAAAAGGAAATTTCGCGTTGGTGTTGACTGTAAACGGTAGTGTACACTACATAAATGCATGTGGGCGCACAATTTAAGTCAACGTGACATAACCACACATAAAAAATAATTATTTTTAACTAAAACAAATAAAAAAGGTAAAATTATTATTAATAATGGGTTGACTTTTGAGTTTGTTAAACGTGTTGTGTTTAGATATAAATTATAGATTACTGAGTGCTCTATACTCTCTAGAGTTATGATTGCTTAACACATTCACACCCACTATTCAATTTATTCATTTCCATTGTAGTTTATTTTTAATATGAAATATGAAGGTTCTTTTTGCAAAAAGGAAAGATAAGTATCTTTGGCATTAAAATTTAGTTTTTAAATTCACCTTGGTAGGTATGAGTAACTTTGGCAATAATTTCAACGTTTTACGCATCTGTTGTTGATTCAACCTGCTAAAATCATTGAACCGTGTCTAATTTATTATTCCACCCTCGAATCATCCCCACGGTGTCAAGTCATACCATGCACCAGTGGAGAAAAGCGTATTTTACACGAATTTTTGTTGTGAGTTGCACATCCCTTGAATTATAAACCCAAAAGACACGTAATTTGTATTATTGGCTAAACCAGTGGCGTAGCAAGTCAAAAAATACACTTAATTCAAATAAAAACAAAGAAAAATTAATTTTTAAACATAAATATTGAGAAAATTAACTAAAACATTTAATTTTTTACAAAAAAAAATTTATTTATCTTTAATACCCTTCTATTCCCCCTCTATTCTCTTACCAAACATGCTACGCCACTGATTTATGCAATATTTCACAAATTTCGCCGAAAATAAATCCAAATTTCCAATAAATTTTTACTCTGTATGTGTTTGTGAAGATGTGGCAGCAACATCATTACCTACTTTGGTGAACTTGTACTACCTCTACTTCTTCTCTCGGCTTTTCGATCGTAGGCCGAACGCGTTTCGATTTTTATTTCATTTACCTGCCTGAGTTCAACCTATTACCAAGCCAAGCAACCAACGACTATCGCGCTTTGTCTTTCTCATCTCACTCTACCGCCAAAAAGAGACGCAAGTTAAATAACGGCGCGACTGATTCGTCCTTTTCTTACCCACAACACTAGAGAATATTACAGGTAGGTGCGTCTCGCGGCGGTTTACCTGAGCGTGTTCGGAGAGTTCAACTTGCGGAGCCGCTTCGGAAAGTTTAGTTAAAGCGCTCAAGACAAGCGAGGCAGGCGTGCGCAACGCGACAACAGTGAAAGGTTACTTTGTTACTTAACTTAACGCACGAAACACGTTTTAAACAAAGTTGAAGTGAAAAATTATGTGAAATAGAAGATAGTTTTCATTATGATTAAGTTCCGGTATCGAAAACCATCGCTGAGTGAAAGTCTAGGTGATAACGTGGATGATAACAGTGAGAAACATGATAAGAAGCTTAAGTCACCAGAGGTTATGGCTAATGTGTTACTGAAAGACTCCAAAGTTACCAAAATCGCGTCTATACAGTATATGAATAAGAAAAATGGCGGTGTGCACGCGCATGCGCAGGGACGGACTATTGAGAATACTCAAGGGGAAGAAATTGAGTTGGTTGGGGGTAAAGATCAGGAATTATGCAGGAGTTTACGAGTAAGAAATATTTTTATACATTTTTTCGCCATTTTAAAAAGAAAAACTTAAAAAAATGCTTTTTTGATGTAAAAATCTTTGTTTTTGTTGATAAATGACTTAATAATAATAATTTGCACTATATTAGAGATAAATAACTTGAATATGTAATATTCTAGTGCGTTATTAAGAGGCGTGGCGTTATGCGCAGTATGTATACTTAAGTCTATTATGCGCGCGAAATAGAAACATGTCTGACCCATATTTTTGGTCTTCATGGCCAACGAGAAATTCACCAAACAATTATTTTTCAATTAGAAAATTTAACGCTTTTCGTACTGCATTATTGCATTATTGCATTAGTATTATTTGATTACGCAAACATTTGTGCAGTAAAAGTCACAATCGCAAGTCGTGACAAACTCTCGTCATCAATAGATTTAGCTGCAGTGGAAACCTTGAGCACTTCGATAATAGAAATATAATAAAGAAGTTGAATTGCCCAGCGGCGGAGATGTGCCGAGCTAGGCAAAAAACAAGTTACTAGGCAACAAGAAACGAGAAACATGATCGTGAAGTAATCACAGGATTAAAATTACACACAGTGATGGATCAAGATGAGCGTTGTTTTTTTCTTGAGTTATTATGATGAATAATGAACGTATTGATTGTTTAAACTTTGAAAACTTGTTTGAAATGTAGGTGAGAAGGTAAAAGATACAAAAATAGTAAAATATACAGGATGTTTTGTATTTTATTTAAGTTTAAAGTTAAAAATTTGATGCAAAGATGCATTGTGACGCATTTCTTGATTCTAAGAAGAATGAAGAAGGAAATAACGCGATGACTCAAAGCAAAATGAAAGCTTTTAACATTTTTTACATTTTTTATGCTCAATCAAAGGTGGAAGTTATGTAAAATGCGCAATAAACATTTATGGTAAACACATAAGCGCAAGTAATAGTTGTTTGCCTTTTAATCTCGTTTGAATCAACATTACAACATTAATTATTGTAAATTTTTATCTTCTAGGAGTTATTCTCGCAGTTGCAATTCAGCCATGAAACAGCTCTTCCCCCGGATGCTTTGCGACGTGCTTTGGCCGAGAGCTTCTTCGACCAGCAACGCTTCCAGCTCGGGTTTATGGATGACGCAGCCGAGTGTTTTGAGAATATGTTGATGCGTATCCACACACATATCGCGCACGGCGAGTCGGAAGATATGTGCAATGTAAGGCATTGTATTCCGCATCAGAAGTTTGCGATGACTTTGGTTGAACAAAGCATTTGCGAGGCGTGCGGTGGATCTTCGGAACCTTTGTCATTCACCCAGGTAACATCTATCATATAAAAATGAATCGCAAATTTGTTAGTTAGCGCATAACTCAACAACGCCTAGACCAATTTGGCCAATTCTTTTTTTAAAATGTTCGTTAAAATCCAAGGATGGTTTTTACGACGAGAAAAATTCGAATAATTGCCGGGAAAAATTGAGATTCAATCATAGTTATAGTTAAATAGTTGAATTCGAGATGGCGTTGAAGTGCATTATTAGCAATTCATTATATAATTATTTTGTTCAAAATAAAATTGCTAATCTTATTGATAAAATAGAACAAGAGAGTAAAAACGAATTACATTTTTATTAAACACTACCGGAACAAATTCGCGTGCAAAAGCTAGTAATCTATAAAACTTTTTTTGAGGTTAGGTTTAATATTTCTGTTTGGTTATAGATGGTGCATTATATTTCGGCGTCTGCGTTGACGACACAAGTCCGCGCGAGTGTTTCCAATCAAAATATTGGCATCCAGGACTCCTTTGGTAATCTACTGAAAAAAGCAGGGAATATGGGGGACATTCGTGATTGTCCAGTAAGTTTTCTTAAGGTTTTATAAATGAGGTTATGTTTTTAATTTTTATTTCTTCCCTGTAGAGTTCCTGTGGTGCTAAAATACAAATCCGAAGATCCTTGATGAATCACCCTGAGATTGTCTCCATTGGTATAGTCTGGGACTCCGAAAGACCCACTTTGGAACACATCATGGATGTCTTCGCGACTGTTGGTACCACACTCCGATTAGCTGATGTCTTCCATAGTGTTGTAGACCAACGCTGGTCTGATTTAACAGCGCATAATTTGGTTGGTGTTGTTACGTATTATGGTAAACACTACTCCACCTTCTTCTTCCATACGAAATTGAGGGTATGGATTTATTTTGATGATGCTACCGTGCGGGAAGTAGGACCACGTTGGGAGCAAGTTGTGGAGAAGTGCAGAAGAGGGCGTTATCAACCACTGTTGTTACTCTATGCTGTACCAGGTGGTAGTCCTGTTTCTACTGAGAATGCTCCAAAGGTAATCACGCCGTTTTATGAAAAGAAGACTACGTTGAGGAGGTCGGTTACTCCGAGTCCTGAGAAAGCTCCCATGGTTAATATGCATGGGGCGAGACGTGCCATCACACCAAATCCTGATGGTAAACCACCTCTTCCGAGGAATCTGAACTCCAGTTATAATGAATATCAGAATCTGGCGGTTATACAGGATAGTATACATTTTAAACCACAGGTGAATATTCACAGGAGTCTGAGTAGTTCATCATCAACGACTAATGATGGTATTAACATCCCGGACCATCTGAATGTCCCTAGGAGAAGAGATTCTGGGAATTGGAGTGGTGACAGGAACAGTGCTTCATCTTCCTCGTCAACTACAATGGAAAATCCCTATTTGTATCTGGTTGGTAAGCTCCCACAGAATGGGAGTTTACCTGGAAGTCCAACAAGGGGTAAAGACTCAACAGGATCAGTTTTTAATGATCCTGGATACGATTCTTATTCGCTATCTTCAAATGACAGTTCAACGATGTCCACTATACAACACCTGATGAAAATGGGTCACCTGGCGAAGATTCCAGAAGATTATAACATGATGTCTGCATGTGGGCAAACACCTAACCTCCCCATGCCGAATTGTGATGTTCTCTGTGATGAAGCAGATGAACTCCTCACGAAATCCAGACAGTTGGAAGATGAGCATGATTTGGTTCTAGCATTGGCTCTGTGTAATGCTGCTGCGACTAAAGCTAGAGCCGCCATGAATGCACCGTACAACAACCCGCAGACTCTTACTTTAGCCAGAATGAAGCATAATACTTGTATTATGCGTGCGAGGAGTCTTCATCGTAGAATGACACAGACGCTGAACCCACCTAAGGAGAACCCCATTGAAATACGTCATACTCGTGAGGGTAGTAGTGGTAGTGCTCGCCACAGTCGCCAGAACTCCAGGGATAAGTTATCCAGACAAAACAGTAAGGAATTATTGAATATTCCGGTTGTTTCTGTGGAGAAACCAACGAAAAGTATTGAGATCTATGCGACTTTACCGAAAAAGACGAAGAAAATGTCTGTGACCACCATTGAAGATGCAGAGTATATGATTTATGATAAACCCAAAGAGCGTGAATCACGTTCGATCTTCTCCAGGTCCCGGAAGGACAAGGAAGCCATTAAAATCAAAGAAAAACGATCCCGGAGTGAAGATAGAAATAAAATCTTCTCGAAAGACTTTTCTCTAGCTCCTGATATAAAAGACACACTAAAAAGAGCAAGGAAACTAAGGAGAAGGAAGAAAAAGAAGAAAAGAAAGAAAAGAAAGGTAAACAACACAAAATCAGACGTAAACTACTCATGGGAGGACTCATCAGGAGGAAGAACAGAAGCATGCCTGATTTGACAGAGGTAGCTGATCAAAAAGACCAGAATCCTCCCCCGATTACTTCTTCAGTTGATGACAGTACCATAGGTACCAAACAAGACCCTCCACCGTCAATGTCTGGGTATTTAAGTGAAGGTCACCTTGAATTCACGGGTAATTCATGCACGAATCCCAATCTGGAGAGGTCTAGGCTCATGCGGAAGAGTTTCCATGGTAGTGCTGGTAAGGTACTCACTGTTGCCAAGGTACCACCTCCTCCACCACTCCGTACAACATCACAGTTATCTAAAATAGGTTTAAAGTACGAGGATGAGATCCAGTTGAAAATCAAACAGGAGGAGAATGTTTATTGTAACTTTGATATCAATGCTAATGGTAGAGCTTCACTGAGTCCTTATGAAAGACATCAGACTGTTATAACTCATGCGGATGTGCATCAGGAGCAGAGTCCTGTGAAGGATGCGATTGATAGTGGTGTGGATGAGGTGGATTGTTGTCCATCTGTGCCGGTTTTAGAGCTGCCGCCTTATCCTAGTCCCCCGGGGTCTGTTTTACATTCGAGGCAGCCCAGTGAAGAGTTTCCACCGCCTCCCACGGAGTTGGATTTGATCGAGGATAAACCTGGGTTGTTGCAGCAGTTGCAGAATAAGCGGATGGAGATTTTGAATGGGTCTTTACAACAACAACAACAACAACAACAGAATCATGTTGGGGTTGTTAAGGAACAGTCTGGAGATGTTTGGTTGAAGGAGTTGCAGGCGAAGCAAGCTGCGCTCAGGAAGAAACTTGATCCTGGCGTGGATGAAGTTAATACGCAGCGGGTTGTGTTGTATCCGCAGATGGCAGAAGCTAAAACCGAGGCTAAAATAACTTCAGTAAAAGATTTAGCTTCGCGTTTTGAGCAGGATAAGTTTGAGTTGTTCAAAAACGAAACACCAGGTGTGTTGTCCCTGAAGAAACGCGATGATGATGTTATAACTGCACAAAATACTATTGTACAACATCAGATACCTCAGGAGTTGATCCAGCAGGAGATTAAGGAGGTGGAGATGTTGACAGCGCAGGTGCAGAAGACTTTCCATCCGGAGTTTATGCATGATGAGGATCAACGCAGTCATCATAGACAAAAGAAGAAATCTGTTAGTTTTTGTGATCAGGTTATACTGGTTGCAACTGCGGAGGAACAGGAAGATGATAGTTATATACCCAATCCTATTTTGGAGCGGGTGTTGAGAACGGCTATACACAAACCGGAAGCACAGGCTATAAGACAAGAGATTATATCTTTGCGTGAGAATGAACTAAGGAAAGAGAATGAGTTGAAGGTACGACAGGAAGAGGAGGAAGTTATGAAGAATTATGAGAGTAAGAGGTTTACTCAGAATGGTGTTGAAAGTGTTGTTGAGAGTCCATATGGAGGTAGGCCTGCTGGTATGCAGACAAGTTTAAGTCGTGAAGAAAGAGAGTTCATTATGAATAATTCCAAGGAGTTGGCTGTACAACAACAACCACAACAACAGGTTTACCATCAACAACCACAACAATCACAACAACATCAACAGGTCTATCAGAGTTTACCACAGAATGCATATGGTAGTCCGAATTATATCCCTGCTTCACAATTGTCCAGCACACCTCCTCAGAATGTGGTATACCCGCCATACCAATCCCCACCACAAGTACAGATGCAAAATGGTGGATATAATACAACTCCCACATCTTCCCATAGTGTTTATCAGAGTCCTCCTGTTCAATTTCAAGGTCAAAGTCAAGGACAAAACCGTCCTTATCAAATGGTACCACCCAATAGTCAGATGCATCCACAGATGCAAAACTATCAAGCGTATTACAGACCTCCACAGATGGTTAAAGCACAAAGCCCGGCTGCTGGTAATCATGATTTGTATTCTTCTTCACCTAGGAGTTACCCGCTGCAACAGGTGAGGCAGTCACCCACGCCAGGTGTTTATTATCATCCGCCATCACCGTCACCTTCAACGCAAAGCAGTTATACTTCTACATCAACAACTAATTCGCCTGTTTATCGACCCTATCAACGTGTACCACCACTGCCTATGCATGAGTATCATGAACAATCATCTCCTTATCAAAGGGTACCTAATACTGCCTATCATCAACAACAGACACAACAACAACATCAAATGAATCAGGATGCGCAGTACGTGCAGCGGAATGCATATCATCAGTCGCCGTATCAGCATGTGCCTGTGCCTGTACAAAATGGCCATCAGTATATACAAAATGGCGGTGCGAAACAAATATTAAAGAAATCTGTTTCTTTTGAACCGGGGACCAAAGGAGAAGATCAACTTAATCAACATATACAGCAACAACACACGCTGCAAGCACAACCCAAGGCTATTGTTACTCCTATATTAGTTAATAACAATGTAAATAATTCAAGTAACAATCACACAAAGTGCAATCTTTGCAGGAAGAAGGCCGTGCCCTCGGCGAATATCTACTGCACCGATTGTGAATATTATATGTCGCGATTCAAGCCGAAAAGCTAATAGTAACTAATTGTTTATTGATTAGTTCAACTATTTATTAGCACGAGGCTGTTTTTTTAATTGTGATATTACTGAAACAATTTGAGCGTAGTTTAATTATTTGTATGTTTATAAAGTAAGGATCTCATTGAACGTGAAGAGTTTTATATAAAATTAATAAATATTTTCAATAATAATACCATATTTGTTGTTAATAGTTGGAGTTTCATTTACAGGAATCTTTATAAGGTAAAGTTTGTGACGTTTGCTCACAGATGGCGCGCAGATCGCGAATTGGAATTTTATTTCAAGTTGCCTATAAAAAAATGCGCGGATTTTATGTTTAAAACAAGGATTTTAATAAACGTACATAATTTTACATTAAATTAATAAATATTTGCAATATATTTACTGTATTTATTGTTAATAATTGCAATAAATAATGTTTTAACTTCTTAAGTTATAGTTCGGTAATTTGACACACAGATGGCGCGTATGTAGGCATCGGTAATGCTGTCAAACGTTACCTGACCAAACGCGTTGTGTCATTGCATTTTTGTACGTCGCGCAGTGCGCGTGAAGCAACGAGCGCGTTTAGTTGTTTAATAATTAGTGCTGCGCTTATCGGAAGGAATTCCAGGTGCCGAGGTCAATGTTGACTCGGCGGTCGAAGATGTGCGCGTATCAACAAACCCAGCGTTAAACCGTCAGTGCAAATAAACTATGTGAACAACTACTCGTCGCGTAACAAACTAAAAAACAAAAGCGCATCTGTGTCGGACATAACCTGTACTTCTTGCGTACATTGGTGAAATTGGGGATGATCCGCGTGTGATAAAACGAAGAACGCGTTAGACAATGACCGCGACGAGTAACATCCTGCCCACATATCAACGCGCCGGTATGCAAGCGCAATTCCTACGGCGGTCGTTCCGCCCGAAGGAAAAATACGTCATCCTTCTGGTGGTCTTCACCTTCGGGCTGGTATGCTTCGGTACATTCTTCTTCCTACCGGAGTTTCGCGCTGGGAACACAAGCAGCATGGCTGCCGAGGGAGTGTATCGGGTTTACGATCAGTTTAAACGCGCTGGGCCCGAACTGCTGATACCGCCGCCCCCGCACATTACTTTTCACTCGGAATTAAGTTCACGCGTGCTGCGCGCTTGTTGGCAATGGAATTAAGTAAAATGGCGAAGACCGAGCGCGTCGGTCGAAGAAGGTAAAGGTGAATGTTGTATATGTTGTATACCATCTGTTGTGGAAAATTCCACATTCACTGAATCATGCGGTTATTTACGCTGGGAGGACACAAAAACAACAACAGTTAGATATTACAAGCAAATTAGTTATTACAATCGTCATTATTGAACATTTCAAGCACATGTTATATTTAAACTGGCAATCAGCATTCTCTACTCGGTAATTATCATTTGGATGATAAAAAAACACATTATTCCATGCGGAATATATTTTTAAATTACTGTTTAGTATTGGTATTGCTGGGTATGTTTTGGTATTGGTTTTTGTTGTTGTTTGTTTTGTTGCTTTTCTACCTGGCTGGGTGCTGTACCTGTTCACCTCTCTGACTCATCTGGAATGCAGTGCAAAACGCGAATTCGAAGCCGGTCCCCGCGCGCACTCGACCACCTCGGAGTTAACTACCGCGCCGCAAATAATACAGGAATGTAATTGTTGTTTAGATTTCGATTGAATAACGACTTCCGCCCGGTGTGCGCCGCTTTGTCGCTATTCGATTCCGCGATTCCAGTGGACGTCACGCACGTTGGATTAATATATGTATTCGATTCGATGCGGATGGTACATATTTGCAGACACGATATCGTGATTAAGTTAAATGATTGACGTGCACTGATAAGCATGTGCGCAGGTGAATGATAACGGAGTCAGACACGCGTCGGGTTGTCTCACGTGATGAGATGCGTTTGGATTAACATACAAATTGCTTTTCACGCGAGATGAAGAGGAGATTGGGGTGAGACCTGCGCGCTGTCCTTTTGTATCTGTGGACAAGCAGGATAATTTGGAGTGGGGGTAAATGCTTTGGGAGAAGGCCCCTAGAGATTCCCGTCTGCGACCTTCTTGCATTACATTGCAAGGGTACTACCCCCACCACTTTTTGCGGGTTGTTCCCAAAAAAGAGCAGCTCCCAGGTCTCAATCTGTTCTCAAAGGTTCCTCTCCTCCTCCTCTTTCTCCTCATTTTTCTCTTTGTTTCTCCCTCTAATGTATTTGTATGTAGATAAATGATGGATGGGTTTTCAATATTTCAAAAATACAACTACTACTCCGATGCATCAACAAATTATCCCGCATTATTTTCCGTGCACTGGTCGCACATTAATCACGCATCAATATTTAGCATTCCTTGTTTGGTTCTGTTGTGTTTTATTTGTTTGTCTGCTGGTCTCTGGTGGTGTGTGCTCGATCATACATCACGCGTGGGTACTCACGCTCACTTTGGCCCTCAATTATTCAAACCTCACGCCCGCCATCCACCTGCCTTGCTTTTATTTTGTATTAGTATATCTGCCGACTTCATTCATCATTGTGTTTATTATTTGCGGCGCGTTATCAAAGCAAATAGTAATATTATCGGTATCGGTGTATTTACATACGAAAGACTTTTAAAGTTTAAATATAAACAGTGAAAACATCAATGCAAATAATGGCAGGCAAGGTTTTTTATCTATCTATATATATATAAAAATGAATTGCTGTTCGTTAGTCTCGCTAAAACTCGAGCACGGCTGAATGGATTTATCTTATCTTGGTCTTGAATTATTCGTGGAGGTCTAGGGAAGGTTTAAAAGGTGAGAAAAATTTGAATAAGAAACATGAAAAGTAGCATTTTAATCACGATCGGCCAAAGCCAGGACTAAAGTACTTTAGTCACGGATTTTGGTCACGGGGTGGAAACTTGCGCTAAAGCGCATTTATCTACGGGATCTACGGCTTTTGGTTTTGGTCATAATTTTGCTCTAAATGAAATATAATTTAACTTAGAATTTTGTTTTTAAGTTATTTTTCGGTAAATTTCAAGTTTTTGCTTAATCACACCTGGTAGCAAATCATTACTTTAATAACCAGATGAAAATTAGCAACCTGACAGCTAACAAACGGTCATTTCCAAATCCTGCGCTAACAGCATTCACTAACTGCATGTTGATGTAACATTTCGCATTCCGAGTAATCTAAATCAAAAGCGCGAAACTATCGCCGTAAAACGAACCGAGACAGAAAACCCTACCGCGGGCGCGCGCTAAAACCATCTCTAAATAATTAACAGCGAGTTGATGGGTTGCGCCCGCAACACGCAGATTAAATCCCGGATATATATTGGATGAAACAGTTTCGGTATACCTTTGGCGTTGATTGAATAAATCGTGGCGATGTAGTCCTGCGCCGGCTCGAGATTAGAAATGAGAAACTCGGGCGCGGACGCTGAAAGATTGGCGATGAGCGCATCGGCGGCGGTGACGAGCAGCGCAAACTTTTGACGCATGCCGCCGTCGAAGCCCTTCTTGCAGACGAACACCGTTGAGTGGTGGGTGATGTTGGCGAAAGCGCACATGTTGGGCGGGTCGGGTTTGCCGGCCGGCACGATGTGGTAAGTGCAGGGCATACGCTGCGAGCCCAGTTCGTTGCGGCCCCAGCACTGCAGGGTGCCGTAGTCGGCCGCCACTTTGGGCGTGTAGGTGAGCTGGCTGCCGCCCGGCTCGGCGGTGAACTCGGTCAGCTCCTTCGAAATCCCCGGCGTGCTGTTGAAACTCCAGCGGAACAATTGCGCTGCTGGTTCGGCTTCCACCTATGAAAAAACAAAATTTTTGGGTTGAAAATGAATTTTGTGATTAATTCATTGATTTAAAAAAAATCGGTGCTACCGGTATTTTTAAATCAAATTTTTATTTTATTTTATTTTTTATTTTAAAAAATATACATCAATTTAAAAAAATACCGGTACACCGAAATACCAGTATTTTACTATCGGTATTACCGGTATATCGGTATTATTTCAAATTTATTAAAATTTTCTTTTAAATTTATTTGATTTTTGAATAAAATTAAAATAAAAATCAAATTTATAAAATATCCGTATACCGAAATACCGGTATTTATTTAAGATACTCATATCTGCGTCAAATAAAAGATTAAAAGCAATTTTATTTGATGATTATAGGGACAAAGTGCGTCTTGAGTGCACAATGAATTTTTAATGCTTGAAAATTTTACGATCGCGTAACATTCGCTACAATAGCAAACGTAAATTCATAACACGCAGCATTCTGCAAACAATAAAAGTTGCCATCAAGTTGATATCGCAACTTGCGATGCTGAAGCATTATGCATTATTCTAATGCACTCTGCGCGCTCGCGTTCGCTTTGTGCGCCTATTGTACATTGTGATACAAATGCGCGCAAATTGCCAGGAGCATTTTTGATTTACAGCGCTGCAGTTTGTTGTGCGGCGGCTCGTTACGTCGCTTTGAGCGGATAAATTGGGTGTAAAGTTTTGGGCTAAACTTTGCGACGCGATGATTGTCACTCGCAGTTTGTCGCCAAGACCGGCGGCAAGTTTTCAATTAGAGGATAAGGCACTCGCTGAATGAGATAATGAGTGTCCTTTATTACGGCCATTAATGCTGCGCTGATAACAAGCGGCACGCTGCGCGCCGCGTAAATGATTTAAGTGTTTACATGTGGGAATTTGATACGCGGCATGTTATGACGAGTTGTAATCGGAGACTGGTTCTAATTCATGTTGGAAATGTTAAGTAGGGAATTGGCTTCTTTTGTGGTATGGAATATTACCTATCAAATGACAAGTGTCAGTTTAATTTTATGTTTTATCTTTTTTCAATAAATTGGAACATTTTTTTAAATTTTACTTTTCTATGGTTTTGAAACACATAAAGAAGCATTTTAGTCACGGGCGGCCATAGCCGTGACTAAAGGTACTTTGTCACGGGTGGAGCTTGCGCCTGCGCATCCGCTACATATTTATTTCAAATCAACGAAATATCAAATTTCATTTAAAATAAGTTTCTTAAAATTAAGTAAAATTATTGAATTTTTGTTTAATTTCCTCAGGGAAGAAGCAAATTGAGATACTATTAATGGCAAATTGGTGTGAATCGAACGTTAAGCCAAATGCATACATCCAACACGTTTAATCAGCATATCGACGCCGTGCGGATTTCGCCCTCGCACGAATCAATAACTTGGCATAATAAGCGCCAAGCGAGTCGTACACGTCCTCGAATTATGCTAGTTTACGACTCATGTAAAGCAAGCGTTCGCCAATCGATTTATTCGAATCCGGAGACTGTATCTCGCGGCACGGCGGCGATTTGCTCCTTGGTAACCTAATCCTGTCCTCGTTCATCCTTTCGATCCTTTAGTTATGCACTCACCTAGGCGCGCCCGCCGGAAATCGCATTTGAGGTCTCATATTTCCCCTCGCAACGACCGCACGTATTTACCAAATTAAGTCCACTTAACCCGCGATTGAAAATGATTGCATGCATTACCAACACTTGCAAATCGCAGCGCACCATATGCTTCTCCAAAATAAATAGAAAAATAAAATAAATTGAAAAAAATATACTCGCTGGGTAGTAAATTGTGTAATGCTTTTATTTCGACCGATATATCAAATATTTTGCCCCCGGATGCAGCGACAAACTCCCGGCGTGTCGAAAAAGTTCGCTTGTTAAACGGGCATAAACAGAGCAATGCTTTATATCCTCGAGCGGCGTAGGCGGAGGCGCGGGCGCGCGAATCTCCGCTGGAGCGAGCGACGTTAGCTCAGCGCCGAAAAGAGACCGAGCGGGTTATAGAAAGCGCCTTCGCGAGCTATATCCTATCACCTACTAATATTATAAATGCGAAAGTCCTGATGTTTGTTACACTTTCACGCAAAAACTACTTAACCGATCATCATGAAAATTTGTACACATATTCTTAGTGGTCCACAAATGGTTATAGGCTACTTTTTATTTAATAAAAAAAATATTTTTGAAATAAAATAAAGAAATAGTTTAGCCAATAATACCTCTGCATCTGGCTATTTGACTACTTTAACGCCATCTAGCATTCCAGCAATGAAGCTCAAACCTAAGTACTATAGTACCATCACACTGTATTACCGACAGCTACGTCAACATCAAATCCAATTGACTACACTATGGAGACTGTACACTATACTTCCATAGACTATACTTTCAGCCATTTTAAACTTCTCGCCATTCTACTTCATTGTTACTTATTTATGTTTATATACATTATTTTAGATATTCGTGAGCGAAGCCGCGAGTTAAAGCTAGTAATAAATAATTTGGTTGTACTCGTGACGAAATGAGTTTTCTTATCAATCGAATGATGCGTTCATCGTACGACATCGCGTCGCGCACTTTTTGGTCACTCACACAGCATGTGTAATGTAAATTTAGTCGCGGTCAGAGCGTCACACAATGCTTACGATCAAAGTTAAAATCTTGTATTACTAATAAATTATTTCCGTGGAAAAGCTTGTGACAAACAAAAAAATTAAATCAAAATTAAAAATGGTGACTAAAACAGCTGCGTCTAGTTTAGTGTCAATGGTGGTTGTCATGGCTTGGACAGGGGTGTATCTCTCCAGAGAGAATGGCGTTGTCCGTGATACTCGCCATCTTGCTTTAAATGATAATGACACCGATGTGGACGATTATTATTTCGAGTATTCATATGTTGAGGGTAATCATGTTGTGATGCAGGAAAAAATTAAAGAGGTACCATTATTTATTGTCTATTAAACGTCATTATCATTAGGGTATTATTACAACATTACTCTTATTGCATGTCAATTTATATTTATGTTTTGTTTCTGTTTGTGTGTAGATGATGAAACACGCCTGGGACAATTACGTGCGCTGGGCATGGGGCAAAAACGAGCTGCGACCGGTGACGAAACGTGGTCACAGCGCGAGTATTTTCGGAGCTATGCCATTGGGTGCCACTATTATGGATGGTTTGGACACCCTGTATATTATGGGTTTAATGGATGAGTACAAAATGGGTCGGGATTGGATTGCGAAGGAACTCAACATGGCTGCTTTGGTATGACAATAAAACCTTCAATAATGAAACTTTTATTAATTTTTTTTCTTTTTTATAGACTTCGGATGTATCGGTATTTGAGACAAATATTCGCTTCGTGGGCGGTATGCTGACATGCTATGCGCTGACCGGCGACACGTTGTACCGTGACATAGCGCAACAGATCGCCGACAAATTACTGCCGGCCTTCCAGACCGCCACCGGCATACCGCACGCGCTGGTCAACTTTAAAACTGGAGTAAGTATGGCGCATTAATTAATCTCCGGCGGGTGATTCATTAATATAACGTTAATCAGACAGTCTATTGCGCATCAGACACGCATTGATCACGCAATTATCGCTAGCCTAGATTTCCTCGTATGTTTCAATGAAATTTGTGTTATAGGGCAGTAAAAATTATGGCTGGGCCAGCGGGGGCGCCAGTATTTTATCGGAGTTTGGCACACTGCATCTAGAATTTACCTACCTTAGTGACATCACTGGTAACCCACTCTATAGGAATAAAGTGGAGCATATTCGGCAATTCCTGCAGAGTATGGAGAAACCCAAAGGATTGTATCCTAATTATCTTAATCCAAAAACAGGAAAATGGGGACAACGTATGTTTTTTTTTTTTTTAATAATTTCTAATGAAAATATTAATTTTTCTTTGGGGATTATAGATCACATGTCAATGGGTGCACTAGGTGACAGTTTCTATGAATATCTGCTCAAAGCATGGCTGCAATCGAATAAAGAAGATAACGAAGCGCGTCAAATGTACGATGATGCCATGCAGGCGGTAATGCAACATATGCTGCACACGTCGCCCGGTGGTTTGATGTACTTTGCCGAGCTGAAATTCGAACGGCCCGAACACAAAATGGACCATTTGGCGTGTTTCTCAGGTGGGTGACAATTTATTGTTCAATTACATGTGTTATTCATCGCCCCAATATGCGCCTTCTTCTTGCGTGGCTGGCGGGCGGTGTTGGGATTGAACTAGGTAACCTGCGATGAATTCCCGGAGGAATCCCGGCATTGGGACGTTGAAAATGATGCTGCTGACGACGTAGCTTATTGGCCAGCCGAGTGGGCCGCGGATTGGGTTGAAATAGCCGAGTTTTTGATTCGTTTCTCGGTTATCACTCGCCAAGCACTAAAATTTATTGTGTAGATAGGAATTTAATATCTTTATGACTTACTATTGTGATCAGCAGGGTTATCAAACACGCGGAAAGTAGTTTTTGTTCATGTTAAATATTTTTTACTTGTTTCTACGCTGGGTTGTATTGGAATGAAACTAACAAGTTTCCAGTCGTTTGTGATAAATATTTTTAACATATTTTAGAATAATCAAGATAAAACTTTAACTATTTTTATAATTTATTTAAAATTATTGTTCTAGGTGGTCTGTTGGGTCTAGGAGCAAAAACTCTCAAGAATGAGCTCTCTGACAGGTACATGGAGGTTGCCAAAGGTATCACGAAAACTTGCCACGAGTCCTACGATCGTTCCGCTACCAAACTAGGCCCCGAAGCGTTCCGTTTCACCGATGCCATTGAAGCGAAAGCGCTGAAAAGCTCAGAAAAATACTACATCCTACGGCCGGAGGTGATTGAATCCTACTTCTACATGTACCGCCTCACCAAGGATCCCATCTATCGCCAGTGGGCATGGGAGGCTGTCCAAGTAAGTGCTGTCTTTAATTAATACTTATTGTTTGTGATTTGGTTCAAAATCGATATCGGCGCTTTGCTTTGAATCAAATCCAATACGGAATCACTCGCGTCTGCGATGTCCACCATGAGGTCGTAGAAAACGCTGGCGAAACGCGCGATTAGACGTACCCACATCTCCGTATAGCTGATTAGATCCGGCGGTGGTGCGTTGAAGTCAATATTGAAAAATGCGTCGAATTTTATTGTTATCAATCGGAATAGTGGTAACCAAACACGATCGGCAACGAATTGTATCAGTAAAATAAAATCACGGAGAGGTAGCGTAAGCGCATGATAGAGGAGTGCGTTTCCCAGTTCGTCCACGTTAAAAGTAATTCCGAAATTTGCCACTGAAATTTTATTTTTTGGAAAAAATTTAATTTATTTCTTATTGGTACTTACAAATAGCTTGGTAATTTGTTTGTTCGTTTGATTGTGCATTTACTACCGCAAAAATGCGGATAATATTAACAAAACACTTGATAACTTCATTTTTATTCTCTAATTAATTTTTATTTCTACAAAAGGAAGGTTTTTATTTTTAATTGTTTTGGGTAAATATTTAGCTGCTAGATAAGGGACGATGACGCAGTGGTGAATTGTTTATGATTTGTTTGTAATACGATCGAAATTAAGCCACAGCCCACCGAGTGGCACATTCATCACGCCCATGCCATCCAAATCCCACGGAAATTTCGGCGTTTCCTCATTTACGGACAAGTTAAAATTCTGTACAATCGCAATTATGCTCATTTTAGTTTGTAAACTGCCGAATTTACTTCCCAGACACTTTCGGGGACCTTCGCCGAACGGTAAATATGCGAAGCGGTTGATTTTCTCTTTATTTTCGTCATTGAAGCGTTCCGGTATGAATTTTTCTGGCTCTGGGAAATATTTCGCATCCATTTGTAGGCCAGCTGTGGGTACCACTACGATTGTACCCGGTTCGAGTGTTACTTCCGGTCCGGTGCCATTTTCTTTTGCCGGTGGAAGTTTATATGTTTGATTGCACAGTTTTCCGAGTGTCAGGAGTGCAACATGCATCCGCATCGATTCTTTGATGACACAATCTAAATATTGCATGTCTTGAATGGCTTCGAATGTTAAACTGCCGTGTTTACCGAGGACTTCATTAATTTCTCGGCGTAATTTCTGTTGGACTTGGACATTCGCTGCAATGTCGTACATTACGTGACTGATAGCAACTGCGCTTGTTTCGAAACCATCTAAAAAGAAACCTCCAGCATGAGCTAGGATATCATCCTCGCCGAAAACTTGATCGTTGTTGATTTTTGCGTGGAGGTCTTGCATTGCGTCTAGGAAATCGTTGCGGTTGATGTTATTTTCTTTGCGATAGCTGAGTGTTTCACGCACGATTTTGCGCAGAAAGTCGGTGATTTCGTCAAAAAAGAATTTCACTTTTAATATTTTGCTTAGTGATGGTACAATAAACAGGCAGAAACGTTTGAGGCCGTTTGCAAATGATGGGTGTGATAGTTTCCTGCCCATTTCGCGAAATTCTGAGTGTTCTTGTAGAAAACAGCCGCCATCTAAACCGAAGGCACAACTTGCGACATTCTCACAGGTTATTTTACTCGCCAGTTCTTTTGCCTCTAATACTTTTTCATTTCCAGTTGTTTTCTCTTGTAAATACCGCAGTAGTTTAGCATTGTTTGCGATGAATAACGGCATCATTGCTTTGACTTTTCCAGTTGTGAAGCTAGGCGTTATTTGTGCGCGTACGATTTTCCAGCGGTCGCCTTTCAGAACAAACGGGTTCTTACCAAAGATGATGTCATGTTCTTCGGATATATCAAAGTTATTATCGTGGAACGAAGGAAAATCTTTTACTAGAATATCACGGATTAAGTCGGTATCTCGCAGGACGATTCCTTTGCGTGTAAAATTATAAAATCCCACGTATCGAAATCCTTGGAAAGACCTGTGGAAAATCAAACATATAAAAATTAATGTACTTTAGAGTTAACGTATACTCACTGATAGATTTCCGTCATAATAACACCGAAATTCTTCTTGAATGTGCATGTGGGTCCCATATGCCCAACGAGGAACTGGTACGGAGGCGTCGGGACGCCGCGACGTTGCCAGTAGTGAAAAACATCGCGGTAGTAATTCCACACGATGAAAACAATGGTCACCGACCAAATCAACCAGTACATTTTAATGTCTTGTCACTAACTGCGCTAATCAACGACTAAAGTTATTTAAAGCTTTCAATACGGTTGAATGCAATGAAAAGGTCAATTTATATCAAGTTGTTTTGTTTAGTCGTAACATATTAATGTTTGAACAAGTTATGATAACATTTCGATGAACTGTGTGTTGATTTATTATCATTTCTTTGTTTCTTTTAGGCGCTGGAAAAGCACTGCCGAGTGGCTGGTGGTTACTCAGGGTTGAAGAACGTCTATGCTGAAGATCCAACACTGGACGATGTTCAACAGAGTTTCTTCTTAGCTGAAACATTAAAGGTATTCGCTTAATATGCTAAATTTTTAATCAAGTTTTAATGTTTTGTTTAAATTTGTTTCAGTATCTGTTTTTAATCTTCTCCAACGACAGTTTGATATCACTGGATGAATGGGTGTTGAACACTGAAGCTCATCCGCTGCCCATCAAGGGCGTGAATTCGTTTTATCGCGAAGCGGTTTAAATAAATTAAATCAATTCAATTTCGAGAGGGAAACTAATGTGCAGCAGATGACTCAGAGGATATTATTTCATAATTTATTTTACTTGGATATTATTACTAGCGCGCGGACAGACAGAAACAAAAAGGTTGTTATAAAGTTAGTTGTAATCGTATCATCATACACTCTAGGCAAATATTAATTAAAAGTAAATACAATCTAGATTAGTACTGTGATCGAGAGCGTGCAAGCGAACATGTATATAATAATATGTAATGGACTTGAGATCATTAACAAACAGAGGAAATTTCGTAGCATACTGTGCGAGTCTTTGTTTTATAAAGACTTTGTTGATGATATGGTTTGTAAATACTTATATATCATGATGGACCATGTTATTATATATATATATACATTTGTTTTTTGGAAAACTAATCTCACACGTCCAGCTGCCAACACCAAAACATTTTTGTTGTTGTCTTCATTCCGCAGAATTGTCAATTCTTACACGTGTATAAACGATATATTCTTAATCTTAGATTAATTACGCTAGTAACGATTTTAATGTAGTCCAGTTAAGAAAGAATATTTATTTTACTGTTATCAAAAGCGTTTTTAGCGATAAATACTTTATTGTTACTTCAAGCCGAGAAATGCGACACTAAAGCATCACAACAATGTTTTGGAACGCTCTTGTATAATGTAAACTTATCCTGTTCGATGCATTGATATTGTTTGTGTTGATTTTTTGGTGATAACTGTAATATACCCAATTATTTATCAAGTAATTGGTTGGTTCCTTGAGTTGGCTACCCTGTATGGGATCTTGTTTGTTGCAAATAGTGTGCGCGTGCGCGCAATATATTCGTGGGTTGTCGCGTGCCGCTGCTGATTGCGCTTTGTGCTCAGCGCAGTTTTATACCGGTCGTTGGTGGTAGCGTACGTGTTTCTCGCGGTTGTTATCTTTTTATTTTGAGTTTTAAATTCGGTAAATCGCGTTCATTTCGATCGTCCATTGACTGCATTTTGTTGTTACTCACGTGTTTCGTGTTTTATTAGTAGATAATCGGGTGTCGAATATATAAAATCATTAATTTTCTTTGCGAGTGCGTTTTGCAAAATGGCCGCGTGCTATCAACTAGTTTACACTGCGCGTTCGCGAGATACAGGTAGCATAAACCTGCAACCTACAACGTCGTGCGTTTGTTGTGATGTTATTTCGTTTAATTGCGATCTGTTCGGTCAACCATCGTCGGTAATCTTTGATAATCGTCGTGTTTGGTATTTTGCGGACTTGTGCGTGAGCCATCTTGCCGTAGGACCATGGACAATGTTTTGGGTGGAAGCCGAGAAAGAACGGTAAGGTGCAGACTTTTTATTTTCCTTTTTTTGACAGTTTTGTCTGTTTTATTCACCTATTAGTCCTTGCATTGTTCTAGTAGTTTTATTCATACGCGTGCATTTTAGCCGACTTTGTTAAATATTTGCCCGATCAATGGAGAGCAGTGCACATCGTTTAATTTTGTATTATAATACATTTGCATATATTTAGCATTGTCACAAGTGATCGTATAGTTTCAATATACATATGTGACAATACCTGTGATATGTTTTTAACTTTGACTAATCTAAAACATATGGATAGTGAAGTAGGTGCTTGTGTTCGTGGAAGCAAGATAAATAAATGAGTTTTCAATGTGCTAGAGTAGGACAGGAAAAATATACTTTTTGAATACTTTTTTACGACGATTTTCGATAATGAATATCTCTTAAACTAAGCGTTATAGCAACCAACGAATTGTTGATTATGAAAGATTGGAAAATTCACTATAGATAAAAATATAAAATAATTCTATTTCCTACAGTAAAAGGTCGAAAAACGCGACTAAAAGTGCTAAAAAGTGACATTTTGCAATTTTTGCCCATTTTATTCAATCGCGAATATCTCGTAAACTAAAAGAGATAAATAAGATCTGATCGCAGCGTCTTAATCTACGGACTAAACTTTATCAGATAGGATAGTTAAAAGGGAAATATGAGAGACAAAATTTTAAGTCTTAAGAAAAAAATTGCCAAGGGGGGGTGCTTGATACTTTTTTTCGACGATTTTCAAAATTCATATCTCTTAAACTAAAAGCAATAGCAACCCACGAATTGTTGATTATGATAGATTGGAAAATTATCTATCAGACAAAAATATAAAATAATTATATTTCCTACAATAAAAGGTCGAAAAACGCGACTAAAAGTGCTAAAAAGTGACATTTTGCAATTTTTGCCCATTTTATTCAATCTGAATATCCTGCAAACTAAAAAGAGATAAATAAGATCTGATCGCAGCGTCTTAATCTACAGATTAAACTTTATCAGATAGGATAGTTAAAAGGGAAATTTGAGAGACAAAATTTTAAGTCTTAAGAAAAAAATTGCCAAGGGGGGGTGCTTGATACTTTTTTTCGACGATTTTTGAAAATTCATATCTCTTAAACTAAAAGCAATAGCAACCCACGAATTGTTGATTATGATAGATTGGAAAATTATCTATCAGATCAAATTATAAAATAATAATATTTCCCACAGTAAAAGGTCAAAAATTGCGACTAAAAGTACTAAAAAGTGACATTTTGCAATTTTTGCCCATTTTATTCAATCGCGAATATCTCGTAAACTAAAAGAGATAAATAAGATCTGATCGCAGCGTCTTAATCTACAGACTAAACTTTTATCAGATAGATAGTTAAAAGGGAAATAAGTGAGAGATGTAAAATTTTAAGTCTTAAGAAAAATTGCCAAGGGGGTGCTTGATACCTTTTTCGACGATTTTGAAAATTATATCTCTTAAATTAAAAGCAATAGCAACCTTAATGAATTGGTTGATTGCGATAGATTGAAAATTATCTATCAGGACAAAAAATATAAAATACCAACTTCCTACAATAAAAGGTCGAAAAAACGCGACTAAAAGCAAGCAAAAGTAACATTTTGCAATTTTGCCCATTTTATTCAAACGCGAATATCTCGTAAACTAAAAGAGATAAATAAGATCTGATCGCAGCGTCTTAATCTACGGACTATTTTCTATAAGATAGGCTAGTTAAAACGTAGATCTCGAGAGATGAAATTTAATTTAGTGTGATGTTTTGAAACTTGTAGTACCGATTTTCGCACGATATTTCACTATTGCTTATCAGTATTTGTTTGTGTAAAACAAGTTTTAGTTGCATTCCTGAGTTGACTATCCAGCATGCGACCTGTTCTGTGCGTTGTGTTCCGGGCGTACGCGCAGTACTTTCGTGGGGTTGTAGCGCTGCTGAATGCGCGGTGTGCCTGTGCAGTTTTGTGCCGGTCGTTGTTCTTGTTAAATGTGTTTTCGCGGCTATTATCATTTTATTTTTGAGTTTGTACTTCCTGTAAATCGCGTTCATGCAGATTACTGTCCATCGACCGCATTAAAATATATTAGTGGCGTGTTTAGTGTCTTTATTAGTTGATAATCGGGTATAGAATATACGAAATCGTTAATTTTCTTTGCGTTCGTTGTGGCGTTCTGTATCAGATTGTGTAAGTACTAGTTCCTTTATCATTTTCCTAAATAATCTTTTTATGATTATCGCAATAAATTGACCTCCAAAATTGCATTTTTATGTTTGAAGGACTAATTTTTTGCTTGTTTTAGGATTTTGTACCTGAGTCTGACATCGTAGAAGGACCATTCTAGTATCAGATTGTAAGTAATTAATTCCCTTTATCATTTTCCCAAATAACTTTTATGAATATCGTACAAATTGGACCTCCCCAAAATTGCATTTTATGTTCGGAAGGACTAATTTTGCTTGTTTTAGGACGGCACCTGAGTCTGACATCGTAGAAGAACCATTCTTGATAGTTGTGTGTATACGCACTTGTACTCGTTGCGCTACGAATTGTAGTTTTTTTGCTATAACCCGCGAGCGCGGTGTCACAGTAAATTCGAATTTATGTTCCTTGGTGCAGAATTTAATTCCGTATCTCCAGTATTAAAAATTAATTGGTTAAAAATCTGTACGCGAGTTATATTGATAGTTGTGTGTATATGCAATAGTACTCTGCTGCGCTACGAATTGTAGTTTTTTTGCTATAACCCGCGAACGCGGTGTCACAGTAAATTCGAATTTATGTTCCCTGGTGCAGAATTTAATTCCGTATCTCCCAGTATTAAAATTAATCGCCAAAAAATTCCGTAACGCGAGTTATATTGATAGTTGTGTGTATATGCAATAGTACTCGTTGCGCTACGAATTGTAGTTTTTTTGCTATAACTCGCGAACGCGGTGTCACAGTAAATTGAAATTACGTCTTCGATGCAGAATTACCCTGTGGCCTCCCAGTATTAAAATTAATTGCCAAAAAATTTCGTAACGCGAGTTATATTGATAGTTGTGCGTGTATACGTTAATCTCTGTACTCGTTGCGCTACGAATTGTAGTTTTTGCTATGCAACCCGCGAGCGCGGTGTCACAGTAAATTGAATTTATGTTCCCTGGTAGAATTTAATTCCGTATCTCCCAGTATTAAAATTCATCAGTTAAAAAATTCGTAACGCGAGTTATATTGATAGTTGTGCGTATATGCATAGTACTCGTTGCGCTACGAATTGTAGTTTTTAAGTAACCCGCGAACGCGGTGTTTGCATATTTTTGTTGCATATTTGATAAATGTGTTTTGAAGTTGGATAAATATTTTCAGTTAAGTTAGATGGCGCTACGATGTACGTAGGTTTTGCATTAAATATTGCTTGTTGGTGGTAGTGAGTGTACCACCGTGTCCGTGTGCGATCACGCGATTTCGCGCAAGAGAGTAAGTTTGTTTACCTGCAGGTATCGAATCTTTATTTCGTGGAATCAAAACACACCGTTGCTGTTTATTATATTAGCATTGTAAATTTTAAGCAAATATTCTTCAATTCTTTCATGAACATACAGTACCGGCGTTAGGGCATGGCGCGGAAAGTTGGGCGAGCGCCCAGGGGCGCTGACTCCGCACTTGGCCGGTTTTTTCTGTAAGGTTTGAATTGCAGTTAGGAGCGCAGAAATTCTGTTCAGGGCGGCTGGTAGTGCTAAAACTGGCACTGGTGCCAAATGCAATTCGTGCACATGCACACATTTGGGCATTTCTTACTTTCTTACTTAATACTGTTGCTTGCGCGGCTACGGCTTGTGCTATCGATTCAGCCAGTTTCTGTGTCGGTCGTGAGCCAGCAACTGTATTGTTACCGGACTTCTGTTTTTTATAAATTTGCGTTATATTTGATTATAAATCGACTATTTAATTGTAGCTTCTAGCTTATAATAAATAAATAATAAATATCATTAGCCTAGTAGCCTATGTAGTAGCTCATTAGCTCTGTATATACATATACATTATTTGTAATGGAAAAATTAATTTTCTGTTTTTCCCAATCTTAGACATTCCTAAATTCAATTAATTTTTCCTATGCTGAGAAATATTGAAAAGTAAAAGTAGATTTCTGTGTATGTCGGTTAGTTTCAACATTGTGATATTTACTAGTTCCTCTTTCATCTACGCAGTTTATCAGTACGTTTGTGTATAAACAACTTTTTGTGTTCGACTGACGCGTATTATCGCTTCCGTACCCAGCCTTGTACTCCGACTAAGCAAAAGCGCACACGGCAGTCGTTTCACCGCGTGGTCCGCGAACGTGTTCTAATCGCCATGCGTTTTGAGGTTTTAATTAGATTAATCGTCGGATACTTTTTGACCACGGCAAAATATATTCGCAATGGGTATGTGTGCCTGATTGTTTAATGATTTGTCACGTTTGGAGTCTCTTTAAATAAGAAATAAGTGTCCACATCAATCTGTGCGTGTGTGTTTTCAGGTGATAGAATATATTCCAGGATATAAAACTTCATCAATGCATATAGGTAGGTGTAATTAAATTTTTGGCTTTGAAACTTACGCCGGCTTAACTTAAATTGAATTTTCTATTTGGAGTGATATGAAATTTGCATGTATCATCTTGCGAATAAAAACACATGGTATGTAGTGCATTTTTACCAGAATTCTTAGTTCCGTTTCCGAAAATAACATGGATGATTTAATTACTACAAATACTGTTTTGCCAAAAAGTATCTGAAGATTGGCTATTATTGGCAATATTCATAAGGGTCGACCACTACTTGCCGCGTCGGCCGTCGGCTCGGCTTCGTCTTTTCTGCAGAACACGTGAATGTTTTATTTGCACTCCTTAGTACAATTAAATTTAAAGCTTCTTGTTGAGCTAGTAAAATTTTACACGTTTTCGTTTCTATAGTCTCTGTACGTCTTAACATTTACAAAAATGAACAATAAGTTATTTTTATCCTCTAACAATTGTGGTTTGCTACGTACGTCGCTTGCCGTCAGTTGATTTGAATGTTTTCCATGGATATTCTATCAATTTATGATGATGTTTTTACCTGTCGGTTACTTTATGCAGTTGATGCATCACTAATAAATATATACTTTTCAATATATTAAAAATATTGTTGTTTATTTGTAAATTTCCCTCTTCATGTTGTGAATAATATTAACTCCCTTGTAGTTTCTAAAGTTTTCTTTGTTTCAACTATAGAGATTTTCTTCTTAAACACCCTGTATTCATTTATCTTTGTGTCCGTGAAAATTTTGTTTTAACTGTTGTTTTAGAGTTTTCCTCATTGCCCTTTAAATTTTCTTTTGTGACAATTCTGTATATTATTTCCTGGAGCCTCGGGTGAAAAAACGTACGATATTTGAAGTAAGTTAAAATGTTTTTCTGTTTTCATAGTAAATTTTTCTATTTGTAACACTGCATTATTTCCATTTTCAACCCTCAGAAAATAAGCCATTTACACTCTCATTATTACGGTAGAACTGTACGAAGTGGTACTTGCTTATATGTGCGCGGCTTAGCAGGTCGTAAGTCCGGTTTCAATATGGCGACATGTATTCTGTTGACATGTAAAATCTAAACTTGTATTCTATTGTTAATAAATAAATAGTAAGATATATTGACTTATTTGATTGTGTGTGTTCGCTTCTATCATTTCAGGAACAGGTCTCTATGAGAGTTCCCTCTCAGGGATGATCCCCTCTATAAAAATAGTTAAGGTAACCTGTATGATTTGTGTGTACTCCATCTTCATTTCAGTTACAGGTAAGAACTTGTAAGAATATTTTGCGTCCCTCTCTCTGAGGCACGAAACTAGAAATATTTTTATGTTCTGAAAGGGGATGTCCTTATAAGTGAGTTCTCCCACCTCGGGACATCCCCCACCATAAAATTGCTGATATGCCTGATAATTCCGGGATGAAGCGCGGCAGAGACAATGTAGCTGGGGAAGCCGGCCGGGAGCAATGGACGGACTGAAGCAGTGAGCGATCGACCAGAGCGCCGGAGGCGCTCTGGGAGATCGACTCCAGACTGTCTTGTGAGTAACGACACGTGCCAAAAAAATTTAAAAATTCATCCTCTCCTGTTCTCTTCTCCCATTCCTCCTCTCTCTGCTCTACCTCTCTGTTCTCTTCCTTCTGTCCTCTCCTATGCCCCTCCCCTACTAATTCTTCTTCTATTTCTCTGTTCTCTCTCGTTCTCCATTTACTTTCATACATCTCTCATTGCTCCACTTGTATTTCAATTTCATATTTCGTTGCACCATATATGCAACCCAAATTTCACCTGATATTTTTATATTTGAGAAAAATGCCTTCCACACCTGAGATTCGATCCGTGTCTACTGTATTGCCAGCAGGTGCACGTCTCCACTCGACCACCGAGTGTTTTTATCATTTATATTTGATTCTTCTATTTATGTTTCTACTTTATTCAACTTTTGAAAACAACAAGACAACACAAACAACGGCTATATATTGTACACGCTCAACGCACTAAGTATATATGGAATATTATTAAGACATCAATCCTGCAAACGGCAAAGGGGAAACCAGAAAGAAATATGAAGAAGTATATAATATTACATTATGTTTTATTAGCAACATTTAAAACCACATACATTTATTTAAAGTCGAAAATCATAGACAGCTCTTAAATTTCCCTAAAGGAAAACTTGCCTTGTAATATGCGTGTCTCTAACATTTCTGCGACGGAAGCGGTAGACTCTTTGGCACAAATGCTCCTAAACTTCTTCAACAGGCATCAACGTTGTTTATTTATACTAATTAAAACACACAAATACAAGGTGCAAGCAAAACATTAAAACACAAACAACTATAATACAATACAAATATTTACATATAAAAACTACTCCTACGTGGACAGTACAACAAACATGTATGTACCTACACATTAATACATAAGACTATACAGCAAAGTCATATATACACAATAAAAAGATGCTTTCAAGTTCTACATACAGAATTACATAACACAAACAGCAATCAAGGAAATGTGCTCAAGAGGATGACACGCACAAACAAATCTAGGATTACGCGCACTGTTGCTGAAGCCTCTCTAACAGACACCGCGCTGAAAATTCTAGGCCACTCAATAACAATGCATGCACGAATAGGTGAATTAAAATAAAGAAAGTCACCAGTTTACCGTTCTATCACGTCTTTCTCGAAGAAGAATGTCATTGTTCCTATCCATTGTCCTAATAATATCACAACAAACATTACAAGAAGTTGCAGGTTCATGCTATCCGTATCTCGCGAGCGTGCAGTGTAAATACTCGTAAGTTGATAACACACGGCCATCTTATATATGTTGCAGTCAAAGTGTACATTACAGTCAATGTATACATTGACTAGTCAATGCAAAAATCACCCTTTTATGCAAATTTTCGCCGGTTACAAGTCGAATTCCTGCAACAAACGAACACCACGCGACGGAGAATTTAATTCCGCATCTCTAGACGCTGCACTGAAGTGAATACGCCGCCTAGATCGCGTGCAAACCCGCAAAAATACAAACATTTCACGAGAAAAGGGTGAAAAAGTCACCCTTTTATGCAAATTTTCGTGGGTTGCAAGTCGAATTCCTGCAACAAACAAATACAGCCCGACTAAGAATTTAATTCCGCATCTCTAGACGCCGCGCTAACGATAGTGAGCCGCCTAGATCGCGCACAAACACGAAAAAATACAAACATTTCACGAGAAAGGGTGACAAAAATCGCCCTTTTATGCAAATTTTCGCGGGTTACAAGTCGAATTCCTGCAACAAACAATTACCACCCGACGAAGAATTTAATTCCACATCTCTAGACGCCGCGCTGAAGTTAATACGCCGCCTAGATCGTGCGCAAACCCGAAAAAATACAAACATTACACGAGAAAAGAGTGAAAATGTCACACTTTTATGCAAGTTTTCGTGGGTTGCAAGTCGAATTCCTGCAACAAACAAATACCACTCGACGGACAATTTAATTCCGCATCTCTAGACGCCGCGTTGAAGTTAATACGCCCCCTAGATCGCGTGCAAACCCACAAAAATACAAACATTTCACGAGAAAAGGGTGAAAAAGTCACCCTTTTATGCAAATTTTTGCGGGTTTCAGGTCGAATACCGGCAACAAGCAAATACTACCCGACGGAGAATTTAATTCTGCATCTATAGACGCCACGCTGAAGTTAGCGAGCCGCTTAGATCGCGCGTAAACACGAAAAAAATCAAAAAAGGTGATTTTTTTCATGCAAATTATCGGCGGGTTCATACGGTGCCCTGAACACGAGTCACTTCTACCGCTAACAAATACAACCCGACGGAGAATTCATTTCTACAACTCTAGACACCCCGCTCAAGTTTGTGTGACGCCCAGCTCGCGTTCAATGATTAAAAAGCCGTACATATCGTATTACCAACACGTGGGGATAAGTACAAAACAAACACTTACTTACATATACTACATACCAGTATTACACTCGTCGCAACACTCAGGACTAATGTTGATGATGATAAAATCTCTGAAATAAATGACATTATTAGAGGGAAATGCGGGAAGAAGTGTCAATATTTATTTTATTTTAAATCAGGAGTCGACCGACGAAGCGAATCAAATTCGCATTCTAATTTAGCTCGTGACTCGGGCATCAGAACTCGAAAGTAATTGCTGAAACAAAGAAGAAAACGATAGTTAGAACATTGCGTGCAAGTAATGACAGTAATAAACAATAAGGCAGACACAAAACATGCAATAAAACTTCTCAGCGAAGTGTAAAATATGATATAAATGCGACTCGAAAACTTGTTTATACACAAACAAATACTGATTAGCAATAGTAGAATTCCGCCCAGGAATCGCATTAAAAAGTTTCAAAGCAATCGGCGAAAATAGGTATTGTCACATTGCATATTAAAACAATATGGCCGCTTGCGACGGTCCTTAATAGATCGCTTGATCATGGCCAAGATTAGGGCGCAGAATTCACCACAAAGTAAAGTTATATCACATTTAAATACAGTAATACTAGATACGGTTAGATAAGCATGTTCACAACAATAACAAGATATCGTTCCAACTCGGTCTAAGCAAAAACGTAACTGCACTCTATGATTAAAACTTGTAGAACAATACAAACAGAAATGTATGAATTAAAATTTAAAAAAGTTTGCACTGTACCGTTCTTCCTTGGCTTTCACGAAGAAGTTTGTCATTGTTCCAATCCATTGTCCACATAATATCACAACAAACGTTGCGAGACGTTGCATGCTATATGTATCTCGTGTACGTGCAGTGTAAACCAGTTGATTGCACGCGGTCATCTTGCAATACGCACACCGAACGGCAACAAAAATTAACGATTTTGCAATAAAACACTAGACACGCCCGTAATAGCAAAATGCAGTTGATGGACAATATAAAAATGCGATTTGCTAAATTACAAACTCAAAATACAATGATAAACAGCCGCGAAAAACACGTCTGGCTTAACCACCGACCGGCAGAAAACTACGCTGCGAACGTGAGTATGCGTGAAAACACGGCGCAGCAAAGCGCGCGTTAAATCTAAGTAACAATAATAACAACGCGAAAATCCTGCGCGCACGCCGGTTGAAACGGGCACTATTTGCAACAAACAAGACGCATGCATCCACGCATAGCAGGCAGCTGCTTTACTATCCACATTGCTAACTAAAGTGAAATGACGGATATACCATAGCTATTGTCACATTGTATATTGCGCATTGCGCGCTCGCTCGCGACGATACTAAATGAATTATATTGCAAAATCAAAGAAATACCGTAAGTATTGGCGCATACGCCCATTGAAGTCATTAGACCACGTGCCCCAATACGAAATATATGCAAATAAATTATGATAAATATGTACAAATCGCAGAGACTATTCTACGGACTCATTCTCTATAAGATAGGCTACAAAGGGAAATCTGAGAGATGAAATTTTATTCTTAAGAAAAATTGCTATGTTGAAAATCTATATCTCTTAAACTAAAGAGATAGCTTACCAACGAATTCCGTTGATTATGAAAGATTGGAAGACTTCATCAGATAAAATATAAAATAATTATATTTCCACAGAAAAAGGTCGAAAACGCGTGAGTAAAAGTTCCAAAAGTGACATTTTTCAATTTCTTGACGATTTAATTCAATCGCGAATATCTCGTAACCAAAAAGAGATAAATAAGATCTGATCGCGCGTCTTAATCTACGTGAGTAATCTTTATCAGATAGGATAGTTGCGCGAAATATGAGAGACAAAATTTTTATTCTAAGAAAAATTGCCAAGGGGGTGCTTGATACTTTTTTTCGACGATTTTCAAAAATTCATATCTCTTTAAACTAATAGAGATAGCTACAACGAATTGTTGATTATGAAAGATTGGAAGATTCTCTATCAGATAAAAAATATAAAATAATTATATTTCATACAGGAAAAGGGACGAAAAACGCGAGTAAAAAGTGCTAAAAGTGACATTTTTCACTTTTGGACGATTTAATCTTAATCGCGAATATCTCGTAAACTAAAAGAGATAAATAAGTATCTGATCGCAGCGTCTTAATCTACGGAGTAATCTTTATCAGATAGATAGTTAAAAGGGGAAATATGAGAGACAAAATTTTTATTCTTAAGAAAATCGCTAAGGTGCTTTTGATACTTGACGATTTTCAAAAATTCATATCCTTAAACTAATAGAGATAGCTAACAACGAATTGTTGATTGGCGAAAGATTGAAGACTTCTATCAGGATAAAAATATAAAATAATTATATTTCATACAGGAAAAGGACGAAAAACGCGAGTAAAAGTGTATAAAAGTGACATTTTTCAATTTTGACGATTTAATTCAATCGCGAATATCCTTAAACTAAAAGAGATAACAAGATCTGATCGCAGCGTCTTAATCTACGGAGCAATCTTTACTCAGATAGATAGTTGGTAAAGGGAAATATGAGAGATGCAAAATTTTTTATTCTTAAGAAAAACTTAAGCAAGCGGGGTGCTTGATACTTTTTTCGACGATTTTCAAAATTCGGCCCCTTAAACTAATAGAGATAGCTAACAACGAATTGTTGATTGCGAAAGATTGGAAGATTCTATCGTGATAAAAATATAAAATACCATATTTCATACAGGAAAAGGACGAAAACGCGAGTAAAAGTGCTAAAAAAGTGACATTTTTCAATTCTTTGACGATTTTATCTAATCAAGCAATATCCTCGCAAAACTAAAAGAGATAAATAAGATCTGATCGCAAGCGTCTTAATCTACGGAGTAATTTTATCAGATAGGATAGCTAAAGGGAAAATATGAGAGACAAAATTTTATTCTTAAGAAAACGCCATAAGTGCTTGATAATTTTTTTCGACGATTTTCAAAAATTCATATCTCTAAACTAATAGAGATAGCCAACAACGAATTGTTGATTGCGAAAGATTGAAGATTCCCATCAGATAAAATACAAAAATAAATTATATTTCATACAGGAAAAGCGACGAAAACGCTGAGTAAAAGTGCTAAAAGTGACATTTTTCACCTTTTGACGCAGATTTTTATTCAATCAGCGTGAATATCTCGTAAACTAAAAGAGATAAATAAGATCTGATCGCAGCGTCTTAATCTATGAGCAATCTTTATCAGATAGGATAGTTAAAAGGAATATGAGTGCGTAAATTTTTATTCTTAAGAAGTACCAAAGGTGCTTTGATACTTTTGCATGATTTTCGCAAATTCATATTCTTAAACTAATAGAGAGATAGCTACCAACGAATTATTGATTATGAAAGATTGGAAGATTCTCTATCAGACAAAAATAATATGTACAATTCTATATTTCCTTACAGTAGTATCGAAAAACGCGACTGTGCGCGCTAAAAGTGACATTTGCACGCTCCATTTTATTCAATCGCGAATATCTCTGCAAACTAAAAGAGATACCTAAGATCTGATCGCAGCGTCTTAATCTACAGACCACCCTCTATCAGATAGGCTATTTAAAGTGGGAAATCTGAGAGATGAAATTTAAGTCTTAAGAAAATTGCCAAGGGGCGCTTGATACTTTTCGACGATTAAAAATTCATATCTCTTAAACTAAAAAGAGATAGCTACCTAAACGAATTATTGATTGGTGGCAAAAGATTGAAGATTTTCATCAGACAAAAAATATAAAATAATTATATTTCCTACAGTAAAAGGTCGAAAACGCGACTAAAAGTAAAGCAAAAGTGACATTTTTTCACCCTTTTGGACGATTTAATCAACGCGAATACCCTGCAAACTAAAAGAGATAAATAAGCATCTGATCGCAAAGCGTCTTAATCTTACGGAGTAATCTTTATCAGATAGTGATGTTAAAAAGGGAAAATGAGAGAAAAATTTTATTCTTAAGAAAAATTGCCAAGGGGGTGCTTGATACAATTTTTTCGACGATTTTCTGCACTATATCTCTGTAAACTAATAGAGATAGCTAACAACGAATTGTTGATTATGAAAGATTGAAGATTCTTATCAGATAAAAATATAAAATAATTATATTTCATACAGTGAAAAGGACGAAAACGCGAGTAAAAAGTGCTAAAAGGACATTTTTCACCTTTTGACGATTTAATCTAATCGTGCGAATATCTCGTAAAACTAAAAGAGATAAACAAGATCTGATCGCAGCGTCTTAATTCCACGGAGTAATCTTTACTGGTGATAGGATAGTTAAAAGGGAAATACAGAGACAAAATTTTTAATTCTTAAGAAAAAATTCGCTGGCAAGGTGCTTGATACTTTTTCGACGCAAGATTTCAAAAATTCATATCTCTTTAAACTAAAAGAGAGATAGCTACCAAACGAATTGTTGATTATGCAGAAAAGATTAAAAGACTTTCATCAGACAAAATATAAAATACCATATTTCCTACAGTGTTGTCGAAAACGCGTGACTAAAAAGTGCTAAAAGCGACATTTTGGTACCTTTTGCCCATTTTATTCAATCGCGAATATCTTCGTAAAATCCGGGGTATAATTAAGATCCGATCGCAGCGTCTTAATTCACAGACCAATCTCTATCAGATAGGCTAGTTTTAAAGCGGGAAACTTGAGAGATGAAATTTTAAGTCTTAAGAAAAAATCGCTATGGGTGTTGATACTTTTTTTCGACGATTTTCAAAAAATTCATATCTCTTAAACTAAAGATAGCTACCAACGAATTGTTGATTATGAAAGATTGGAAGATTCTATCAGACAAATAAAATATAAAATAATTATATTTCCTACAGTAAACGGCTATCGAAAACGCGACCTGCAAAGTGCTAAAAAGTGACATTTCGTACCTGCCCATTTTATTCAATCGCGAATATCTCTCAAACTAAAAGAGATACTCAAGATCTCATCGCGCAGCGTCTCAATCTACAGACCAAATCTCTATCAGATAGGCTATTTAAAGTGAAATCTGAGAGTATTTGAAAATTTTAAGTCTTAAGAAAAAATTGCCGGGCAGTGCTTGATACTTTTTCGACGATTTTCAAAAATTCATATCTCTTTAAACTAAAGAGATAGAAATGTTTGAACGAATTGTTGATTAAGGAAAGATTGGAAGATTCTCTATCAGACAAAAAATATAAAATAATTATATTTCCTACAGTGTGTTATCGAAAACGCGACTAAAGTGCTAAAAGCGACATTTTGCAATTTTGCCCATTTTATTCAATCTCCAATATCTCTGTAAACTATTAAAAGAGATGCATTAAGATCTGATCAAAGGTCTTAATTCCAGACCAATCTCTATCAGATAGGCTATTTCAGTGAAATCTGAGAGGATGAAATTTTAAGTCTTAAGAAAATTCGCTACAGTGCTTTGATACTCTTTTTTCGACGATTTTCAAAAATTCATCTCTTAAAACTAAAAAGAGATAGCCACCAAATCGAATCGTTGATTATGAAAGATTGAAGATTCTCATCAGGATAAAATATAAATAACATATTTCCCTGCAGAAAAGGGTCGAAAATCGCGAGAGTAAAGTGCTAAAAAGTGACATTTGCAATTCTTTTTGCCTTCCATTTTATCTCAATCGCGAATATTCAAACTAAAAAAGAGATAATTAAGATCTCATCGCAGCGTCTCACCGCCAGACCAATCTCTACTGTGATAGGCTATTTAAAGGAAACCCAGAGATGAAATTTAAGTCCTAAGAAAAATTCGCTAAGGGTGCTTGATACTTTTTCGACGATTTTCAAAAATTCATATCTCTTAAACTAGTAAAAGAGATAGCTACTAACGAAATTATTGTTGATTATGAAAGATTGAAGATTCTTCATCACAAAATATAGTACAATTATATTCCTACAGTAAAAGGTCGAAAACGCGACTAAAAGCGCTAAAAGTGACATTTTGCAAAATTTTGCCCATTTTATTCAATCTCGAATATCTCGTAAACTAAAAGAGATAAATAAGATCTGATCGCAGCGTCTTAATCTACGGACTATCTCTATAAGATAGCGGAAAAAAAGAACAAAAATGGGCAAGGGGATGCTTGATAATTTATGTCCACGATTTTCGACAGTGCATATCATGTAAACAAAAACTAAACAGTTAATTTTCAGATGCATCAGCCGGGTACGCGACTATCTGATGTATTTGCAACACGCGGTGGAACGCGATAAAACAAAACAACAGAAATACAAACTAAAGTACGACGCAGAAATTAAAACTTATAATTGAATTATAAACTTACCAATGCAAAACTCATGGGACTCCAAGCCGTGGCTAACACTGTAAATAAAAAAAGAAAACATAAGTAAAACAAAAATATTTCATACGACTTAGTAATATTATAATCACACAGTGGAGAAAAACAAACAATCTGTGCTGCTTTGTTGAAAGTATCGAGTACTTACATCAGCACAATTGGTCATCGTAATGATAATATCAAATCAACATGGGGGCAATACACTAAACCGACATTTATAGAAAATACACGCGCAAACTTTCGTCACAAATTACAATTTAATAGTCGATTGATGACTTAATATAATGCAAATTTGGATAGTGGAAGACCGAACAAACAATCCGAGTCGCGTGAAGTACGTCTGAATCAACCAGAAACCGGCACGAAACTGGCCGCAATCCGTGAATGCCGTAGCCGAGCAAGCAACGACGCGATAGTTTATGATAAGAAAGCAAGAGGTGCGCAAAGCCGGCGCGTCGACTGCCCGAGACCTTGTGCGCGAATTGCATTCAGCACGTTATCTGCGATCAAAACAAAACTAAGATGCGGCAACGTGCGGCGTGAGGGGATCGCATGCGTTGCATTCCATGCGGCGAATGCGATAAGAAAGTGAAAGTTGTGTTCAAAACAAACACAATTCTCGTGTCGAATGCTCGCGCTTCTTGATAGCTATAGAAATAAACAATACATGTCTATTTTATGATTTTTAGTTCATGCTAGTGTCATCTATAAATGATACAGGTAAAAGTCTCACAATTTAGATTTAGTAATAAAATTAATGATAAATTAACACTCGATTTATGTAATTCTAAACTGAACTAAACTGAAATCTAGGTACACCGCAAACACATTCTATAAACAATGAAGTTATTTTACTTACACGTCTATCGAACACGCTAAATCGACAGCAAATTGGTAGATCCTGAAAAAAAGGGAAACAAAACATTAGTTACAGCATTTCATGACATGGTGAAATGAATCTGAGTTCCGTCAGAATCCAGTTTTGAATTAAAAATCCTGTTAATCGTATAATAATGATAGGAATGACAATATTTACCTAGAAGCAGATTAGTCCATGCTCCTCTATTGATGACACAAATGTTTTGCACAGTCAATTAATTATTAGCGTTCACAAAATGTCGCCGGCCGTCGGTCGACGCCAACGGACACAACACGTAAATAAATTAAACGCAAAAATTTAGAACCACGAAGATTACACACGTGATTAATAACTAGTAGAAAACCGAACACGTCTATTAACACTAATTATTACCGGTGTTGAACCAAATATAACGCGATGAACCGAACTAACATCAAAGAATTACACACGCTGAAACTGTGGAATGTTTGCTCGTCGTTATCGCATCGATGCAACAAAATAAAATGCAATCGTTGCAATATTTCAGAGTTGAATCTGCATCGACGCGCCATCTGATGACACTTTATGGTACCTCAAGTACATACAAAGTGTTTCAAACGCATGTGAGTCAGTGCGGAATTCTCTATGAGGTAGTGAGTGGTCACGCACTTAAATGGCGGTGTCCGTGTGACACACGTACACGAAAGTATGTATGCACCACACAGTATAAATGAATAGCAATTTAATGCATAAATGCAGTGATTCAAACCTAGATGAGGCGTGATGTTGAAATTTCAAATTCAGTTTTCTGTATCAACCACACGGTTCAAAAGATATTATTGATATAATGATGTTTATATAATAAATAAAATGTAATAAAAAGGTAACATTTTCATAGAAAATATCTTAATATGTGATTTTACTAAATAATTAAATGGATTTAATGATAGCTTCCTTGCTGATGGTGGTCGGCTTAATGCGCGCTTCTTTACTGCAGCTGTCGGTTCGTACCCTTGAGACATTGTGTTGCGCCATTAATACGCTGAACTCTGGATGTTCCTTGACTTCCTTGAATATGCGATCCAATGTGACAAACACTTCGTCAGCGTTGTCTTTGGTGAAAATCATCGGCGGCTTCATTTTCAATACGTTATTGAAAGGTCCATCGACTGACATCAAAATACGGGATTTCTTAAGCTGTCGAGTGATATATTGCGCAATTTTAGTCGCAGGTTCCTTCGTTTCTCTATTGAGAACCAGCTCAAGACCCACAAAAAGACCCACACCGCGAACATCACCAATGAGAGGGTATTTCTTCATTAGCGCATGACAATGATCCAAAAGGTACTCGCCCACAACCAGGGCATTTTCTCGAAGGTTTTCTGTTTCAATTACGTCCATTACCGCGTTGGCGATGGCGCAACTCACTGGATTGCCACCATACTAGAAAGAATCAATTGAAATTTAAGTATTAATATATTCCTGATTGTTGACTGTGGTTGTTACTTACAGTGTTGAAGTACTCAACTCCAGTACGCGTAAAACTGTCTGCGATTTCTTTGCGCACGACCACAGCAGCGATAGGATGCCCATTTCCCATCGGTTTTCCAATTGTGACAATATCAGGAACAACTCCTTGCAGCTGGAAGGCCCAGTAGTGTTTACCAACACGACCGAAGCCAGTCTGGACCTCGTCAGCAATACAGATACCACCGGCATTTCTCACATGCTCATAAACACCCTGCAGATACCCAGGCGGCAGGAGAACCTGCCCGCCGCAGCTGAGCATGCTCTCTGCGATGAAGGCGCTCACGTTGCCGGCATTCTTCCTGCACATGTCGCCAATCTCGTCCACGTACCCAGCCGTTGGGTTGTCCACTTCACCAGCGCGGAAAATCCCACGATACACGTCCGGAATTGACGCCTGAAGACAATAATCAAACTCAAAATGAAGAAATCAACTCTCTGTATGTTATTTATTATACTAACCAGATGAACATGCTCCTTTTTGCCGACTCCACCAGGCAGATTGAACTTGTAGTGGGAGATGTCAATGAGCGATGTCAAGTGGCCGTGGTAAGCGCTAAAAAAACGATAAGTAGTGGCACATGTTGTACATCATCTCGCCGCGGATGGAATCATTCTTCTTAGACACATTATAAATTTACAACGGCACAATGATACGGAAAGCATAAATAATGGGGGCAGTTGGAGTTAGAGGGGCATTATCACTGACTCGAAACTCTGAAAAAATGATGATGCAGCACATTCTATGATGAACTTCGTCGCTTCCTGGTTCCAGCTGCCATCGATTGTATTTTTCCTGCATTGGTCGCATCCTTGACGTGCTCGCCCTTCTTCCTGTCGTCGAAGCCTGCTGTTCGTTCGCACATTGTATGCGTTTAGATAATATTTTCATGTTAAGAATGATATTCTGACATGTTTGAACGTTCAGCAGACTCGACCATCCGTCCTGCAGTGTACATTGCGTACAATGCTGTAAAAGATAAATGAAAATTCTCGCATTAGTCAAATGGTTTGCACAGCGTGAACACGAAGAGTGGTCTCGTGGACTCATCGTCTCGAGCGTCTGAAAGCAAACCGCCAAAAGCCAAACCAAAGTGTAATAAAAGACTTACTGTTCGAGCGTGATAACATCCTTATTTCCAGTGTGGATCTGCGCCAGGCGAAGAGCTAAATCATTGGCTTCCGAACCAGAGTTGACAAAATAGCAGACTGAAAGTTCTTCTGGCATTGTGGAGATGAGTTTCTGCGCGCATAGCACGATGTTATCATGCAGGAAACGATTGTTTGTGTTGAGGATGGTCATTTGGTCGACACCAGCCTTCACTACTTTCGGGTGACAATGACCAACTATTCAGAAAATATAGATTATGATTATATTAATAATTATATGTTGTAGTATAACTCACCATGGGCAACATTATTCATTGTGTCCAGATACGCTTCGTTGTTTTCATCGTACAAGTATTGTGCTTGACCACGAACAATCTTCAGGGGGTCCTCGCGGAAGAACAGCTGGCAGGATTGCCTAACACGAAAAAAGAAACAAATCAATATTAGTATCAACATATAATATTTACAAGGATGTCAATAATTACCCGATGTGTTTGTTTCGCAAAGAGATCGTTTCGTGTTTGCTGATCGCTTCCATTGTGTTCTATTACTATTCGTTGGATTTAGGAGGTTTGGCGGTCGTGATAAGACTGATTGGTCGAAATGCTTGCCGCAGTGGTTTTATAGCCGCCGACGAAATAGGGGGCCAACGTCCTCGCCGCTAGACGCACACTCTCACAGGACAAAATGGCGGGGAGAAAGTGCGCGCGCGTGCATTCGGGCCCAAATTTAATTACAGCAATGATCTATCCTTTATTTGTGTGCTTGCCAGCCTGGCAACAGTCACATCAACTGTTTTTACCTATGAATGACATGTTTATACTTCAGAAACATCAAAAAACCGCCGTAAACTTGTTTTAATCAAGTTGCAACAACGGACATCTCGTGTGCGTGCGTTTGTTTTGCACTCGCTGCGATTAATGACGAAATACTCAAAAATTGCTGACATGAGTGTACGCTTCAAATTATTATTATTGCGCAATTGCGACGCTTCGAATCGTCGTGGTGTTGGCTTATCAACACTTGCGGATCACGCGACCATCGAGCGCAACTCGCGTGCTGCGAGAACAATACCGCTTTATCTCTATTGACACATGGCGATTGTAGTAATAAATAATGACGCAAACTGTGGACCTGTGATCATAATAACAATTTCCGCTCGTGCTTCTTGTTTGCCCTTTAATTACCTACACGTGCGCCGCCATGACACCGCGTCGCTTGAACTCAAATATTTGCGCGCATTTTTGTTATGTTTCAACAAGCTGCAGACATCGCGAGACGCTAAAAATAAACGCGACGATTGCGAATTGAATTAAATAACCGTTAGCAACATATTGTAACATCAGATTTGTAACCGTAGCAACCGAATTAAACGTTTAATCAACTTGTTTGCGGTCGGGCGGCGAAATTGTTGATTTAAACCAATAAAGGTGAACAAGCGACGCCATGCACCTTTATTATTTCATACCACTTGACTCGGTTGCATAGAATTTAAATAATCACACGAGACTGTCACATGACAACCCAAATGATAACAACTCGATTATTGCACTAGTAACACGCTAATCATACGGATAATTTCATGATAACCTTTGTATGGGAAAAATGTCGCTTGTAATCGTGTCGATTCACATTTTAGCAAATGATGCTGGTGCATATCTAATCGTAGTCCAAAAATAACAGCATTTCACAATTTCACAATCAGCGATATTAATATTTAAGTTTCTGTTCTTTATTCATGCTTACGTCTAAAATGTTTATAATTAATTAGTGTAAATAATGAAAGTATCATGATCTCGCCTGATAGATTACGTCTCTGCCGAATATTTAGTAATTACATCGATATTATAATATGTATAGTGAATTACATGATATCAACACTTAGTTATTCGAGTACTAATTAGCCATGTAATATTTAAATATGATACATAGATGAGAATCGCGCGCAATCAATATCAATACGGATAGTAGATAAATAGATAAATCGTTAGACAGATATAGATATTTAGATATATAGATGTACATCATACATAAATATAATTAATAATATTATCAGGCACTGAATTTACTTTCTTCATTTTCTTCTTCTTCGACTTTACTTAGCTATGTGTGGGTGTGGGTCGTCACACGCCGGCGCGACATTCGTTCGAATACGTGAGGTAAATGTGTGTGTGTGAGAGACGTGTAAAAAAAATATTGCTGTTGTCGGGTTTTTGTGCTCGTATTGCTCGATTTGATTCTTCACACTTGTACACAATTCACGATATGTTGCGCTGAGGGAAGGAGAATGGACAACACCGAGTCGAATGTAAAATTACTCATTATTGTGATGTCAAAAATACAGTATAGAACGTAAAAAATCATAATCAAAATAAACGTAAATTAAGATAAAGTAGAACCGGCGGTGTCATATGTTTCTTCTTCTGTGTCTCTATATTACGATTATTTCAAATGAATACAATAGAACACAACAAACATATAATCACACACGTGACTCTGTCAGCCCTTGTTTCTCTCAACGATTATATTTACACTGTGTGTGTGTGTGTGTGTGTGTGGGTTTTATTAAATCGGATGTATGTGGGTGTGGTGTGTTATCGTTATGAGATCAATTTATAGATTGGCTTTACTGTGTGTAACCGAGACGTAATTAATTGGCACGGAAATAATTTCAATGATTTACTGGTGTGCATTTCCTCTTCGTCAATCCGCAACGTTTTACGCATTTGTCAAACAATGCATAAATGATAATGCTATATAAAAAATATCAATAAACTATGCAGTAATGAAATCGTTGATATATAATATATATGTATGTATATGTATGTCATTCGCTCGAGAACACATTCACACTATAAATTTATCTTACGCACGCACGCATGGTCAAGTCTTTCGTTCGTGTTGTTTGTTTGGAACAAATCATATTAATAATCATAATAATAATAATAATAATCAAACAGTCAACTGAATTGCCTTACAACAAATTATCACTAATCAAATAAATCAATTAATTATGCGTTTCATATATATATATATATGCGCAAGCAAACGAAAATCGATTGGACGTTGGAATAAATATTTCAGAGACGCGATGAGAATGTCGGGGTGAATGAAGGCAGAGAGACCTGAGCACTTAAAACGACACTGTGTTCAATCTTCATCACCGGTGGTGGGGCGGGCGATCAACTGAGATCCGAATGCTGCGGTTGCCAGTGCTGTTCGTAGACCATGGCCGCCATGATGGGCGGCGGTGGTGCGGGCACCGCTGCTGCGCTGGGCACAACCACTCCGCTCTCGGGGGCGGCTGGTGTTGATCCGTCAGCGGGCGTTACCACTTCCAACGGCGTCGCCCTCACCTCGGGCCGCTGTCATTTGGGGTTCGCCTGCAGGGCGGTATTGATTTGCGTCCAGAGATCTTTCTTACATGACTTGGACCTACAAACACCAGAAACACAATCAAAACCTTTTTATTCTTCTTCTTACTTTCACTCACCGTTTGATCGACTGCAGCCATTCTTTAAATTGCGTACTGCCATCTTGTGTAATCTGAAAAGCAGCCCTTGCAGCCAGTACGATACTGACAAAGTCTTCATAGTCTGCAGGCGTGAGATGATAGAGCTTCTGGTGCATGCATTGAATATACATCTGCTGACACTTTTGCACCAGTGGTGTAAGCGCAGTGCGCATTACCAGCGCCGGATTGTTGCGTCCCAGATTGCCTAAATACTGCGCCGCCTCCATTGCAACGTCGTGTAAAACAAACGGCGACACGATCGAATTTACGGCCGACACGCAAAACTGATGCAGATACTGCGTACCTATCGAGCGTTCACGCAACAAATAGAAAAACAATGAGTAAGACATTTTATTGACACAGAATACGAAAGAAGTACGAGATGAAGAGAAATGAGCGCAGGGCTATACCTAAATGTTTGGAGATTCTCAGCAGCCATTTCACGTCCTCGCCATAGGGTGGATTCCGTGCATATTTCGCCTGGGGGCGGTCGTCATGCACGCGCCGCGCGAGTGTCTCCATCGCCAGCATTCCAACGCGATAGGCGGCGAGTAAATAACGCAATTGCGGTTGCGTCAACTGCTGCTGGCGATGTTGTGGCGGTCGTTGTTGAACAGGCATTGCTCCACTCGGTGCCAACGCATACATATGTCCCGCACGTGGCGGTTGCGGAGCGACTGTCACCGGCGCCCCGTAGTACTGATGCATGGGTGGCGGCATTCCACCATATGCAGGCGGTGGCTGCTGATACTGAGGTTGTGGTGGCGTGGGATACTGCGGTGGTTGTTGTGGATACCCTTGCTGGAACTGAGCTTGCGGTGCAGGCGGGTACGGCCCCGGGGGCGGATTGCCATTGGATGAATGCGGCGGTGGTGGCGCTGGGTACGTCTGGAATTGTGGTGGAGGCGCCGGTAAGTACATTTGCATATGGGGAGGGTGTATAGGGCCCCCGTAACTTAGATGCGGATGTACGGTGAAGCCGTACGCGTAGGGTACGTATTGCGGCGGAGCCGTCGTCACCACCACCGGAGGCGGCTGCGGCATCTCTGGTGGAGTCTCAATCAACGCCACCAGCGCGCCATGTGGGTCCAGGAGCGGATCGTGTGGCTCACTGTCAATAATCTGCTCCCCGCCGGGTGTATGTCTAAGGTACAACTCGTACCAATAACGGGCCACCTGGAACAGCACTTCTGGATACACCCCGCCGCCTTTAGCCGCCGTCTCAACTGTAAGACAAGCGTGTTCGAGCATTAGGTCACTCTGTTCTTTACACTGCAGAATCGCACGGCTAATCTCCTGCGGGTTGAGGGCGTGCGCATGTGGTAAACAACTCAGAGCCAACTCTGCAGCGGCACGAACCATATTTGGATCACAACCACGTGAAGCACGATCTGCGATGCTCACTGCTTCCGGCGGTGTTAAATGCCCCTCCCAAGTCTCAATCAAGAATGAAATGGCCGCTGCGCCTATTTCCATGGCCTGTCCAGTGATCCAAGAGACATGAGATGAGTAAGTCCTGCTCAACCAATTGGGACTCACGCAGTTATGCAATCCCAATGCATACAAACCCAATTGGAATGCGCACATGTGCAGAGCCCGATGATGATTCTGACTGGTACTCGGTTGAGTAAACAGTGACGTACTGCTAGAACCACCTGCTTTAATCAGAACCGTCTTGGCTAATTCAAACATAAAATGCGCGCTTGCCTCGGACGGCTGATTCGGGATCGATGGATACGCCCGCTTTCCTTTGTATCGCCCCTCTTTTGTTCGTGTAGTAGTAGTTGCAGGTATGCCACTTGAACCTGCTCCAGAACTAGTCGACGGTCCAAGATTTAAACTACCCATGGTTTGATCAATTTCTGCACTTGTAGAACTATGCGGGCGGCTGCCATTGCCCATATCCGGCATCATTTCCGGCTGGGGCATAAATGGACTCATCACTTTTTCGTGCTCCTCGCGTTTCAGATTCGAGAATTGGCTCTTCACAGGCGGATTGCTTGAGTAATACGAGGATAAAATAGGCGTCTTGAGCAGTTGGTGAATTTCTCTATCCAGCAGTCGGTCCATGATCCTTGCCACCTTCCAGCATACATCCTTATAGAATACCAGTAGTGTTATGGCCAAATCACTGCGTTGTCGGCGCGTGCCTTCACACAACAACGGATGATCAGCTTCGGAAACGTTTGCTTTTAACCCAAGCGCAGCTACGGCCGCTTCAAACCCGAGCATTTCATCAGTTGGCAGGCGTCCATTCTGCGGACGAGCTCGTTCACGCCCCACGAGATTAGGCATTGCCAGCGCGTCAAATATGAAACTCGCCAACATAATCGGCAGCATTGCTTCGCCACGCGACTTGAGCGTGCCCTCCTTGAGCAACTCGGCGCGCTCGCGTAAATTCTGCAACTCGCGATGCCCCAGCGGGATCTTCTTCAGTAGGCTTACAAGATCTGACTCCTGATTGGCCAGTTTTACTTCCAAAGGCTTCGTGGATGCTGGCGGGCGTGCCATCTCCAGCCCAAACATACCTACACGGAATGCAAGATGCGAATGTTCGGAATTCTCCGCGAGGACTGAGCAAAGAAAAGCGCACTTTGCCAGCGTGGCTGATGCCAGGCAGCTGAGCTGATGTGTGGCCGGATTCACCTGCTGTTTCTTGCCCTTGCGTTTCGGAATGGGCGGAATGTCAATCATCAAATCAGGCGGATTCGCGAGCAGTTCCTCGGCGAGTTGTACAGCGAGCATGCACGCCTCACGATTGTGACCATGTGCATGAAGACCTTCCGCGCGTGCAAACAATACATCCCAGGGATCATCCGATCGACGCAGATTAGCAAACACATTTGATCTGCTATCCTCTTCCACCTTAGCTGTTTTACCATTCGCTTCAGGAACGTTTTCCTTCGCGTTAAAGAAATACACATTGTATTCATCACCACTAGCAGCTGATTGTTGATCCGATGAAGATTCATCTTTACTTTCCCGACGTTCTCCGCCAGCGCTGTTTTCTTTCGTTGCCGGTTTTCGTTTATCATCGCTATCGCTGGTGGATGCTTGCGCAGAGGCATTATTCGAGTCCATGTTACTGCTACTGCTGCTGGATGAGTCGCTGACGGCTTCCTGCGGATCGTAAACGTACACGGGCGGTGGCAACATTACGATTTCATCGTCATTCTCGCAGAAACCTTCGCTACTCACACTTGAGCGGTTACCATCACGTCTTTCCTGAAAGACAACTCCATGCGCATCATGTTGTACAGCTACAATGTCCCAATTCAAGCGGGTTACACGATGATGACGCTGAGAATGTGTTGAAATATGCTCGCAATTTAACACCGCTTTACTAGAGTTCACCTGCGGGACTTTATTCTCACCGCTAGCGCCATTCTCGGCTGAATGTTTGAAGCAGGTGAATGGACAATGATACATGGGATTGGTATCCTGAGTGTAGGTGATACCCGGCATAGGGTAATCCTCCCAGTCTAGATAGCACGCTTCGATGGCCGGTTTGAAACCAGTGAATACTTCGAGGTCAAGTTTGAGGCCGCCGTTCTTATTGCTGTTGTTGTTACTGCTACCACTGCGGCATTTCGCCACTTTTTCAGTGACCTTCAAATGCCACGTGGTGAATTGATGGTGTAACATGTCGCGTTCCTGAGGAGCAAGGCCAGGATTCAAAGCGGCCAAACGCCACAAGACAACAACTTCATCACAAAGAGATGAACAAGCATGTTGGGACGCATTCGTATTACTATTGACGTTGTTATGCTTCCCGCCGCCTCCACCACCTCCGCAGCCATACCCCGAGCTGCCAATCAACAGCGCCACTTTCGTGTTAAACCACCATACCAAAATCTGCTCGCATGCCATGCATTCATCCGTGATTATCTCGAGCAAGGGAATTGCATTGCGATCATTACGCTTGAACATTTCACGAACAATACTCAAGAGATTCCACATTCCTTCTGGTTCTCTGCCGCGCAACGGACGTAATAATGAAGTCCATTCCTGAGCCGCGGGTGGTGCTGTTGTGCTGAGATAGTTGACATCGCTGAAGACAATCGGCGCAGGCACGCAGAACTTGATAAGAATCTTTTTAATATTGCCATGCAGAGCTTTGTTGTCGAGATACCAAGAGGTTTGATCGGTGGCAGACGCGCCAGCGGTGGGATCCGGTGCGCCGCATACTGAATTAATCGCCGAAGGTTGACTGCCCAGTAATTCATCGAGAATACGCTGTGCGGTTGGTAATATCTGCTGGGGCAATTCGCTGATCAAATACTGGGCGAATTTCTGCAGCTGATCACGGTGTAAACGCGACAGGGACTCTGAAACAGGTGCTCGGAGAGTAACCAGCTGTGGCCAGTGGATTCTGGTGAGACAAACAGCCACCACGTGCGAACACCAGTAAGCCTGTGAGGAGCAAGTGCATAGGCAGGACGAAATACGTCGCCGATCGAAGGTTACGGCTACTTTCTGGGCCGGAAGGCGTGGATTCTGTTGAACACTCGCAGATAAATGAAAACCTACACAAAATAATTATGTATAATCATATTTATTGCAATTATTTACCAAATACCTATTTGTAAAGGATCCTTGACGCAGTGATTCCGATGATGGACTTCCCCTCGGCTGAATTCCTCAGCTGAGCCATTCGCCAGGCAGGAATACAGGCGGATATCCTCCTCGTTGTCGGGAAAACTCCAATAGGCGATGCGTAATTGAAGTTGTTCCGGCACCGGCGGGTAGAAATGCTCCACCAGTTCGAAGGGAATGTGCGAGGCGACACACTTCGCCGCTAGTTCCGTCAACGACGGTACCGCACTTTTATCGGCTGCAAGATAAACAAATAAACGATACAGATACATTTCCATTTTGTCATCGGATACGTGTGTATGTATTACTTGTCAAAAAACAATAAACAAAAGCAAAACACACGTCGGATCAAATTGCAAAGAGAATAAAAAAAAACAAGAAAAAGAGAGATGGTTGTTTGATGGTGAGGTCGTTGGCTTGCAGCCCGCGGCGGTGTCTGCCCGAGTGGTGACCGCAAGTTACAACTCACAACTGACTTCTTCTCCTGTTGTTAAAAATGAAAATCTGGTGGGAGAGTTTTCTCTTGTCTCGACGGCCCTGGAGAGTGGTGAGACAGCTGTAAGGTGCTTTTATGATCACCTGCACTAACGACCAATGGGACGCTCGGATAGAGAACAAAGAAAACGGTCAAGAAGTGCAGCACCGGAAGACTTCGGCCTTGAAAAACCCGTCGTCAGCTGTTGGCCTCTACACAACTACATTGAAAAAATATTCAATTATTGAATGAAAGTGCAACTCACCTTCGGCTGTTGAGCGACTGCACTTGCTCGCTGAATTACTGTAGCTGTAGGTGCCGCCGTTGCTCTGCCGCTTCCATCCGCGCCAGTTATTGCAGACACTTTCCGGTTCCGATGTCCAGCTGCACAGCGAATCCTCCTCGAAACGGTCAGAGTCCTCGAAGCTGAAGCGATCCCCGTCCTCCCATTCGATCATTGCGGAAGCGTGGTCGGCGGCACCACCACCACCGCCGCCTCCGCCCCCATTGCCGCCGCTGCCACTGGCGCCCGCCACTGCTTACCGTTGTGCGGCCTCCACTCCAAGAAACAAATCACCTCCGCCTCTCTGCCGCCTCCTCTTCGTCGCCGCCGCGATCAGACACCTGAACACATGCCGTCGCACACTCTCGACCTGCGCACACAACACACACACACACTCAATCAGTTCATTAGCAACAAATTGCCGAGGCAAACAAAGAACTAGACACTTTTTGGGTAGTATTCACCCGCACCGACCCCAGCGCACGTAATATTCTACTGATTCCAATTGAATCCCATAGAGTTGATTTTCCAGCGCTCGTCTGCACCTACCCAGCAGACGAGTTGCTACCGCAGCCAAGCGGCGACATTTTTTACTCGAAACTACTTACGTTCTAGGCCCAACAGTGTCGAGATTCACTCGAACGGGGCGTATGATTTTCGGCTAACTGGACGTGAGAGGATCGACGGTTCCGTCGCGAGCACTGACCGCATCCACCCGTCTGTCTATCGCTGCTCGTCGACGACCTCCCCCATCAACAACAACAAATATGGCGAGCGGATCGCAGTCCACTGGCCTGCGCTGCGCTGGCGGCGCTTACGGCTGCCCTCTTGCTAGGCAACACTCACACACACACACCCACACGTACGGTAGCAATCATGGTAGCTACTGTGGCGAGTAGTCTAAGCAATTGTAGTACGGACATTTGCCTACAGGTGCTGCCTCACCACAACGTTGTTTTACAGAGTAATTTAAATTTCTAGATAACTTTGACGCAAAAATAAATAAATCTAGGCAAATACACTGATATATTATTTAAGATTTAAAATTAAACTTAAACAAATCTGTTTAACATTTTGCAAAATGTATTTATATCTGCGTTAAAGAATCGACTTGCGACCCAACAGCGACGGAAAAATGACTTTTACTGCGCTTCTGCGCATGCGCAACTTCTCTTCGATTCCCTCTGCACACGCAGCGCCCTCTTCTCCCTATACGCTGTTCCGAAACACAACGTAGGTACGAGTAAAATCTAATACTTTTAATAAATAAACAGAAAATATTCTTTAATCTGTACATGGTTTAAATCTGCATTAATTGTGCGACGTATTGCTGCAATAGTGAGTTTCTCGAACGTCGGATGTCGAAAATACTTGCGGATTTATTCATGTTGTTTTTGTGTGGTTATGAGTGCCAGTGCCTCAATGATGGTTAATGTATTGTATTCTTTAAGGTAAATATGGCTCCTCGTAAAGGAAAAACACAAAAGGAAGAAGTCCAAGTCTCGCTTGGACCCCAAGTTCGTGAGGGTGAAATCGTCTTCGGCGTTGCGCACATCTTCGCCTCTTTCAACGACACATTCGTGCACGTTACTGATCTGTCCGGCCGAGAAACCATCTCCAGAATCACTGGAGGAATGAAAGTTAAAGCTGACAGAGATGAGGCTTCTCCCTATGCCGCTATGTTGGCTGCTCAAGTAAGTTAACATTTGTTATATTACCAAAAACAAGGGTATTTATTATCATTTTTCAATGATAGGATGTAGCTGAAAAGTGCAAGTCCCTGGGAATCACCGCCCTGCACATCAAATTGCGCGCTACCGGAGGCAACAAGACGAAAACGCCAGGACCTGGTGCCCAGAGTGCACTCAGAGCTTTGGCGCGTAGCAACATGAAAATAGGACGCATTGAGGATGTCACGCCGATCCCGTCCGACTCCACTCGCAGGAAGGGCGGACGTCGCGGTCGTCGTCTGTAAACTATTAATTTTGATAAAATTATTATTATTTTGCGTTATGTACAAGTCACAGTGAATAAATCCCACTTGAGTTGGACATAAGCAAAGAAACAAACAACTCAAATATTTACACATATATTTCAAAGTAGTTAAGAAAAACACGAATTATAAACCGTATTCCTTCACAGGGTATTTATCCTTGTGTGCTTCGACGTGTTTTTGCATTTCGGTCATTTGCTCTCTGTAAAAAAGTTATATTTTAATTTTTTATTGATTTATTATGATGTTTGTAACTCACATGAGATGTTTAGGCATTTTTTGATAAACATCTTTAAACATTTCGGACCAATCGGGCTTCGGACGCTTCTCAGCAGCGCCGAATGTGCTCATCACGTTCTTCTTCGCCTCGGCGATCCACGCAGCATTCTTGGAGTCATCCCAGAGGCCTTTTGACTCCATATACATCCGTAGTTTATTAATCGGCGAGTCATATTTGGTCCAGTGCTCAGCCTCCTCTTTGGGGCGGTATGCTGTACTGTCATCTGAAGTAGAATGATGTCCAACACTACAAACATCAAGAATTTTATAAGAAAATACGAAGAAAACTTAGTTGTGTGACCTCCAGTACTCATAAATTGTTAATTTGCGTTCATTTTAGGCCTATTGCCTTATCAAACGTATAACAAACTTTATTAAAAGTTAACTTGTGTTATTACGGTAGGCAACCACACTTACACATGACTGTGTCAATGACTTGGTCTATGATCAGCTGATTCATTGCTAATTCAAACATGAGTATTAAAACATCTATCGTTAGTGGAGAAGCAGCCGAAACAGACAGTGAAGATGATAGCAGCGACATTACCAACGCATTTGTAACTTAATAACTTATAATTTTCGTAAGAAAATAATTTATAATCATTGTTTCTTCACAGACAAAGATGGCCGCTAGTATACCAGGAGAAATTGTAAATGGTGAAGATTCAGAATCAGACACTGATTCAACCCCTAACAAAACACCAAAGATTGTTGATAAACCAGTTGAGACTTCTGCTAATCCACTTCCACCTAAAAAGAAGTTTGATTCTCTTTTACATAAAAAACTATGTAAGTTTTTCCGATGGTTATGTTTCCCTCCTTACACTTATATTGGGTTGTGTTGCAGGTGAAAACAACACAACAGTCTACAAAAACATGAACAATTTCTTCACCAGTCATGCTAATGATGCAAATTTGTCTTTGAATCACACTGACAGGCAGTTGATGAAATCACAACTCACCCTTCAAGCAGCCCTGAACTCTCTTAGACTATTACATACCAACTCAGTAGCAATCAAAAATAAGCTGAGAAACATTGTAGTTGATGATAATTATTTAGATAATTTAGTCATAACAAAAAATTGATATGAATATGCACCAAAATTTAATACCATTACTTCCATTTTGTTGAATTATTCTGTTTAGACCAATTTGGAACTGCTTGTTTTGCTGTGCGGGGAACAGAAGCTGAACGTGGATGACCACGTTTCGAGGAACAACTACCTGCACTTGCACTCAAATCTCTTGAACATTTTTTAGGATTAAGCTGCACTTTGAACGTGTCTCTACCACGACCCATCATCTCCATTGCACGCATCTTCTGCCCCATCAAGCGATCAATCTCTAAATCCTTTGCATTGATGAAAGCCTTGAGTTTACGCGCTCCATCTTCGCCTTGGTAATCATTTACGTCGAATGCGTCAGGACACTGTAGCATCTGCTTCAGTCTGGCAATCTCCATCAGAAGTCCTTGTTTGACTTCTTCTGCGTCTGTTTTGTAAGCGAGGTGCTCTTGTGTATGCACTGCCATTTTATGCGCCATTTTGTCTAGTTGTAGTTTATAATTTGCACATTCGTTTGTAATCTGTGCGAATTCACTTTCTGTATTTGCTTGATTATAAAGCACATCGTTTAATTGACTGCGTAAGGCTTCGTTTTGTTCTTTAGTTTCAGATAAATCTTCTGCGATTCCGATGTCTTGCGCGTGTATAGTCTGCTGTAACAAATTATTTGTACGAATATAGCTCTCAAAATCAGCTTCTACTTTATCTTTAACATCGGTAACTGCTTTTAATTGGATTTGCAAGTCTTCAAGCTCATTTTGTAGACTATTATTGTCTTTTATTATTTTTTCTTTTTGTTCTAATTCAGATTTGAATGTATTTGTCTCAATTTCTAATTTAGAAATTGCATTTTTGAGAATTTCAGCTTCATGACGATATTTTTCGATGTTTTCATCAGTGTGCAACTGCAAATGGCGGAATTGCTCCTTTAAATTATTATATGATGATAAAGTGTTATCTTTTTCAGTAATTGCAGCTTTTAATTGATTATTTTCCGAATTTATCTTTTCAAAATTCATATTTAGTGTTTCCAAAGTATTTATTTGCTTCAGAACATTATCCATCTCCTGTTGCAGCTTACAATTATCTCTTTTGACTTGGTTAAGCTCTACAATGTCTTCTATAGTCAAATCTGTATTGATTCCACAACTTTCACTAGATTTTGATATTGTAGAAGTAAAACTTACAATTTCCGCAAGCAATCTTTGATTTTCATTGTCAACATTACACTTTGCAATCTCTAGATCATAATGTGACTGTAATAAACTCCCATTTACAGATCTATACTGATTCAAACAATTAATAAGTTCTTCATTGTGCGTTAGCAAGTCAGAATGTTTCAGTAATAGTTTTTCATGTTCAATCTGTGATGACCATTTAAATTCTAAAAACTCTTTCATTAAAACCCTCAGATCTTTCTCTAGATTTACTAAAACTTCAAATTTCTCTTCAATTGGAGGTAACTGCGTCTTGTGTTTTAAGCTTACAGTTAATTCCTGACACATACATTTCAATTCCTTTAATTCAGACAATGAGGAATCATCAATGTTGTTTTCTCGCATTAATTCATCATGTGCATGAACAACAATTCTTAATTGTTTAACACCATCACTTAATTGTTTGTTATCCGCGCGTAAGTTATAAATTTCCAGTTGTAACTCCTGAATGGCTTGGTGGTAATGTTCTTGGTTTGAATCTTGGCTAAGTTTTAGACACATTTCTTGTAGTTCTTTCATTGCGATATGATTAAACTGCGCTAAGTGTAATTCCTCTTTTAAATCGATTATTCTCTTTATTAATTCGTCATTTTCAAGGCGTAATAACTGTATCTGATCTGTTATTCCCGCCCAGTTGTAAATTTGTGTGCTGCACGACACCATCATGGGCATTTTAAAACTTTTAAATGTATACACATCTTGGTAGAATTCTAACTCAGTTTGTGTATTTACATTCATTAATTCTACAACAATTCGTGGATATTCACATGTGTGATTCTTTAACTCTTCGATTTCGGTTGTTAACATCTCATTATGCACTTTAACGCGACCATTCTCTTGCATAATCCGCATATATTCTTGCCCTGTCTGCAATGTTACATCTTTACACAGTTGTTTTACTTCATCAATAGCCAAGACACTAGTACGTTCTAACATGCTGCTAATCACGTCTACATTTGTGCGTAAACTAGCGATTTCATTGTCTTTCTGATAAATATACTCAACTAGATGTTGACAAGTTAACATTAATTGTTTCAGATGCTCAAAAAGCTCCTCATTAACATCTACATCTGCTTCTATGCGCTGCAGAGAGCTTTTTAAAATACATATATCATCATAGACTGTGTTTTGGATTAAAATTGATGAATATGTATTAAGTTCACATTGAATACTGCAAGTGTGAAGAGATATCTCTTCAGGGGATGATCCAACGTTCATTGTTGCAGTTACAGCCTGTACTGGTGACGAGGAAACATTGATGGTGATATTTGTTGAAGAATCAACAGTTATGAGATCTGTTTGATGGTTTGCTTCGATCATGAGACACATGTTGTCTTTAACTTCCTCTACATTTTCTACGAGTATAGGAAGTATTTGCACTTTCCTAACAGTTAAATTTTCTGTGTTTGTTGCAAGTTCTTCTACACGCTGAAGAATGGCACACAAGTGATTAGAGGTTACTTCTTGCAACAGTTCAATAATATATTGATTTTTTTCTGTTTGTAATCCTATAATGTTGTTAATTTCGTTGAATTGTTTCATATATTCATGCTGAAAGTCTTCAATACACACCGGAGGTTTTAAATCAACTTGCAATTCCATATTCTGCGTAGATTTCTTTGCTCTTTTCATACTGCAATACATAAGTTGTACCTGTTTATATAAATATTGATCGTTTTAAAGGGATTCTTACGTCGTCCTCACCGATTTCAGAATAATTCTGAGATTCTCCAACTCGTTCTGTGCTTGTTTGTATTCGCAGGAAACTCGTGCGATGTCCTCCAAGGATTTTTTATACATAGTTTCCAATTTCTTAATTTGCTCCTGTTGTAACCGCACGACATGTTCTTTGGTTTTAATCGTCTGACTGGAGTACGATAGCTTACTTTCCAAGTCCCGCACTTGTTCTTCAAGAAGAAAAGATGATTCCATTACAGAAAAAAATGAAGAAAAAATATTTAAAGTAAGACATTTGGTGACAGGCGTCAGTCGAGTCTGTCTGTCGTCAATTACTTACAAAAGCAGAGGATGTAAATAACGATGTAACGAATAACATCAAATTATGTCGACGAGAAGTGCTGCGACCGGAGCATCAGGTACCTCATCAACAACAAAGCGAAGAAAATCCAGGCGTAGTGGAAGCGTCGGAAGCAGGGGAAGTAAAGGTAGTAAAGGCAGTCGAAGCAGTAGAAGTAGCAGAGGTAGCAAGAACAGCAGAGGTAGCAGAAGACGCAGATCATCCAAAGGCACCGGTACCAGTACCCCCACTAGAAACCGCAGGAATCAAGCCTCGAAATCCCCTAGCTCCGGGAGTACATCCAGACGCAGTAAAAAACGCAGTCGAGACAGAAAAAGAAGAGATCGTGATGATGACGATGACGACGACGATGATGATGATGATGACCGATCCGAACGAAGTCGTCGCAGTCGCAAGAAGAAACGCAGCAAGGGCCGGTCATCACGGCGGTCATCCTCTGACTCTGGCAGCGACGACCGCAGTCGCCGCGGGTGTAGTAAATCCTGCGAGCATAAAAACAAGAACAAAGCTACCGGTAACTCCTACGTACATGTAATAGACAAGAGTGTACTGTGTCAGTCGCCATTAACTTCCGCTCTGCAGCAGGCAGCAGCCTATATCAATGTGGGTAATACCCAAACAACTAAATTATTGGAGTATCCCCCTAATACACCGCAGTGCAAACCTGATTGTCCTTATAATTGCAAGGTTATTAAAAATGCACCGTGTCAGAAGAATGGCGGCGCGGCGGGGACAGGCTGTAACTGTTGTAAATAAAGGACACGCATACGCGGCGATTGTGAATATTGTGTTTACTTTAACTAGGGTTTGTAGTTGGACATGCTTGGGAGGTCATCGAGGGTAAAGGGAGTGATTCCGCTATAGGCACTGGCTCCACTGATGCTGCAAACATGGCGACTTGCCAGGGCAGCCGCCATTACCTGGTCGAGGATCTCGTTTGCCTCGTTGCGTACGTGTAGTAGGAATTGGCGGGATCTTCGCAATTCGTCGATTTCTGCCATTAGTAGTCTGATTGTGTTACCGCAGGATGGGCACGTCCCTGGACAACGCATATTACTGCCCACTGAAGATTGCCGCCGAGGTCCATTGATCATATCACTGCTAGCACAGATGCTGAACTTTTGTTGTATTGAATCCATTTTGCGTATGTAGGGCGCTGGTAGCGACTCCATTGTGCGTGCTGAGTCTTTTTTGGCCTTGATTTCTAACAGTTGACAAATATGTTCGTACTGGGCTTTGCTCTCATCTTGCAGATTATGCAGGATGTGTGTTACTCGCGTAAGCATTACATATTGTCCTTCAAGGCTTCCTGCTACCACGTCCATGTCACATGATTTTTCCGCCGCGCACTTGGGGCGTACTTGAGTGCAAGCATCTTGGAGCCGGTAGGGCGGTGCCGGTGCGCTCCGGAACTTAATTTTGTTGTAGGTGCATCGCAAAAGGGTGCTACCACCGCCGCCGAAGCCATCGGAGTCCTGTGCCTGAGAGGAAGAGTTCAACAGTACATTTTTTCCACTCTCTTTTCCTCCCTTTTTGTGATTGCTCTGCTCTTCCATCGAGCTAACCACATCAGGTTTCTTTTTCTTGCTGCCTGTCACACATGCATTTTTATTAACTGACTGAATGTCATTTAAATCATTCCTGATTATCAGCTGGTCCTGTTGGGGTAAAAAACGAAACGCATGTTTAGAGGAGTCCTCTAAAAAAAATAAAGAATGTTAGCGATTCAAATTCAACAACGTTTCATATACTTAACCTAGCGGACATTTTTTCAACTATAAGCCAATCACAGCTGAATGTAAATACCTATGTGGTTAGTTTATTAGTTACAATAACAATATAAAATGAGTACTTATGAAATAAGTAAATCATCTGTAAGTATTTCTTGAATAAATAGAACACAGTAATAATTTATTTTTGCAGTTGCTCAGCTTAAAGGCAGAGATTCTGAAAAAACAAGAGGAGCTACAGAAAGCGAAAGCTGAAAATCATATAAAACTGCAAAAGAGCCACAAGAAACCTTTGGAGTTGAAAAACAGAGGAGTTGAAAGCAGGGCTGCTAATGATGGAGATGTTGTTGATGAGGAATTACTAAAAAAATCAAGGTTAGGTAATAATTTAAACAATTTTGTAGTTCAAATTACTATAACATTCACCATAATTTCCAGATTACAGTTGGAAACAAAGTCATTACTGTATGAGAAACTCTCCAGAGGATCAAGAAATGAACTGGAAAAAGAAGACAACAGGCAGTACTTAGTCCAGTTTGATAAGAAAGCTCTTGAATCCAAAGCAGCTACACCATCAGATGATGATGAAGAGCCTGATAAATATCCACAGGAAGAAGAAGAATTTAATGAAACTACTTACTCAGATGATGACTCTGAATGGGTAGAATTTGTTGACAGTTTTGGTAGGACAAGAACCTGCTTAAAAGAGGACTTGGCTTCCTTTAAACAGAATGATAAAGGATTGGATTCTAAAAATAAAAGCAAAAGTGGCAGTATTAGTCCTACACCAAAGAAACAGGAGGAAAATATTGAATATGATGAGAAGAATGAACTTCTATCAGCCGATATGCGACGCAATCTGTTGCGCCAGCAATGGGAGCGTGAAGAACAATTACTGATGGATAAATCAGACCTTCATTATCAAGATATTCTATTCGGCGAAGCGCGTACGCACGGCGTCGGTTACTACGGTTTCTCCAAAGATGAATCTGTAAGAAACGAACAACAGAATGCGTTGAAAAATCTTCGAAAAGAGACTGAAGCACAGCAGAAACAAGCGCAGGAAGTGAAGCAAAACAGAGAGCGACAACTCGCTGCGAGGGTAAGAGCTGCTCAAAATCGTAAAAGGGCACGTGAAGGTTTACCACCTTTGACATCCGACGATGAACAGGATGAAAAACGGAAACCTGAAGAGGAACTGGTTGAAAAAGTGGAGAAAGCAGCTTCTGTTGATGATAAGAATAACGAATTACGCAGACAATTGCATGTGAGACCCTGGGATCTGGGCAAAGAAGGTGTTGATGCGATCGCATCCGCGCGGATACGAAGCGGATGTCGTGATCCGTATGATCAAGATGAATGGAACGCTATTCAACGATCTAAACGAGTGCAAGAATTTGCACCGCCTCAAAGTTATCACGCAAAACACACCACGAAACGAGACAAGGTTGTGAATCCATACAAAAGGACCAATATTGAACCTGCTCCGATTCAAAACGAGTGCAGTGATGAGGAATCAGATGAACCAAGGACGGATTATGGTAATTGCGTTCCTCCTCCTGCTTCATTTGATTATTATGGACCCAGCAGCAGTGCGAAACGATCTCGGTCTTCGGGTACTAATAATATGGACGATGCAATCATGCAAGGATTGAAATTTATGCGCGAGAAAGTGGAACAAAAGTATAAGTAAATACATAAATTTTACACATGTCGGGGGCAAAATAAATGAAGATACTTCTTGTACTGTTAGAAAATCAATTATTAATACTTAATACACATTTAATTAAATTTGTTTTTAATATCACTCATAATATAATACTAGCATAAATTAGAGTATTGACAATAACCACTGGGGTGTGAAACTAATGCGTTGAATCTTTCTCGTTTTTGGAAGAGCGGGTACACAAAATACTTTTGTTTCATGAACACATCTGTCTCAGCGTTTTGTCCGAATTGTTTCAAGGGATGGATGTACAGTGTTCGTTTGGCACGTCAATTTTTCAGTTTTGGTCACCAAATTCGAAACTGAAATCAAATTACAAAAACCATGGCACCGTAAAAATACCATAATAAGTCCAAGCGCATGATATTACTTTGTTTGTAAAAGGGGAATGCTATTTACAATCTTACATTGCGTTGGAGTTTACAATATACAGAGGTTTTGTTTGATATTGTAAATAAATATATGCTTCATTCTTAATTATATAATTGTTCGGTCGATCGCGTGCTTGGAATGCCTGTTTAATGTGATTGATATCTTCATGTTTCTTTTTAATTGATTGATATGTCCTATTGCATCATTGACTATGCATATTTAATTAATTCATAGAATTTGTGTCCTTTTTGAACTGTTTTGTTAGTTGGTTTGGTCGCAAGAACAAAAACAAGAATAAACTCTTGGCGAAAACGTAAATTCCACATCAGGCGCGTGTTTTAGTTGCATTAATTTTATTATATTGGTTATAAATCACAGATTAATTGATTTGAAGTGTATATGTGCAACGTAACGGTCGAAAACCGACTGGTATAAACCGCTACACTAGACATACCGATCTGAAAATTCACGTTTTAGCGCATATCAACTAAGTAATATTAATAGAAAAGGAGTTGGAATGCGTTCCGGAATGTTAACATGTCGCATAATCAACCAATACCAGTACAAATTGGAAAAATGCTTTCCACAGCCATTAAAATTGGAACGAAAATGATGGGAATGTGAGTGTGGGGATGTAGGGGTGCTAGTCATCCGAGAATAGGAACTCGCTCTCAGAGAGAAGTACCTCTAAGTCTGACTGGACGGTATGCACATTAGAATCGATTTCGTTTGCTGATGCGAGAGCCGTGGAAAGGTTTGCTTGCATTGGACTAGTAGCTGCCACTACTCCCTCGTTACACTTGGCGTTCACGGTTCGCACTAAGAGGCCCGTTCGAGGTTTGTCCGTCTTATCACTGAGTTTATGCGGCTGCTGAGCTGCAGCCGGCGTCTGCGTCGCCTGCGACGTCTTCACACGCTCGATGACAACGCACGTTTTCTCCGGTTTGCGCAGCTTGACACTAAATTTAAAAGGCGGTTTGTACACAACCTGCAGCCGCACCTTCTCCTTCTCCTTGTCGGTGATGTTACCGACACTGTTGCTCTTCGGCGTGGCGTTGGTGGCTGCAGCAGTCGTCTTCTTGTGGCGCTGTTTATGCGGACTGCGTGCATTCGCAGTCGTTAGACCCACAGGTGTTGATTTTGACTTTGGCAGCGCTGCATGTGACTTCATCAACCAGTTCTGCACCTTTCCCACTGGGTCCGCCTCGGGGGTGAGCGGTGTATGCAGAACTTCCGCACCCAATAGGCCCTTTTTACCTTCCGCGTCAACTTGCACACTGCTGTAATCAATCACCTCCTTCTTTTTCTTTTTCTTCTTGACCGCTACAGTTGCCTGCATTGACTTCTTCACTTTGCTTGGAGGTATCTCGATGACGGCCGCTGTATCACCAGCGATTCGTTTTCGTTGTTCTTCTGCGCCTACAGCGGCAGAAACGCGCTTCTTCTTTTTGGGTGATATTTTCGTGGCGGCTTTGCTGGGGCTGTTTAGGTTGTTGTTGTTGTTGGTGTTTTCTTTGTTGTTGGCATTACGTTTGGCTTTGTTGCGCACCTTGCCGTCGCGTACTTTTCGTTTGAGAGGCAGCTTGGACTTGAAGGCTGGATGTACCGTCACATTACCGCCGTCACCATCCGGAGGCAGGCGCACCGTTTCCGTTGTTTGGCTGTGCATTATTGTCACGGTTTTCAGTTTAGTTTGCATGTCGGAGTTTTTACCCAGGAACTTCGTGCTGAAGATCTAAAAGTCGAAGTAGAATTTAGAACTCGTGTAAAATCAGTAATTTTATAATAAACAACTATTTATCCAAGCGTTCTGGCCTAAACCAACTCACTTTTCTTGAATTCATCAATTAAAAATAAAACCTTCACCTGGTTTAGAGCAAAATAAGTTAGTAATGATTAATTAACAAAACAATGGTTAATTATTGACTTACCAATAGCGCTATAATCACAGAGATGATCAAAACCACCGCGTACCAGTAATCTAGCAACCATCGCTTGAAACTTGCTATACTCTCATCGGAAAGCAAGAGTTTTCTAAGAGTCGCGAGTGGTCCAGATGGATCTACCTCTCTACACATCTGAAAGACATCACAATACCCACTGTAGTCATTGCATGGTGTGCCAGGCTTCGAGTACATGTCGGGAATATCGTATGGCATGTCGTTCCACTCAAACGATGAGATGCAGGGTTGATTATCACCGGGAAGCTTACAGCAGAGTTCGCATGCTTTGGTTTTCGGATCACCTTTACCAGGTATGCATTGGCAGGACTCCAAACCATAGGCGAGACAAATAGAACCGGTACATTCCTGAAATAATTACTATAATTTAATATCAAATATTTATCACTGGATATTGAGGTACGTACACCCATGAAACAAACAAACTCTTTGTTACAAATAGTCTTATTGGGTTTGTTGACTGATGGTGGACACTGTGGCCCACGGCCATTGCAGAAACTTGCATCCCGACAACCATTATCATCACGACATTTGTCGCCAAATTTGACATGGCACTCCGACGTGCAGCAGGGTCCCTGCGAGGGACTGCATGCACTACGCGGTGTGAGATGACATGGTGGTTCGTCCACTGGTGGATACCGCCGCTGTGGGAAACAACACTGATCGCGACAGTCTTCCTCCCATCCGCAGTCGCATTCTTCACCCTCTTCAACAACACCATTCCCACAGAGGGCGGCCTGGGGCTCGGTGAAGCAACCTTTGGGCGAACGCGCTTTGAAATTCAGCACGGGATTGATACTCTTGAGGCTACATGGTGAGAAATGGTTGTTGTTCTTCTTGTCCCCGGATGTGGCACGCGCGAACATAATAAAGTTGCCGTCGTCGCCGCCCGGCGTGCACAATTCTGGATCGTGCTGCATAGGATAATAAAAGTATGACACGAAACACAATAGGAAAAACATGTTTTTCGGTTTGCATTTGCATGTTGACTTACGGGCGATCCGAAATTGTGTCCGATTTCATGGGCGAGCGTCACATGGGAGACGGCAGGTGGCACGTGCTTGCCGTAGTTGAGCAGCGTTACGATGCCAGTGTTTAACGACTTCATGCTGCCGCGATAATGCTGTAATTTGATTACGACCACTCTAAGAGCTGCGATACTAGTTTACGATCCTCCCTGCAGTGCAGGCGCAGTATGTTTATACTGGAGCTGCGCTCGCTCGTAATTACAGGTGTGTGGATATTAAAAGGGACATTTTGGGTGGAGGAGCCGGGCAGTATATATTTTTCCACACATGCGCATGAGGTAAACGCCAGGGGGTTGTTTTGATGTTGTGAAGCTGGGCTTCGATTAATTTTAGAATAATTGTATAAAATACTTACGCCGTTCTTCTCACACACACCGCCAGCATTCTTCAAATCGCCCGTCCACGCCAACCCCAACGTGCCCATTTCAAAGTCCCGATAGGTGAACATGTACGCCAGGCAGAAGGCGTCGTAATCCTCCTCTGAAAAGATAATCACATAAGAGTACATTGCATTTGCATTTTTATTACTACCGAAATAAAATGCGAGTCGCGGACGGAGCGGCACTCAATCAATATCAATAGGGTAAGTTAAGGAGTATGCAAAGCGGCTTTCACCTCTTTGAGAATACGAATGCAAACGCAAACAAAGCCGGCAAAAAAATGCACTCATCAGGAAAGAAGCTCGCCTTTGAGATGGAGAAACATAAAACGAATGCGGCGATCGATATTTGGAAACACTCGGTTTTTGAAACTCTGCGAGACGACAGCCCTCGTTCTCGAAACGCATAAAATTGAATTTAAATTAGCTTAATCTTAATGGCAGACGTAATTTGCCAGCGCGCACTCGAGCTGATTGAGAGATAAAGCGAGTCAATTATGTACACACTCCTAATAGTTTGGAATTAAACGGCGAACAAGTTTGACACTCGAGTTATTTATTGTTATCCCTTTGCTGAGCGCCCGCAGTAGTAAATTTAATCAATGTGGGTCATTTTTGAGTTGTGACATAAATTCCATTCGGGAAGGGCGGCCGGCGATCGGCGAGTTATGTATAATTCCCTCAGGAATTAGCCGGAGCGCACGTTGTACATAATGTAGCATTTAATGTCGAAGCCGGATCGAATATCCTCCACCACTACACATCCTGTCAAACCTACATCAAACACATATATTTTACTGGCTTCGCTCGCGAATATCTAAAATAATGAAGTTGGTTCCATACGCGTCTGTAGTCACAGAAGAAGTAACACTGAAGTAGAATGGCGGGAAGTTTAAAATGGCTGAAAGTATAGTCTATGGAAGTATAGTGTACAGTCTCCATAGTGTAGTCAATTGGATTTGATGTTGACGTAGCTGTCGGTAATACAGTGTGATAATACAGTGTGATGGTACTATAGTACTTAGGTTTGAGCTTCATTGCTGGAATGCTAGATGGCGTTAAAGTAGTCAAATAGCCAGATGCAGAGGTATTATTGGCTAAACTATTTCTTTATTTTATTTAAAAAATAATTTATTTTACTAAATAAAAAGTAGCCTATAACCATTCGGGGACCACTAAGAATATGTGTACAAATTTTCATGTTGATCGGTTAAGTAGTTTTTGCGTCAAAGTGTAACAAACATCAAGACTTTCTTATTACATCTATTTTAAGATTATTCCAAGTTTATTCCTCTCAATACCATAATAAAATAATTATCCGTTTCCAGTTAGTTCCGACTCCGACGTTGACTGTAAGCTGCGGGCTAATGCAGTCGATTCATTATGTAATAGAAAGGGTAAACACCAATCCGCCGAGCTCGCAACCAGTTAGCAAATGGGGTTAGTAAACTAAGCGAGTTGGTTTGGTGTCCAAGGCAGATCCAGTGATCCTAATTCAGAGTAAATAATATCTCAAAGGATAATGCTAATCGAATAGGCTAGTCACGTAAACAAGAAAGAAAAAATGTCATGCTAAAAACGTGAGGGGTGCTTGGAAGCATGAAACATGAACGTCATTTGTGTTGGGCGTTGTTGGGCAGATGAATTGATGTTCGGGATCGTTGGCCATAATTGATTTAGGCTATTTACAATACCGCACACGCCGGCAATATTGTTTGCGCGCTAAACTCCAGCTAATTACCACAGTTGGAAAGAATAAGTTTGGGTCACCATCACCATTAGTCAGCGTGTGATGGCGCACACTGATTGGTTATTGATCGCACGTTCATTTGCATGCATTGTTGCATTTTTCCTTCAACGAAATTTCCACAATTTATTATTATTAAATTCGATTGGTTTGACTTTTGAACTGCTTTGATCAGCAGCATATTAAATAAATTACACTCGAGGATGATTGATGATAAGTAAATAATCACACGCGTTTTAAACAAATTTCCAAGTGATGTTTATCGCAAGGCAAGAGTCGGCATTAAATGATTAACGACCGGCATGCCGTGACAATTCCGGCTAATTACATATGAACGATATATGGAAAATAAATATTTAAACGAGCATGTGAGAACACGACGGCTGCGCCCGGCGCCTCCACCACGCTAAACAGATAAACATCGAAATGGACAATGGCGGTAAACATTGTAAACATCGAGTACGCAGACAGTAACAGCATTCGTAACAGGCACACACTATAATTTCCCTAATGATTTCCACCGCTTCCTGTCATATAAATTCCATGGGAGCTGGAAAACTCCGTCACTCGCTTAAACGATGCAAACAATTCAAAATATATTAATTGAGGTACGCGTCGGAATAACACACGTATAATTTAATATTAATAATATTTAGTTTTACAGCTCAGTGTAGTCATAGCCCTAAGTGCTATGGCAGTGTCAGTGCCTGAAAAATGTCGTAAAACATCACAGCGCTCGAAATGCGGTCAAATTTACATATGGAGAGCGCAAAGCGACGATTTTATTTCGCTCACGAATGCATCCTATCACAAACCGTACACCGATGACGATCGGGCGCTACGTGGGCGTAAAATTCGCGTACTTGTCACCGAAGTAAGTCGCAGATAAACATCCTCACCCTGCACTAAAATTTAATCATTTAAGATGTACCCGTACGTGATGTACGACCCATCGACTGGAGGTTTAGATGGATTCATCGGTAACTTTTGGATGGCGTTGCAATTAATGTATCAATTCGAAAATGAAATAATCCTCGAAGCTGATTATGACTTAGCTTTAGATCGAATGGTGAACGGCGAGGCTGATATTTTTCTCGGAGCGGTTGTTTCAAACGATAAACTAAACAATGTGACGGTTTATTCACAGCGCCATATCTTTAAACTGGTAATAATATTTTATCTTGATCTAATAAATACGTTTATACGGCTATTTCCCTAGGTATCAATTGGGTTATAGGAACTACGAAAGTGGCTCAGCGGGATTTCTGTGCATGCATTCGAGCCGGATCTTTAATCTCCACCCTGATTATTTACCTAGTCTTATGCTGACTTTGCGGGTTGTTTATCGTAACAAAATGCTCAGCATTCGAATTGTTTATCTCTTTACCAAGCTGTTTAATTGCAGCCGCGTTGGCGTGGTTTTAAATCAATGTAATTCTATAAAAATTCCCATTCCTATCTCATGTAAAATTATTAATAATTATTAATTGCAGCTCACGTGAGTTAAATGTCATAACTCTAAGGCTTCGATACGTATACTCATCATAGTCGCGATGTTATTCGATATATTCTTATTCATCAGTCTGAACGCTGTGCTTGTTTCCCAATTGACAAATTTGGCTGTGGTTCTATTGATAATCTGGATGATGCCGCTGTCAAAACGCACGCATTCGTCGTGCTTCAAGTACAATAGTTCTTCTGTAAAATGTCCATTTCTTGAAGAAAGGAAAAGAATTGCTACTCTGCAGTGGAAACACATCGTCAATGGGCCTGGATGTGGTGATATCAAAGACCTTAGGATAATCTAGGCTGCAATTATTTGCAAACCTCAGTATTGCAATAGAAAATCTGACTGGTATTCGCCCATCTTTAATTCCAAGTTACCAGTACCGTGTAATCTACGTTTTTACCCGCAATTATTCACACTTGATATAATTTTTTCAACCTCTATAAATCCGTCGCGTATGAAGATTTACTCTCAAAAGGGAAAAAGTGGGGAGGAGGCAAAGGGCCCCCAAAATTTTTTTATAAAATAAGAGGAAGTTAAAAGACAAATTCGGAAAGTAGCAAAGCAGAAAAAGCAGTAATAATATAAGCAAAAATTGACGACAGCAGTAATAGTGAATAAAAGCACTTTGGGCCCACTTTGCCCCATATATTCTGAATTTTTTATTTTGATAGACACGGTTTATTAATATTGAATACTCACCAAAGAAAATAGTGTATCGGTGAAAAAGGTAAAAATCCTTTTTCACTTTTGGGACCCACTTGCTCCATCCCTCCCCCTTCCCTCTAATATTATAAAGAAATATTGATTGATAAATTAATTCTAGGCTGAAGCAAATTCGTAGCAGTGGAATGCTGGCTCCACTTAGAGTCAAAATGGTTCGAGATCAAAGCAGCTGCCAACCCGGATGCAAGCAGCAGTGCAAATACCAGCGGTTAATCTGAACCATGTCGCGGTGCTGATGATGCCCTCACGATGGCGCTCAGCGTACACTTTTAGCAAGCATGCGAAGTTGCTCTACCGCAAGGGTTCACTCACCTTCACCCAGAAAATGTCTATAAACCCTTCCGCCAGCGCAGGCGCGATGACCGCCAGAGCGCGTCCTTGTCGTGCGCACTTTGATGCGCTCACCACATGAACGTAGCCATTGTCAGCTTTTCCGTCCTGATTGAAATCTGCTGAGCTGGAGTAAAACACAAACAAAACCATCAATAAATGCTACATTATGCGCCTTGTTTCACTTTGTACCCGTACAGCATAAATTGAGTTGGACTCGTTGTATATCATGACTTCCACGTACGCTCTTCAGTACCGTACTTTTGAAAATCCGATGATCCGCCCGCAGGTAAAGGCTACAGGTAGTTTCCTTTCTTAGGTCTGCTGAAGTCGCATCGTTTGTTGACATTGCGAAAATCTAATCCCGACGCGTCCGTAAACGCATTCCGTATGGTTATCCATCTCTTCGTCGATGGGCTGATTGTACGGTGTGTGAATGTCAAATGGTGGACTCATTGGTTAAGTTTCGCGAAGACGGTGGTCATCATCAGTGGCGGGCGGTGCTGCCTTCGGGTCAGCGCGCGCAAACCATCGTTTCCAGCGTGGCGCTTCGTCAGCCGCCATGGTTTGCTTGATGTGGAACACGTGCGAGGCGCATTCGCCGCCAGCGCGTTCCGCGCCCGTCGCTTTCTGGCAATACTACCGTGGTGTGGTGTGGTCGTGATTGGGGTGGTAACGGCCCAGTGGTTGATGCCGTAGAAGCCGTCCACCCGTGTGTGGATGACGCTGTCGAAGATCAAGCAAAAATTTCAAATTAAAAAAAAACTCCTAAAAACAATAAATTTGAGATAAATATTTTGTCAATTTTTCACAAGTATTTGCTGATAATGAGCCAAATACGTAGCATATAAAAGATTATTTATATTTTTTGATTGTGTTTCTTCAAAGGTAATTTAAAAATCAAAACAATGAACAATAACAACTTTTGATTGCGACTTTTCAAACGTCAGTATTGAACCGAAATAGAAATAATAAGTATTAACACATATTTGTTGCATATTTGAATAATTGAAGAACCCATACATTTGAAACTCGCGCGCTTTCTGTCAAATTTTAGGGTGCAGCGGGATTGACTTTAGGTAAAGATATAGATGCGCGCTCAGAATACCACTTAAGGCCGATCCATAACTTCGCCGTACGAAGCGTCTTGGAGCTTTCGTACGTTCGTTTGTTAAGTGGTGAACACAGAATCGCACCATCAGTCTGCCTATTCATCGAAATTGGTAAAGTGGAATATTTTGACGAGCCGTGTGCTCAGCAGATGTGAAAAAAGATGACGCGTTATTTTGGCGGTATTTCCATCACTTCCACTTGTTCTTTGGTTCTACCAGTACTTCCAAAATGGAAAACCTATTAATTGTGACATTTTTTATTCCAACTACCACCCCAAAAGTGTAGATAAAAGTTGTAGGAGGAGGATAAACGTGCATCGCAGATGTGAAAAAAATTAAGCGCAATAAACGGTATCCCAAAAAAGAGAGTTACCAGCTATTTTACAACCTCAATGAATTGAACTATATTACTATGAACAATATACTACTCGCATTATAACTACAACTTTCTAATTTTCAAACATTCAAGAAAAGGTCCCTCAAATTTCCAAAACATTTTTAACCGTTCGTCATAAAGAAATAAATGCGTATCAACTGAAAAACTTATTTAAGGCACTATTAAAAAAAATATATAGATTAAAATATTTGAATATAAAAGAATAAATTTGAAACACGTTCAAAAAATAGAAATAATAAGTATTAATACATAATTGATGCATATTTGGATAATTGAAGAACCCATAGATTTGAAACTCGCGCGCTTTCTGTCAAATTCTATCGTGCAGCGGGGTTGACTTTAGGTAAAGTTACAGATGAGCGCACAGAATACCACTTAAGGCCGATCCATAACTTCGCCGTACGAAGCGTTTTGGAGCTTTCGTACGTTCGTTTGTTAAGTGGTGAACACAGAATCGCACCATTAGATTAGATTAGATTAGATATATTGTTATCAATTGTTTTTATTTTGTTTATTTTGTTCATTTATGATCTTCGTTTTCTTTTATAACTGCATTTGATATAACAACTAATAGAAAGGTAATATTTCGTATTTCCTCCTGCTGTTGTAATCTTGATACAAAGTTTTATTTAATTCAAGTTGATGAGCATTAAGATTGTCAAAAGGACCATACAAAAGTAAAAATGGTGTAAATTCTGTTGATGGGTGAATTGTTTGATTGTACATAATTATTTGTGAAATCATTAAATCTTGTGGGGTATCATTTTTATTTTTGAGTTTGGCTCGCTGGTATTCGTAATATCTTGACAAATTATGTTCGATTTTACAATTTTAAGTTCGTCATTATACATTTCTCGACAAGCTTGAATAAATAGAATTTCTAGCTATCCACCTTTGAAATAAATTCCATAAAGTGAATTTGGAATAAAATTACGCTGAATTAAATCGTTCAAAATCTTCTTCTTCTTGTCCTGCTCTTTTCGGTCCGTAAAATTTTCTTACATGTTTCTGATATTTTTGCACTCAATTCATCAGCTTTGTGGATAATAATGCGATGTATTGAACCGTTTATCAATTTTTCACTGATGGACATTGTGAAATGTGTTCTGTTGAAGTATGAGCTGTTTCACCTGATGAAATTTCAAGAATATGATCTAGTTCATTGGCAGTGTTACGACTGTTGTCCCACAATACCAATAGAGTAATAAGCAATTAGATATTTATATATTATACTAGCTGTTGCCCGCGACTTCGTTCCGGCAGTGTTTAATAAAAATGTAATTCGTTTTTACTCTCTTGTTCTAGACATACTCGTAGTAAGAGTCAATTCTATCAATAAGATTAGCAATTTTAATTTAAAGAAATTAATTATATAAAGTTTTGTCAATAATGCACTTCAGCGCGCCATCTCGAATTCAACTATTTAACTATAACTATGATTGAATCTCAATGTTAAATTTTATTCTATAGAAAAGAGCTGTTTTGAGAATTTTCCCGGCATTTATTCGAATTTTTCTCACCTTTTAAACCTTCCCTAGACCTCCACGAATAATTCAAGACCAATATAAGATAAATCCGTTCAGCCGTATATATATATATATATATATATATAATATATATTAATAT